AGACAAAGACTCTGCCCACAAGGAATTCTCTGCATGGCCAGTGAAGACAGTATACAAATGTATAAATAATTAAATTATTACCAAGTGTCATTAATGTGCAGAATTAAATAAATGGGTTGCTGAGATGAAGATTGATAACGGCACACTTAACCCCAGGAGGTCAGAAAGGGTCTGGCCCCACAGGGGTGTGTTTAGGCTGAGATCTAAAGATTGAGAAGATAGCTAAGCAGAGCCTGTGGGCGGGAGTGGTCCAAGAGAAAACTGCAAGCCCAAAGGCCCTGGGGCAGAAAAGAGCCAGCTCCTTAGGGTGGCTCCATAACTTAAACCAAGGCCTGGCACACAGTAGGTGCTCAGTCAGTATTTGCTAAATGAATGAGTAAATGGATTATTAGACCCAGGGTGCTGGAGCATAGGAGGCAAGCAAGAGAGAGGCATGCGGTGAGCAGAGGCCAGATCATGAAAGACTTTTTAGGTCATGAGTGAGAAGTTTGAATTAACCAATCAGATTTACCAATCCACTCTCCCCACATCCCCTCAAACTTCTCTGCACCCTGCTCAAACTTGGATGTAAAATAACAATTCTCAAAACATGGCCCCAGGACCCCTGATGATCAGTTGTATCATTCAACATGTATGTTCATAACATGAAAAGAATCATGCTACCATCTATGAATTCATAATTAATGAATGTCACTTAGAGAAATTATTCATTAATTGTTATGACTATTTGTTTAAAAGTCAGCTGTTTAACCAACAGTTTGATTTTAGACACATATCTAATACAAAAAACAGCCCCACCTTTCCCATGCAGTCTGGGAAAGATTTCATAGTGGCAAAGAGAAGTTATCCCTGAAAAGTTACAGAAAGGCTGCCTGAAAAGTTACAGAGAGGCTGACTCCAAATTTCTGGAATGCAGTAACTCATAAAGCCAATGCAGTGGCATTAAACAGGATTTGTTGTTTAGTCGCTAAGTCGTGTCTGATTCTTTGTGACCCTATGGACTGCAGCACGCCAGGTTCTGTTCTTCACTAATTAAACAGGATAAATAGGTTCAAAAGAAGTTGAGGAATTCCAAACAAAGATGAGAACAAAGAATAAAGTGAATTATTTTATTTATACTTTGTTCAGTAGTTTCAAATAAACTCCTTTTGTAAAAGATGTTATCTGGCAGATTTTCCCAGTCCCTTACTGCCTTGAATCTACTACACATCTCTCTAAATTTTCATATTCATATAAGCGTTTCTAAAAGGAAAATCAGCCTTTAAAATGTAATCAGTAAAAACCTGAGTTTAAACTTTCTCTCCTTGTTCCATAATATATTCATTTTTATGGGTTATTTAGGACCCACTAATTAATTGGGGGCTTTGCCATGAGCCTTAAGATTCTCCAAAAAACAAAACAAAACAGCAACTACATATCTTTGGAAAAGAAATATCTCTGACTCCTAGGCCTTTGCTTCATAGATTGCTGTAATTCTCCACACACATTGGTTTCAAAATAGATAAAAGACACACAATCTTAAATGTACAACGTCTCTCTTTGATAGATCAATAATAAAATCACTGCACTTAAAGAAATTGCTCCTCCTTTTCCTAATTCCTATCCCCAGGGTTATTATTAACAGGTCACTATTAATTATAGAAGTTAGAAGCATTTGAAGAGTGTGGTGGGGATATTTTGTTATTGCCTTGTTTGACTAGTCCTCTTCACCTTTTTTTTCTTTTGTATAGTTGCCTCTATTATAAGGCAGTATATTGCATTATATTCAGACAGTATATTATGTATAAAAAATACAATTTTGAAGTTAACTGATAGGGTACAGTAGGTTGGTAATATAATATTTTTTTAAAAAAGAATGAGAAAGCTTGGAGAACTTAGAAAAAAATAAGATTTAGCAAAGTTTTGTGCAAAGGAAAGAGGACTATTTAGTAACTTGGAGTGGAAAGATTCCAAACTGGGAGGGCCAATCTATGTGATAAAAATGCAAAAACTTCACTGGAAAAGACAAAGAAAGATGGGCAGCAGAAGTTAGGTAAGTTCATCCTACGTGATGGAGGAACTTAAAAAAGAGTGAACTGTGTGATTTGGATGCAGTCTATTACTAGATTAGCTGGCACCTGGACAGCACATTAAAGTTTGCAAAGGTGCTTAAACATATGTGATCTTATTCTTCATAATATCTCTGGGAAGTATTTAGAGTAGGCATTATTCCAGTTTTACAGACAAGGAAATCATTGCTTTCTGAATACACCAGAAAGGGAAATGGTGATGTTAAAAAGGAATAAAGCTGAAAAAGACTCCTGTAAAGGCCAAAGGCAGCTTGTAGGTTTACAGGATCTAATGTGGAGAGGAGTGTCTCTGATGATGCTGAAAGGCATGCTAGGCTGTGAATAGCCATTGAATTTGAGGGGCAAAATATGGAGGGTAAAGGTTCTTTATTAAGACCAGTGACCTGGGCAAATAAATAAGAAAGATTCCATTTTCCCAAAAATACACACATATTTTAGGTTTGACCTTCTTTGAGTATTTGTGACTTGAAAAGGAGATTTGAGATCTCCAGTCCAGCTGCTGGAGAAGGAAACGGCAACCCACTCCAGTACTCCTGCCTGGAAAATCCCATGGATGGAGGAGCCTGGTAGGCTACATACAGTCCATGGGGCTGGGAAGAGTCGGACATGACTTCACTTTCACTTTTCACTTTCATGCACTGGAGAAGGAAATGGCAACCCACTCCAGTGTTCTTGCCTGGAGAATCCCGGGGACGGAGGAGCCTGGTGGGCTGCTGTCTATGGGGTCGCACACAGTCAGACACGACTGAAGTGACTTAGCAGCAGCAGCAGTCTAGCTGCAGAGTAACAACCCATAGAATCTTCAAAGGAGTAGAAACTTCATTTTTTCATTAATTAAAAAAAAACATGATTTCTGAAAGAACTGAAATAATTTTCACTTTTTTTTCCCCCCTCAAAGTAGATACATTTGATATAGTAGTCAATAATATACCTTTATGTATAATCTATTTGAAAAAGAAAAGAATGGCACCTTTCCCATTAATGTAGCTCTACCATTCTGCTTTGAAAATCTCCTCTCAGCAATTGTCAGAGATGGCACCCAAAGAAAAGTAACCAAACATTAGAAGCTTGTTGCAATACTTTGCTACTATCACCTGTGTTTAGTCCTGAGTCCTGTCTGACTCTTTGGGACCCCATGGACTGTAAATCACCAGGCTCCTCTGTGCATGGGATTTCCCAGGCAAGAATACTGGATGGACTGCCATTTGCTCTTTGTTTATTGGGAACTTTTTAAATTTTCAGATACATGATCACTCAGGTACTGAGGCAACTGCTAAACGTTAGCACAAAGTTAGTGCTTGAAACTAAGTGAATTTTGCTTTTTTGTAATATATGGGGAGCTGGGCCATTAAAGGTCTTTCCCTCAAAACCAGAGTTCATATTGCTTTCTTATATTCAATTATAGCTAAAACGACTTTAACTACTGAACTGTCAGTCATGAAACTGCTTTGCTTGTGGGCTGAACAAATGGTGGTGATTATATATGTCCTTGGTTAGCACTATTTGCATAACATGTGGGGAGAGCACAGACCTCTACACAAGAGGAAAGGGGAAAGTGAATGGCAGGGAAAAAATGAAGGCCAAGTTGACAATGGACACCACCATTCTAGGGTCTTCTTCTCTTGGTGGTGTCAGGAGGATGCGCGTTGAGACAAATGAATGCTTTGAGGTGAGAAAGGCCAGAGCAGCCTAATGAAAGGCTTTAGGAAAGAGTGAGGCGACCTAGGAAAATCTGCTGTGGTCAAGTTTAATCCTGGGAAAAGGGACCCTGGAGAAAGCAGATGAGGAAGATAGGAAGGAAGGCAGGGAGGGGGAGGCGCAGGGTGTGGGGGGAGGAAGAGGGCGGGGTGGGGAGCTGGAAAGTGAGAGGGGGCGAGTCCAGATCGTGGTGCAGACGGTGGGGTTGAGGACCACAGAGTGGGGAAAAAGTGACAGTCGGGCGGAGAGGTGCAGAAGGAGGCAGACCTCCGCGGACGCGGCCGGGACCCCTGGACGGGGAGGCGGCGGCGCGGGGCGGCGGGGGCAGCTTGGCCCGCCTCGTGCCCCCTTGGCAGCCTGAAGCCTTGGCTCCTCGGGGCTCCCTCCCTCGCCGGCGCATTGTTCCTTTGCCGGGAGACGAGGAAATTGCCTTTTGATTGCGGAAGTCCGCGGCCGGGGCCCGGGGCGAGGCAGCGCGGGTCAGAATGGCAGCGTGGGAAGGGCGGCGCGCTGCCGGCCCCAGCCGCCTCTCGCGTCCGCAGCCCGCCCGGGGCGGCAGCAGCAGCGGCGGCGGCCGCGGCCCCCGCGCGTCCCCAGCCCGGAGGCCCGCGCTCTGCGCCCGCGGGGCGCGCTAAGCGCGCACAACAAGTGGTCCCAGCTCCGCCGGCCGTCGGGCCGCGCCGTGCGTCCCAGCCCCGCAGTAGAGTTTGGGGGAACCGCCGAGCGCCATGCGGAGCCATGGAGCCGGGCTGGCCCTGTGGACCGCGCTGAGCCTGCTGCAGGTGAGGGGCCGAGAAGAGGTCCCCGCGGGCGGACGCGCCCCTCCCCGCCGAGGACCAGATTCTCACCCCGCTCTCTGGTGTCCTGGGTTGCGTTTTTGGAGAGGGAGGTGGCAGAATTTCTTCCCCTCCTTTGGGAACGGTGATCCTCTTCTGAGTCCCCAGCCAGACTGACAGCTCGTGCCACAGAAGGCAAAAAGCCACCTTCTCTCTCCAGCTGCTCGGGAGAAGAAAGCAGTTAGGGGGAAAGTGGCCACCCACTTCTTTTCTTTTGACTGGAGGGCGAAAGGATGCAGGGGCTGAGGCTGGGGCCAGNTTGACTGGAGGGCGAAAGGATGCAGGGGCTGAGGCTGGGGCCAGGGGTGAGTGGAGGCAGCTTGGGGAGCTTGCTCCGGACTCATCCCTGGGCAGGGATAGATGGTGGGCTTCAGCTATTGTTCTGGTTCCTTTGCAGACTGGACTGGGGGAGCCACTGAGATGCAACTTCACCTTGACAGAGGCCAGGGTCTCCAGCCGGGCCGTGTCTCTGCAGTGGAGAACTTTGGCGTTCCCCTGTAACTTTAACCTCACCTACAGAAGTGACACCTCCGGGGTCGCGTGGTGCCACCCTGCGCGGATAGACAACACCACCTATGGATGTAACACCAAGGATTTACAAGCGGGAACCATCTACAATTTCACTATTATGTCTCTGGATGGAGAAAAGAAAACTATGGTCTTGCAAACAGGTAAAAAGTGACAGGTGCGGCTGGAAGTCCAGGCCACTCCTGGCTGAGACCTGCCTTTTCAAGCCAATGCTTCCTTTGAGTTCCAGGCATACAAAATAATGATTATCAAAGGTAAAAACATCTGTAAGATAACTATTGACAAAGATTTCTAGTCTCCTCAGATCTGGCAAGAAACAGCTTGGCTGACCTTCAGAGATGTCCCTAGTGCTGAAAACAGCGGACTAGCCACTTAAACAGGGAGAGCAGCAGAGAGAAAAAGTGCGCTGTGGAGGGAGTTTGTTCAAGTGATGGGGTTTGAGCTTCCAACACGTTGAAGTGTCAAGCCCTGGAATAATTTTAAGTCAATGTTTTTAGAATAAATAACGGAAGTGCAATGATTAGGGATATGACTTTCCTCAACTTAGTTTTATTCTTGGAACCAGGACCTAAAATCATCAGGGATAGAATCATTCTTAGGGGGAAATTAGAAAAAGTCCCTTGAAATGAGGATATGAAAATTTTATTTATTTATTTTTTTATCACTTAAGTAAGTAAAACCATACAATATCAAAGAACATCTTTTGGTTACTCTGCAAGTTAAATCAATCATTTTCTATTCGCTTTTGGTAAAACCTTCCATGCAGGGTAAGAGTGTCTTTCCTGCCTCAGTTTTCTTATCTGTAAAATGAGAGTGTTAGACTTGGTCGTTGAAGTCCAGGTTCCAACCAAGAACTTACTTAGGCGGGGGCTGTTGTGCATGTTACCTCATTAATCCCCAGAGTCACCCTCAGATATGCTGTAAATCTGCTAATGACTTCCATGTTTTATGACCTTATTAGTCTTCCTTTTAACATTATCTTTAGTTGTTGCCATAGAGAAGCCTGACTTTCATCCAGAAAGTCAAATTTAACTGAAAAATTCCTGAAGTTAAATTTAGAAATGTGTTGTCCTCACTAGTCTTTCACTTTCAGCCGAGCAAAGATCACTTCTTTAGCTATAGTTCTTTGAGAGGTGTGAGAATGGTGAGTTATCAGGGCTGTTAAAACAGAGTCAGGAAATGTAAACAGATTCATATGATAAGCTAATTAATTACTCTCTTATTAAGAATGCCCAGTTACCTCAGATGAAAGATAATTTCTGAGATTTGCAGGAACTTGAGTTGAAAAGAGACAGCACTTGTTAAGAACATGGTTGTGTTTTTATATAGAACCAAAGAGAGTCCAAAATCTTTGACATAATAAGAACATTTTACAGAAGTTTAAGTGGCAGGGTTTTTTAGTTATAAAGTTCTTAATTTCTTGGTATATGAAGGTAGTTCCATGAACACTCAGATTGCTAATACTGTGAAATTCATGACAGAACTTCTAGATGTGTTGTTTACATTTGATAAGGTGTCATATTGAATGGAGCAGAATGATTTTTAGAAACAGGTGAACCTTCAGAAGCTTAAGGGAGAAAAGATGAAGACAGTAAGCAAGAATACATTGATTTAACCCAGAGGTTTTGCTTTTTTGGAAAAATAAAGTTGATAAAAATGAACTCACTGTGGTGTCACTGGTTAGAATATGTTTAGAGTTTAATTAGTGTGTGTGTTTCAAGTCCAGAGACATTTGTGAAATGTAAGAAATATTTGCATTTTATTGACTGTGTTGGATTAAAAAAGAGACAGCATTCACAGTTAGCATTCAGTGTCTCATCATTTTCCTTAGGGATTCACCTTTACAGTACCACAAATAGACTTTTCACCACAAATTTTATGAGTGCCATGCCAAATGTGAAGAATGAAATTTGATCAATGGTGATGTTTGTATAATGATAATTTTTTCATAGTTATTTGTATGATGGTATAACCTTACTTAGGATTCTCTATATTTAAAAATAATTTACTTAACTAGATTTTTTAAATTAAGATATTTTTACAAATGTTTCAGAGAGGATATTTTTGGTTGATTGTTGTTTATTTTTTGTCAGCACTTTCTGTGCTTCCTATATTTTAAGGACATATGTGAGTTTTTATTCTAAGTTCAGAGAAAGTACTGGTATCCCTCTAGTATTAACTGGTAAGCCACAGAGATGAATGCCACAAATCATATTTTATTGTTAAAAAGCAGGATCAACTAGTCGCATAATATTGATTTCTGAGATATAACTTCAGACAAAAAAAGTCATTCAGATATGTTGTCCTTTTCTTATTCTGTTATGCCTGTCTTATCATTATAGTGTAAAATAGAATGAGAGCAAGCATGATGTGGCTGGAGATATGGCAGTTGGTTAGATTATCTCTGTGTCATCCCAAGTGGGATTTGTCTGGCTATTTTTCCTGGTAAATTATCTAAAAATAGTTATTTTAGTAATGTAGACATGACCTTAAAATAAAACTTAACTAAATAGGAACTATTTCAGCAACAGTTTTCACTCCAGATTTAAAATCAGAATTGGAAAACCTGTGTAGATTCAAATTCAGTTCAACAAACATTTATCAGGCATGGATACTGTAGGGAATTAGGCCAGGTAGTGATTAATAAAGATGACAAAGCATGATCTCTGTCCTTGCAGTATTCTGCAGAGGTGAGAGAAGTTCAGGATAAGGGTGGTGACAGAGCTTCACCACTTCTTCCCGTTGAAGACCCTGCTCTGCTTCTCCTGGATGTATTTGGTCGTAAACGATCAACGCAATAACTGTAATAATTTGAAAGCCAAATTATCTAGTTGTAAATTTATTAGAAACAGATTATAAATTTGAAAACCTCAAAAATTCTGTTAATACTCTGTCCTCGGAATATAGATCAGAGCCTGCAAACTGGTAGCCCCTGGGGTGTCGAAACATTACGTGAGCCAAACAAAATCTATCTGTTATTTAGGCATCTCGACACCCCCAGGGGCTACCAGTTCACAGCCTCTGATCTAGACTCTGAAGACCCAGTGTTCACAAAAGTGTGGAGGCTTTCAATATTTGTTATCTGCATAATTTATTTCAGTAGATTTTGTCTGGTTCATGTAATGTTTGTGAAAAATTCAGATTATTTCACCAGCATTGAGCTGAAAATTCATATAAATACCAGGCATATTGATTACCTTAAAATATTGGAAGATTTGGCAAAACTTGATCATTCTGCCTGGAACTCTCTAAAGCTGAATTGTGGCTTTTCTCCTTTCAGATACCAGTTCCCCCCGAATCCCCTGGACCGGGGATTATTTATTTCCTTACCTTAAAGTGTCCTAAGGACATTTGTGTTTGCTTACATGAAACTGTAGAGTTTTCATTTAGAAATTTGGGGGAGTTTTTATCTTTCCACGAATAAGAAGTAGTTCTCCAGGACCTAAAATGGCATCTAACCCATGGTAGGTGGTCAGTAAATATTGATTAACTGGATAGAAAGATGGATTGATGAATGGAGAGATGAATGGGTGGACCTATTAATGAATAAATAGATGATAGACAAATATTAATAAATGAAATTAATATTTTAGGGGGAGAATGTATGTAAAGAAAGTGAAAGTGAAGTTGCTCAGTTGCATCCTACCCTTTGTGACCCCGTGGACTATAGCCTACCAGGCTCCTCCGTCCATGGGATTTTCCAGGCAAGGGTACTGGAGTGGGTTGCTAGTTCCTTCTCCAGGGGATATTCCTAACCCAGGGATTGAACCCAGGTCTCCCACATTGCAGGCAGAGGCTTTACCATCTGAGCCACCAGGGAAGCTGACTGTCTGTAAAAATACAGTCTGTTCTCCTTGGGTTATGGGTAAGTTATGGAGCCCAGGGCATTAATCAGATGGTAGGGAACTTTACCTGCAGGAAGAATATCTTTGTGGCATATACTTTCTTGTTAATCACTGTCAGGTTCTTATCAATCAGCCTAGTGTGCTTTAGTCATGTCCAATTCTTTGCGACCCCGTGGACTGTAGCCCACCAGGCCTCTCTGTCTGTGGGATACTCCTGGCAAGAACACTGGAGTGGGTTTCTATGCCCTCCTCCAGGGGATCTTCCTGACCCAGGGATCGAACCTGAGTCTCTTACATCTCTTGCATGGACTATAGCCTACCAGGCTCCTCCGTCCATGGGATTTTCCAGGCAAGGGTACTGGAGAGGGTTGCTAGTTCCTTCTCCAGGGGATATTCCTAACCCAGGGATTGAACCCAGGTCTCCCACATTGCAGGCAGAGGCTTTACCATCTGAGCCCCCAGGGAAGCTGACTGTCTGTAAAAATACAGTCTGTTCTCCCTGGGTTATGGGTAAGTTATGGAGCCCAGGGCAGTAATCAGATGGTAGGGAACTTTACCTGTAGGCAGAATATCTTTGTGGCATATACTTTCTTGTTAATCACTGTCAGGTTCTTATCAATCAGCCTAGTGTGCTTTAGTCATGTCCAACTCTTTGCGACCCCATGGACTGTAGCCCACCAGGCCTCTCTGTCCGTGGGATACTCCTGGCGAGAATACTGGAGTGGGTTTCTATGCCCTCCTCCAGGGGATCTTCCTGACCCAGGGATCGAACCTGAGTCTCTTACATCTCTTGCATTGGCAGGTGGATTCTTTACCACTAACGCCGCCTGGGAAGCCCTGCTAATCAGCCTAGAACAAAAAGGCAAAAAAAATTAGCTCTTTAAAATTAGCTCCTGTGTTTTTAACTTTTAAAAGAGCTTTAATTACCAAATTACTATATCAGTTATTATTTCCACCTAAACATGTTGTATTAGTTTACCAGGGCTTCCATAACAAAATATCACAGACCGGGTGGTTTTAACAACAAATTTATTTTCTCATGGTTCTAGAGCCTAGAAGTCCCAGATCAAGTTGTCAGCAGGTTTCTTCTAAGGCTCCTCTGACTGTCTTGCAGATGACCACCTCGCTATGTCCTTACTTGGTCCTTCATCTGTGTTGTCTGTGATCTAATCTCCTCTTCCTATAAGGACACCGGTCATATTAGAGTAGGAAGCACCTTAAAGACCCCATTTTAACTCAATTACCCCTTTAGAGATCTTATCTCCAAATACAGTCACATTATGAAGTATTGGTAGTTAGGGCCTTAACATATGAATTTTAGGGAGATGCAAGTCTGTTCATAACACTCATATGACTTTAAACACAAGTCATTATTTCTCAGCACTGTCTGTAACTTATGGCATCAAAATCTGTTGCACAGTTTGTTACAAAAGCATATTGTTGGCTTCTACCTCATATATAATGAATTTAAAAGTAGAGCCTAGGGTATCTGATTTTAAACAAATATCAAAGTGAATCACTGCATACTGAAGTTCAAGAGATAATGATATGGTTTTTCTATTAGTCATTGACATTAAAATTTTGGTAACCATTTCTTTTTATGCCTGGTTAATTCTATAATATTTAGAAATATTTATTGTCTTTCCCAAGAAGAAAATAATACTCTAATATTTGTCTTGTACTCCTGTAGTATTTAAAATACTTTCATCTACCTTGTTTCATAAGGTAGAAACAAGGTATACTTTTATAAAAGTATAAAATATATATATTTAACTGACCATATATTGTTTAATTATATCCACATGGCAATCCTGTGGAGGGAGTGTCATGAGGCACGGGTAACATAGTGGTTAATAGATGAGTTCTGAAAGCAGCTGCCTCCATTACTTACTAACCAAGTTGCCTTGGGCAAGTTATTAACCTTTTCTAATCTCTAAAATGGGGACAATAATAAAAATAATGCTCACTTCATAGGGTTGTTTTGAGGTTTTGATTCAGACATAAATTCTACAACCATTTTTATCACATACTAAGTGTGAAATGTTTCCTGTTATTACTTTCAGGTTGGAGATCAGATTGATATTCATAAGAATTAACTAATCACAAATCCATACTATTAACAAACATAGACCTTGAACCCTGGCTTACTGGCCCCAACTCCTACTCCTATTCTTTCTATTACTCCGTAGAATGGATACAATTTTTAAGTTGGCTTTTGTTCTTTCAAATTACCTGTGATAGTTCGTTGTTACTTTTCAACTCAACTTTTAAAGAGAAGAAAATATATTACAAAATACTTTAAATCTATAGATACTTAGCCCACTCAAGGGTAGAATAATGATTAAAAGTGTGTTAGCGTGATGAAATAATATTGATTTTGATTTTGTTGTACTTCTGGTGATGAGCTTCAGTGTTTAGGAATCAGCCATTTGTAATGTATTTATTTCAGGAATTTTAAGGTCAAGTTGAGTTCCGTATATGAAATGGACCAACCTAGTTCTCTGAACGTGACTTTTTGTGTGTTTGGAAGCTTCTGCCATTAGTCTGACTTCTGTAGGCGGGCATGGCATTCTGCACATTACCAAAAAATAAAATCTAATTTGCCCAGACAGAATGGAAGAAAATTTATTATGGCTTTCATTCCCAGACACCAATTCCCTGGAATCCCCCTGGGGGATAGAGGATAATGCTGACTACTTTCTAACATTGTAGGAGAAGTCAAGGCCATTCCATATGCAGGAATGTATATAAACAAAGATGAATCTATGCAACTGAAATTAACATGGTAGATATGCATACAGATTTCCAGGGGTTGGGGGTTTTGATTTTGTTCTTCTTCCTTCTAGACGGAAGAACCCAAATACATAAAAAGTAAGCAGAGCACTATTATGAACAACCATGTACCTACACATCACCTACTGTCAACAGTTACCAACTGACAGACCATCTTGTTTCATCTGTATCCCCACCCACTCCCTAACCATGTAACATATCAACACAGCCCAAGTCATTGTTTAATTTCATTTATAAATATTTCAGTATGCATTTCTGAATGATAAGCATTATTTTTAACATAACCACAGTATCAATATCATACCTAACATTAACAGTAACTCTTTGGTACTGAGATGTCTAGGTTCAGAAGCACACAGCAAGCAGCAGCTCATGGATTTCTACATAAGAGAGACTTCTGGGCAATCTATTTGGGAGAGGAGACCAAAAGACTTCCCTTTATACTGCATTTATATAATATTGAGAAAATCTCAATTGGTTTTGCTTTTCGGCCACACTGCGTGGCATGCGGGATCTTAGTTCCCCGACCAGGGATCAAACCTGGGGCCCCAGCAATGAGAATACTGACTCTTAACCATTGGGCCAGCAGGGAATTCCCAAGAAAACCTCCACTGTTAATATCAAAGAGAAGAGTGGGACTGCCGAAGGATATCCTGGACCTGAGGGTATTAAAGTCTCTATCAGCTGGCAGGGCCCCCACAGTGTTGACAGGGTTCTCCAATGCTCGGTGGAAGTGAGCTTTTGAGTGCTGTAGCTTAAACTGCCCTCTCTCTGTCTGCAGTGGCCTCTCTTCTCTCTGATTCCTAAGTCCTGCTTGACCTTCCAACTTGCTCACGTTCATTTCCTTCATGAAGCCCACCTCTGAGAGCTCCATCCTTGAATGTCATTCCCCTTTTGCACGTTCAGCATTGGCCCTGACCTGTGTCACCCTGAACAACAAGAACAGTAGAGTACTCACACCAGGTACCGCTTTCTGAGGCCTCACTACATGCCTGAGCTGTACTTAACACTTTGCCTCCATGACCTCTTAACACTGCAGCTCTGTAAAGCAGGTGTCCCATTTTACAGATGAGGAAACTTAGCCTTGGTGCAGTTAAGTGACTTGCCTAAAGTCACTGTTGGAAGTGCCATTGTTGGGATTTGAACACAGGTATGGTGTGACATCAAAGTCAGCCTCCCTGATAAGTCACATTTGTGTTTACCTTTCGCACATGTCCTATATGCCTGAGTAAACTGTAGACTCTCAGAGGCCAAATACGATGGATGACCTGTAAAATAATATGGTATTCCTTGCTATTGTTAATCATGATGCAATGATTGTCTAACCTGATTTAATTCCAAGGCTGTTAAAACTTTGAAAGTTCTTTGCTACCTGAACTTTAGTGTATAAAGTTGATAAATGAAATGTATCATTAGCATAATAAGGTATGCTGCTGCTGCTGCTGCTAAGTCGCTTCAGTCGTGTCCGACTCTGTGCGACCCCGTAGACAGCAGCCCACCAGGCTCCGCCGTCCCTGGGATTCTCCAGGCAAGAACACTGGAGTGGGTTGCCATTTCCTTCTCCAGTGCATGAAAGTGAAAAGTGAAAGTGAAGTTGCTCAGTCGTGTCTGACAGCGATACCATGGACTGCAGCCTACCAGGCTCCTCCGTCCATGGGAGTTTCCAGGCAAGAGTACTGGAGTGGGTTGCCATTGCCTTCTCCATATGGTATGCATCATGTTATAAGTCAGAAAGCTGACTATAGTCAAGCTGCAACAAAGTAAAATAGAATTGTTGTTGTTCTTTAGTCACTAAGTCTTGCCCCGCTCTTTTGCAACCCCATGTGCAATAGCCCTGCAGGCTCTCATGTCCATGGGATTTCCCAGGCAAGAACACTGGAGTGGGTTTCCATTTCCCTCTCCAGGGGATCTTCCCGATCCAGGGATCAAACCCGTGTTGCCTGCACTGACAGGCAGATTCTTTACCACAAAGCTACAGGGAAGCCCTTTGAAAGAGATTTTTCTCTCTATGCATGCGTGCTAAGTCACTTCGGTCATGTCAGACTGTTTACGACCCTACGGACAGTAGCCCGCCAGGCTCCTTTGTCCAGGGGATTCTCCAGGCAAGAATACTGGAGTGGCTTACCATGCCCTCCTCCAGGGGATCTTCCTGACCCAGGGATCAAACCTGAGTCTCTTATGTCTCCTGCATTGGAAGTTGGGTTCTTTACCACTAGTGCAACCTGGGAAGCTCTTCCTCTTTCTAAATGTATTCAACCAACTACAGATTATGAGAGCAGTTGCTTTCTCGTTTTCTTCTTCTGCCCACTTTCAAAAACCTGTACCGAGGAATGGTTTGTGGCTTTTGCCTCACCATCATTCTGTTTCCATGATAAAATTCCCAATTAGTTTATATGAATAGTTGATGTTCACACCGTTTTATGTAGAGGGCTACTAAATGCAGCTTCTGGTCTCCTAGGCACCCTGCTCTTAACTAGAATAGTATAATTCCTGTAAAGGTACAGAAGTTGACCCTGTAATCACATGAAATCACATAGAACTCTTGGACTGGAGTTAGTGCTGAAACGTAAGGTGTGTTGGAGAGGTGGGTGGAGGATAGTAGCCTGCTTGAGGAGACCTTGAGTTTCTGTGGAGAAATTCAGGCTTCATATCATGAAGAATTCTTGGTGCTTCCTAGGAGATCAGGATGGCAGATGGGAGAGATATACAAAGCAATTATTTGGCAATAGTGGGAGAAAGACAGAAAATAAGAACGACACTTGGAGTAATCTGACACAACACAAGGAACACCAGGTTAAGGCAGTAGGAGAGAAAAAGCAATAGAGAAGAAAAATATTTTTTTTTAAACCGATAGAATGTTCCTGGATGCAGAATTAGATTTAGCTTTTATTAATATTGTTATTCATTTATCTGTATTACAGTATTCAAACCATCATCAAAGCTTCATCAAATGAAGCTTCTGTAAATTTGTCTATTATTTTTCTTAGACATCTGGTTTGATTTTTTGTTATACTGACCATGAGACTTATGACATCATTTTCCACCCTGGGACAACTAGGGTGTGATAGAGAAGAACTCACTGGAAGCCAGGTGTCAGAAGCTCAGCTGAATTACCTGTGTAATGTAAATGAGTCGCTTAATGCCTCTCATCATCTTCTCCAAAGTACATTGTAAATGACGGGATCCTATGCATGTATACTCTGTGCCATATGATTTCAAAAAAAGCTTTTGACACCAACTTATGAATTCTCTGCTCTCTTGTTGTAAGGCTAAATTTATTTCCAAAATACATACTAACATTTTGAATTCTAAACACTCCTCAAATTCTTATAGCAGTGGATAATAATGCTTTAATGGCTATACAAAAGAATTTTTAAAATATCACTTCCATTTTATACGTATGGGGTTTTCTCTCTCCTTAAAGTCAATTTAAGAAAAAAAAAAGAAGAATCTGTTTTGATTCAGGAATTTGACTAAACTTTATCAGAAAAAACAGATCGACAGCAAACCCACTTATGAAATTCTAGGGCTTCCTGATAATGAAATTCAGTGAAGCTGAGCAGCTGAATACTGCAGAATTTTGCATTTGGCACTCCACATTCCAGGTCTGTCTGGAACCAAGAAATACAAACAAAGATGTCTTAATTTTATGGCTAATGGTAAATTTTGATATATTGATTGAGATTAAATTATTGATTTCTGGTTTCCAATGGTTCTCATAGCTTAATAATACTTCACTGGTTACAGTATATATAACAACTGTGGATGGAAAAACCAGAAAAGCTATAAATGCACACATGTGTACACTGATAACTTTTAGCCATCAGCATAAATTATATGTCAAGTAGGGTTTTCTAATTACATATGATCTTCATGTGATAAGATTACAGACATATGACTAAATTTTCAAATGGCATTAAAACTCTCTTTCATATATCTATCTAGATATCTAGATAGATATGTCTCTGCTTAGGTAGATGATATATAGATGCATAGGTAGATAGATGGACAGATAGAGAGATAGATGAAATTAGCATCCAGATGGAAATATCTAATTTGTTTCTAATAAAATATTGAAAACCTTAAAAAATTTAATACAGCAGAGTTTTCCTTGGTCTTAGATTGAAAAATCTGAAAACTATTGCACTCCTGCTGCATGCATAGTAATAGTGGACCTCTGCCAGCAAAGGCCTTTATCACAGCATAAATGGGGTTTTAAGTGTTTGTTTCCAGTGCAGGTTCTTGCAGTCCAGGCACTTCCCAATCTCATTGTTCCTTTGTTCTAGCGGATGTACAAAGGGTTGACTGTTTTGTTTTCTGGCTCAGAAAGATTAGATAAAGCCTGCATTTCTGAACTTCACCCTCTAGGCACGCAACCTTAAAATTCATTTTTTATAGCTTTTCTTTTGCAAATTATATATGTTTAGATCATAAGGATCATAACATCATTTTCTTTAACCTTTACCTGGCTGGGCTGTGCATGTAGGTGACAGTATTGATCCCATTTGGACAATCACTGGAAAGCATCTCTTTCTCTCGTTCTTGTCCTTAAAATGCCTCTTCAGCAAAAACGCATCACCTCAGTTGGCTAACAAGGTTGCTCTTGAGTTTCTCAGGCTATGAGAATCTCATGATAACAAGAAAACTTTTTGTGACGGGAAGTTGTATTCTTTCCTTTTATTGTGGCGTCTTAAATTGTAGACTGCTATGTAGGATAGAAAATTTAAATAATATCACCACACATACACACAGACACAAACCCATACTGTTTTTCCTCAAGAACCCATAAATGAGAATCATCTTGGAAATTTTTTTTTTACTCTTAAGGGTTAGAAAGTTAGTTCATGAGAATAAATTGATAAGATTTTTCCAAGATTTTTTTTTCTTAAGAAAAGCAATTAATGCTATTATCAGTTTAGTCTCTAAAAAATTTGGTATTCCAGTTTTGCCTCCATTCTGTCAGTGATTCAGAGGAAATTTCTCACAGACAGAATACGTTGTATACCAGGTGAAGTCTCTGGTATATCTTGTTACTCCTCCAAACATTTAAGAATATAGGTACTGTTATTATGTTCCCCAGACAGAGGGAGAAATAGAGACTTAGAAGGTTAAGTAACTTCCAAAGGGTCTCATGACTGATACGTGAGGGAGCCAAAATTTGAATTGAGTTCTGACTCCAAAGCCCACTCTCTCTGCCACTACTTCTATGAGAAGATTGTCCCAACTAGAAGAGGGATAATAGTAATAGTAATAATAGCAAACATTGAACACCGTGTGCCAGACACTTTTTTAAGTGCTCTAGATAAAATACTCAATTTCATCTTCATAACAGATCTACTGAAAAGATAGTATTGTTATCAGCATTGCATAGAGGACACAGCTGAGACACAAGGAGGTTAAGGAATTGCTACACAGCTGCAAAGCGGGAGACCCGATTCAAGACTCTAGAGTCTACACTGCTTAGGCGAACCTGTGCTGCTAGGGTGTAAACCACAGAACCTTGTCCTCCTAGCTCACCTGTGCTGTGGAATCCCAAAGTTTGCTGCCTTGACTTGGCTGTACTTAGCCTATGTGTGGTGTCTATGGGTGACCCATAGTCTACTCAGCTGTCTGGCTATAAATACCTTTTGAATATAGAGTAAGATTACCTTGTTCCTATTTGTTTTAATGCTAATAACAAGTGAAGACTTTCTTAAAACATATACTGTTCTAGGAAGATGCTAGAATTTCTTATTTCATGAGTAAAATATAATTTACCAGGTGGTAGATAAGAACTGAGATCACCATGCCATGCCACTAAAACAGTTAACCTGACTCTTGAAATTTAGTCTCCAGTATCTTTTTTGTTTTTGTTTTTGTTTTTGAGTCTCCAGTATCTTGAGCTCATTTCCTAAAACAAAAGCCAGGCAGGACTTCTGAAAACTTTGTATATGTCACTGTCAATGTTTCTTCTCCCCACATTCAGGGTGTGGAGAGCCTCATTGCTCAGATGGCCCCACAGCATCATCTGCTCTCTAAACCTCATTGACTTAGTCCCTAACCTGGAGATGTACCAGTCATCCTATTTCAACTTCTACAGTGAAGATGCAGTACAGAGGAAACAGGACTCTTCACACTGACCCATGGCTTTGAGAATTGAAACTTAAGTGCACGGCCAGGTGCAGGACTCACCCATTCCCGTCTGCTCTAAGAGTTTTGGCAGCTCTAAGAACTGATGAAGTTCTGATGTCCCAGAACTCAAGTTTAAAAAAATCTAGGGACATAAGGAATCCCAATTTCTAAAAATATTTATTTGTCTGAGTTGGGTCTTAATTATAGCACACAGGATCTTCACTGCATAATGCGGGATCTTTCCTTGAGGTGCACAGAGTCTCTAGTTGTGGTACATGGACTTAGTCGGTCTAGGACATGTGGAATCTTAGTTTCCCGACCAGGGATTAAACCCACATCCCCTGCATTACAAGCAGATTCTTAACCACTGGACTACCATGGAAGTCCCAGGGAATCCCCATTGTTGGGAGTATTCATTTTGGTGAACATACCTAGTCTTGGCTTCATTGTCAGGTTTGTATCTTCTGTGGTTTTCTGATATCTAAGAACAACCCAAAGTTCTGTAAACATAACCCTCTAAGCCCCACAGCCTAAAAAAGAGAACATTTAGCAGAAATTTTAAAATTATTTCTTAATATCTGTATTTTCTGTTAAGATTTTCAGTATTTATCCAGGAAGAGCCTGGATGTTTGTCAGTGTTTGAAAAATGCAAAATCTGCAAGCCAAAGAAAATGTAACCTTGCTTGGATCTCCAAGCTCAGAGCTGTCGTAACAAAAAAGTTTTATTAGAAAAAAAGGAGTTTATATGACTATTAACTAAGGTAGATTCCTTTTTTAAATACAATGGTTTGGAAGTAGTGTAAAATGCCCATTCATATCATGGGCAGCAGAGTTCTGAAAGTGTTGAAGGAAACTGAGTCTGGATTGTAGCAAGGTAAGAGTACATTTGCAAAAGTCCTCAAGCCACTTTCTCTTTTTTGGTTTTTGCCCTGTAGATCCTTTACCTCCTGCTAGGTTTGAAGTCAGTAAAGAGAAAAGTACTTCCACCAGTTTGCATGTTTGGTGGACTCCTTCCTCGGGAAAAGTCAGCTGGTATGAGGTACAGTTACTTGATGATAACCAAAAGATACAGATGGCCCAAATTCAAGAAGGAGCTTCACGGAATGAATACACATTTTTCAACCTCACTGCTGGTAATAAATATAATATTGCCATCACAGCTGTTTCTGGGGATAAACGTTCCTCTACAATGTATGCCAATGGATCAACAGGTAAGATTTGTTTACATGTAGTTGGGTATTTAATATTCTATACACCTTTTAAAATTATATTAGATTCAGGAGTAAGAATGCCATGAGATCAACAACAGATAGATAGATAGACAGACAGACAGGCAACGAAACTGTTTGATATAGAGGAAAGATTGGACTGAAAACAAGGAGGTGGGGTTGGGCTGCCACCTTGCTGGGTGATTTTGAACAACTCATGGAACTTCTCTGGGACTGGAACTTTCTCCAAAATGAAGATGTTTCCTAGCAGGTCTCTGCTTGTACCCATGTATCCCAGTATCAGTGGCATATTACCATTTCCTTCCATAACGCACTGTCTTATCATTCACTCTCCACTCATTTTCTCTCCTGCTTTATTGCTCTCTTTCAATTTTTCATCTTCTATAATTCTTTCTTTTCTCTTTTTCTTTTATTGCTAGGCTGTGGGATTTGAAAAGAGCATTAATCCAGATCCCAGTAAAATGTCAAGGGTGCTATTTTCATTAGTTATTACACAAATTACAGAGAAGCAAAAGTGAATGTGTGGTTTCAAATTAAATGTGTTTATATATTTTATAAGGAAATTATGAATAACACTTTGGAAATGCATTTTATCCCACTAGTGCCATCCCCAGTGAAAGACATTGGTGTTTTGGCAAAAACTAATTCGCTTCTGATTTCCTGGTCACGTGGATCTGGGAACGTGGAACGATACAAGCTGATGCTAATGGATAGAGGGATTCTAGTTCATAGTAGTGCTGTCGACACTACTTTCTACACTTTTCATGGACTGACACCTGGTCACCTCTATAATGTCACCATTGTTAGTGAGGCTGCAGGGCTGCAAAACTACAGATGGAAATCAGCCAGGACAAGTAAGTTTCCCTAGCTTTTCTGTACAGTAATAAGCTCAAATCAAGGAAATGTTTAATAAACAAGGTATGTAACCTTGCTTGGATCTCCAAGCTCAGAGCTGTCGTAACAAAAAAGTTTTATTAGAAAAAAAGGAGTTTATATGACTATTAACTAAGGTAGATTCCTTTTTTAAATACAATGGTTTGGAAGTAGTGTAAAATGCCCATTCATATCATGGGCAGCAGAGTTCTGAAAGTGTTGAAGGAAACTGAGTCTGGATTGTAGCAAGGTAAGAGTACATTTGCAAAAGTCCTCAAGCCACTTTCTCTTTTTTGGTTTTTGCCCTGTAGATCCTTTACCTCCTGCTAGGTTTGAAGTCAGTAAAGAGAAAAGTACTTCCACCAGTTTGCATGTTTGGTGGACTCCTTCCTCGGGAAAAGTCAGCTGGTATGAGGTACAGTTACTTGATGATAACCAAAAGATACAGATGGCCCAAATTCAAGAAGGAGCTTCACGGAATGAATACACATTTTTCAACCTCACTGCTGGTAATAAATATAATATTGCCATCACAGCTGTTTCTGGGGATAAACGTTCCTCTACAATGTATGCCAATGGATCAACAGGTAAGATTTGTTTACATGTAGTTGGGTATTTAATATTCTATACACCTTTTAAAATTATATTAGATTCAGGAGTAAGAATGCCATGAGATCAACAACAGATAGATAGATAGACAGACAGACAGGCAACGAAACTGTTTGATATAGAGGAAAGATTGGACTGAAAACAAGGAGGTGGGGTTGGGCTGCCACCTTGCTGGGTGATTTTGAACAACTCATGGAACTTCTCTGGGACTGGAACTTTCTCCAAAATGAAGATGTTTCCTAGCAGGTCTCTGCTTGTACCCATGTATCCCAGTATCAGTGGCATATTACCATTTCCTTCCATAACGCACTGTCTTATCATTCACTCTCCACTCATTTTCTCTCCTGCTTTATTGCTCTCTTTCAATTTTTCATCTTCTATAATTCTTTCTTTTCTCTTTTTCTTTTATTGCTAGGCTGTGGGATTTGAAAAGAGCATTAATCCAGATCCCAGTAAAATGTCAAGGGTGCTATTTTCATTAGTTATTACACAAATTACAGAGAAGCAAAAGTGAATGTGTGGTTTCAAATGTGTTTATATATTTTATAAGGAAATTATGAATAACACTTTGGAAATGCATTTTATCCCACTAGTGCCATCCCCAGTGAAAGATATTGGTGTTTTGGCAAAAACTAATTCGCTTCTGATTTCCTGGTCACGTGGATCTGGGAACGTGGAACGATACCAGCTGATGCTAATGGATAGAGGGATTCTAGTTCATAGTAGTGCTGTGGACACTACTTTCTACACTTTTCATGGACTGACACCTGGTCACCTCTATAATGTCACCATTGTTAGTGAGGCTGCAGGGCTGCAAAACTACAGATGGAAATCAGCCAGGACAAGTAAGTTTCCCTAGCTTTTCTGTACAGTAATAAGCTCAATTCAAGGAAATGTTTAATAAACAAGGTTTATTATTTGAATAGTGGAAGTTTAGGGCAAATTAAAATCCATGTATTATAAAAGACCTTAGTATGTATCCCTATTTCTACTTAGAGGGATTCTCTTTTATTCTAAAGTTTAGGCTAGCCCTTGGCAGTGTTATGAAATAGCAGAATTAATCATGGATATAGTCTCAGCTTCTCTTTTTATTTAAGGATTGTTACTTCCTTCTCTTAAACCAGCATCCACTGCCTTTGTGACATCACTCACAATGAACCAGGATTACTCTTCTCAGTGCTATACAAACACCTACTCCTGTGAACCAGCCATTTCCCAAACCTTCTCTTCTATGAAGCATCTACTGAGACCCAATTCTATAGTTGTTCTCATAGGCTGACATAGCAAGAAAGCTAATCTGTGCTATGCTCAGTTTTAATGAATTGTGTATATACATGCATACTCATTCATTTGTTCTTTTAATCAGTATTTATAAGGTGCAAACAATATCCTCGACATTGTAGATACAACAGTGTCCAAGAAAGACCATGTCTTTGCCTTCATGGAACTTCCATTCAAGTGGATTCTAATGCTTCTAGTCAGTCTACTGTGTTAATAAATCCCCTCCTTTGGGAAGCTATCTAAGTTTATATGAAAAAGAAAGTACTTTTAGCACAAAAATTTATGATACCCAATCAATCAACCAATCTATTTATTATGTACTTCTTGTTATTAAATACATAAAAAAGATGGGTAGAAATTAGGCAGATGACCAACTTCTTTGAGGAGTCCACTTAAAGAATTTCAGAACTGGAAAAGACCATTTTAAGTTTTTCTGACCCAAGCCATCGTTAAACTAAGGGCCCCATTATACAGAGTGAAGTAAGCCAGAAAGATAAACACCAATACAGTATACTAATGCATATATATGGAATTTAGAAAGATGGTAATGATAACCCTATATGCAAGACAGAAAAAGAGACACAGATGTATAGAACAGACTTTTGGACTCTATGGGAGAAGGCGAGGGTGGGATGATCTGAGAGAACAGCATCGAAACATGTATATTATCAAGTGTGAAACAGATCGCCAGTCCAGGTTGGATGCATGAGACAAGTGCTCGGGGCTGGTGCACTGGGATGACCCAGAGGGATGGGATGGGGAGGGAGGTGGGAGGGGGGTTCAGGATGGGGAACACATGTAAATCCATGGCTGATTCATGTCAATGTATGGCAAAAACCAGTACAATATTGTAAAGTAATTAGCCTCCAACTAATAAAAATAAATGAAAAAATAAATAAGTAAATAAATAAACTAAGGGCCCCTAAGCTTAGTGAGATAGACAGAGTGGTCCAGGGTTGCCCAGCCAACCCATGGCCAAATTTGAGCCAGAATCTAGGCTCCTGACTGCCATGTTTGTTCTCTCTCCACCAGCCAGACAACCTTTCTTTGGTTTTGTAGTATTTTTTTTTAATGTTGTGAAGTCATTTCTTCAGAGCAGAGACTGTGGCTTGTAGAGATTAAAATACATGTCAGAATTTGGCCATAAAAGTGGTATGACATCCTGAATTAAAATCTCTTCCCGGTTCTTCCTAATTAGTCCCCATGGAAGTCTCAAATCTGAAGGTGACGAATGAAGGCACTATGACTTCTCTAAAAGTCAAGTGGCAAAGGCCTCCCGGAAATGTGGATTTCTACAACATTACCCTGTCTTACCAAGGGACCATCAAACAATCCAGAACATTAGCATCCCAGATTACTGAAAGTCAATTTAAAGACTTGGCCCCTGGACGACTTTATCAAGTCACCGTCAGCTGTGTGTCCGGTGAATTATCTGCTCACAAGACAGCAGTGGGCAGAACAGGTGAGTCTAAGTCTCCATAAATTCCTTAGTTGCTCAAATCACTCTCTGATCCATGTTAGAATGGGATAAAATAGTTTAGTTGCTCAGTCGTGAGCATGCCAGGCCTCCCTGTCCATCACCAGCTCCCAGAGTCTGCTCAAACTCATGTCCATTGAGTCGGTGATGCCATTCAACCATCTCATCCTCTGTTGTCCCCTTCTCCTCTCGCCTTCAATCTTTCCCAGCATCAGGGTCTTTTCAAATGAGTCAACTCTTCGCCTGAGGTGGCCAAAGTATTGGAGTTTCAGCTTCAACATCAGTCCTTCCAATGAACGTTCAGGACCAATTTCCTTTAGGATGGACTGGTTGGATCTCCTTGCAGCCCAAGGGACTCTCAAGAGTCCTCTTCAACACCACAATTCAAAAGCATTAATTCTTCGGTGCTCAGCTTTCTTTATAGTCCAACTCTAACATCCATACATGACTACTAGAAAAACCATAGCCTTGACTAGATGGACCTTTGTTGGCAAAGTAATGTCTCTGCTTTTTAATATGCTGTCTAGGTTGGTCATAACTTTTCTTCCAAGGAGTAAGCTTCTTTTTATTTCATGGCTGCAGTCACCATCTGCCGTGATTTTGGAGCCCAGAAAGATAAAGTCTGCCACTGTTTCCACTGTTTCCTCATCTATTTGCCATGAAGTGATGGGACTGGATGCCATGATCTTCATTTTTTGAATGTTGAGCTTTAAGCCAACTTTTTACTCTCCTCTTTCACTTTCATCAAGAGGCTCTTTAGTTCTTTTTCACTTTCTGCCATAAGGGTGTTATCATCTCACTTTCATCAAGAGGCTCTTTAGTTCTTTTTCACTTTCTGCCATAAGGCTGGTGTCATCTGCATATCTGAGGTTATTGATATTTCTCCCAGCAGTCTTGATTCCAGCTTGTGCTTCAGCCAGCCAGCCCAGTGTTTCTCATGATGTACTCTGCATATAAGTTAAACAAGCAGGGTGACAATATACAGCCTTGAAGTACTCCTTTTCCTGTTTGGAACCAGTCTGTTGTTCCATGTCCAGTTCTAACTATTGCTTCCTGACCTGCATACAGATTTCTCAAAATAAGTTAGAAGGAAAAATTTTTCCCACCTTGGGAAGTATAATCTACATCATTCCTACGTAGACTGAGAGTGTCTATGAGTGAGGACCCCTTGTGCAGAGTCAAGCAGAGGGTTCATTGCGTTCATGTGAGTTTTTTCAGCAAATGGATTTGGATTGATTTCTGAACGATCTGTATTACTAGCTCTGCCCTGTGTTCTTTCAAGTCACACTACTTAAGTAGCATCAATGAATTAGAACTGATATTAATCAATAAAACATTTCTGATCAACTCTTATAATGAGAACTTTGTTGTTGTTTGTCGTTCAGTCACTGAGTTATGTCCAACTCTTTATGACCCCATGCATACCAGGCTTCCCTGCCCTTCACTGTATCCTGGAGCTTGCACAAACTCATGTCCATTGAGCTGGTGATACCATCCAACCATCTTGTCCTCTGTCGTCCCCTTCTCCTCCTGCCTTCAATCTTTCCCAGCAGCAGGGTCTTAACCATGTTTTCCATAAATCATTTTATTATGCCACCAAACATTTATTCATTGCCTTCCTTGTATAAATTATAGTATCATGCGCTTTCAGAGTTGTTAAGATGGTAGGGTTCAGCAAACTACACCCTTCAGTCAAATATGGTCTGTGACCTGTTTTTGCGTAACCCCAAACTGAGTGGTTCTTACATTTTAAAGAGGCTTTAAAAAGAAAGAAATAAAGAAAAAAGAAAAATATAAGAGAAATATATGACCTAAAAAATCAATATTTACTTTGCTAACCCTTGTTTTTATGGAAGTTACATTTTAATCACACAAATGTAGAATATGCACACAATTTTAAAAAATATTACATTTTAATGATGTAATTATATTGATGTTTCCATGGATCAGGCACTGACTGAACACTTCACAGCATTATTTCATTCAGTTTTCACCAAAATCACTAGAGGTCTTATTGTTATCACCAGTTTATAGATAATTCAGAGAGGTCAAATAGCTTGTCCATAGTCATGCAACAAGTAAGTGGTGGGGTTTAAACCAGGCTGTCTGATTCCAGGGCTCATTGTCTGTGTTATTGGAGATGCCAGGTAAGAGCCATAAATATGGTCAGAAAGAAATGAGAAGCTCTCCTTCAGAAGATCAGTAAAGATTTTGGGGAGGCAATGGCCTTTAACTGGGATTTTTTTAATATGATGCTCTTGGCAAGTTAAGAGGGAAAAGAGGGAAGGGCATTTGAGGTATAGGAAATAATAAAAACAAAGACACAGTGGCAAAGGAGCACAGGAGATCTAAGGTCTAAGGATGAGAAACTGGAGGCCAGCATTCAAGAGTGGGGAATGAGGGAGGGGCCCTGCAGGGAGAAGTCAGAGTGAAGACTAGCAGGATCTGGGCTCTGATTTGGGAGAGCTACAAACTCTGCATCAAAGACTTGATGTTTTTTTCTGTAGTTAATGGAGAAACCTTGAATGTTTTTGAGCAAAGGAATAATAAGATCAGAGTTATATTGCAAGAAGATTAATCTTTTCAATTGGAAAAGAAAGGTTTTGTGACCACTGTCTTCCAAAAGATGCCACATCCATCAATGTCACTCTCCTTAGAAGCAACATCAATATTGTCTCTAGGGCTGGTGTGCAATTAAAAAAACTCAGCGTTTGTATCACCAGGTTAATAGTATTACAGAAGATCACATTACTGATATATTGCTAAAATGATTTTAGCAAACATTTCTCATATGTCAGATGGCTCCAAATTACTTATTTGCAATTCACAAACATCAGGAGGAGATAGAAATGTTTTGAATTGCTACTATTAGATTTCTTATCTACTATTGCCCATGAAAAGTGAACGAGTATCCTTACCTTTGGATTTTCGTATCTCCTTGTGACATCATTTCACTGTTTAGTTCCACAGAAAGTTGGGGACCTGGAGGCAAACAGCAGTGGTTCTACGAAGTCCCTGGTAGTAAGCTGGTCGCCCCCTGCTGGAGACTGGGAGCAGTATCGTATCCTGCTCTGGAATGATTCCTCGGTGCTGCTCAACATCACCGTGGGAAAGGAGGAAACACACTATGTCATAGATGACGTGGGGCTTATACCGGGAAGACCGTATGAGATAGAAGTCACTGTTGAGAGCGGAAATCTGAAGAATTCTACGCGTTGCCAAGGCAGGACAGGTAAGCAAATAATACGGTGTTAATGACTGACAGAACCTTAATTTGGACCTTCGTCCAAGTAACCCAGGTAGCCATCAATGTCTTACCCCAGCATTCCCTGGATTTGAGACATTTTAGACTGGTAGACTGAAATAGGTTGGTAATATTTATTTTGTCAAATTAGAACAATAGAAATCACTTCCACTAGTAAGTCCATTGTTGTATCAAAGAAGGACCTTTTTTAACATCAAAAGAATAAGGAAACAATCTGGGCAAATCCTCTCCACAAAGTAGATATTTGATAACTATTTCTTGGTAGTTAGTGTTAGAGAACCACTGCCTTGACCCACTTCTGACTAATGGGGGAGTTTCAGATACAACAAAAGTTGTTAAAGCAGTGAGGGATATACTCAGACTTTAGGGCAGAGGAGAGTGATGTTTCTGAGAAATGGATTTCCGTATTCTTGCTGTCACCATTACACTGTAATTCCATGGCTAAGTCACAACCTCTTTGAGTCCATTTCCTCAATTTTCAAATAAGAGAGTTGACCTCTAAGCTTAACATTTCTATAAAAATCCCTGTGACATGGAATACTCCACACTTAGAGTGAAATTCAAATATATTCTCTCTTAGTCTTGCCTAATAATCAGGAAATAACTACACTGATGCAGTGTTCTTAGAAGAATGTCAAAGAAAAGGACCAAGACATGTCTTGGTAGCTTGCCAACTGTGTCTTCCAGTCATCTCTTCGTTTTCCAACTGTTAATATCTCCTGGATGATGATAAAAAATAAATGACCCAGTAATTTCCAAGAGTATTCTTTTGAATCCTTATTTCTGGTTATATTACACAAACAAGTTTTTTGTGATTAGCTTTTTTTTTTTTTTTGCTAAATGCTTATAAGCATTCAGAAAAGAAATGTTCAACTAGAACACTCCTGTGGATGGAAGGGAGCAGATCTCTAAAGAATACTCAAATGTATCCGAGTAAATCAATGACCCAGAAATTGTTGTTGTTCAGTTGCTCAGTCGTGTCTGACTCTTTTCTGCCCCATGGACTGCAGCACACCATGCACTGTCCTTCACCATCTCCCAGAGCTTGCTCAGACTCACGTCCATTGAGTCAGGGATGCCATCTAACTCTCTCATCCTCTGTCGTCCCCTTCTCTTCCTGCCCTCAATCTTTCCCAGCATCAGGGTCTTTTCTAATGAGTCGGTTCTTCGCATCAGGTGGCCAAACTATTGGAGCTTCAGCACCAGTCCCTCCAATGAATATTCAGGATTGATTTCCTTTAGAATTGACTGATTTGATCTCCTTGCAGTTTAAGGGACTCTCAAGAGTCTTCTCCAACACCCGAATGACCCAAATGTCTACTGCTTTTTCCTCAGTCCCCCTGGCTGTCCTTCATCTTCGTGTCAAACATGCCAATGAAACCTCACTGAGCATCATGTGGCAGACCCCTGCAGCAGAATGGGAGAAATACATCATTTCACTCGTTGACAGAGACCTCTTACTCATCCATAAGTTGCTTCCCAGAGATGCCAAAGAATTCACTTTTACTGACCTGGTGCCTGGACGAAAATACAAAGCTACAGTCACCAGTATTAGTGGAGACCTCAAAAATTCATCTTTAACAGAAGGAAGAACAGGTAATATTTTTAAATAAATTTTAGACTTTAAAAGTATCCTGTTTGCTGAATTATGTAACATTTCATCTTACAAATGTTCATTAAGAGCCTATTCAGTACAGGGCATACTGGGCATTGTATATGTATATACATTCATGTTTCATGTTTTCCATATATTTGCTCGCTGGGCTATAGTCTGGATAATTTCCTAGATCTTAGTTTTAGTTTATTAATTCTTTTTTTAGTTTTATCTCATCTGTTTGAAAGTCCACTCTTTGAGTTTTAAATTTTAATTGTTATGTTCACTTTTAAATATTTCCTTTGGTTGTCTTTCAAATCTGTTCTATATTCTGTTGCTCTTTGCGTTCTCCCCCCTCTATTACTATAAGTAAACTAATGACTTTTATTTTCAATCTATGTCTGATCAGTGCAATATCTGAAATCATCAGGAGTTCAGTCCTATTGTTTACTGAGTTGTCTGCCTTTGCCCATGGTGCTTTACTTCCTCAAATGTTTGTGATACTTTATCACATATCATATATCTTGGATTTTTATTTTGTGGGAATTCTTTGAGATAGGTTTCAGAAGGCATTTTCTTTTCTTGAGATTCTTTGAGGTGCACAGGATTTCTAGCAACTCAGACATTTAATCGAAATTATCAGCTTGAGGTTTTTGATCACCCAGGTTTTATGAATTTGGGTTGTAAACTCACTGAAAATGTGATGAATTCTCAGTGGAAGTTTTTTTTCTCCCAGTACTAAGGAGGCTGAAGTATATGGGGAACAGGGAGGAAATATTTATTTCACTTGCATTTAGAATGTAAGCTTTCAGGATTCAGTATTATGCAGAGTCACCTGTGAGGTTCCTCACCCTGGGAAAGTCCTATTCATAGTTCCAGCAAAGCTATAAAATCAAAGCTTAGATTTATATTTGAAAGGTGCCCTCATGGTGAAAGTCTGCTTCAGCTATCCAGTTACCTCTCTCACTTTATTATAGGTTTCTGAGAATTCATTACATTCTTGGCAACTCATTCATATATTTACATTTTTATGTCTTGTCCAGCATGTGCAGTTGTGTTTATTGAGGGGATTTTCATGGTTTGTGCCAGAAATGAAAGTGTTTTTATAGTGATTTCCCTTGTTGTACAAAAGCTTTTAAGTTTAATCACATCTCATTTGTTTTTACTTTTATTTCTCTTGCATTTAGGGGACAAATCCAGAAAAATATTATTACAATTTATGTCAAGAGTGTTCTGCCTATGTTCTCTTCTAGAAGTTTTATAATTTCCAATCTTACATTTAGGTCTTTAATCAATTTTATTTTTGTGTGTAGTGTGATGAAATGTTCTAATCTCATTTTTGTACATGTAGCTGTCTAGTTATCCCAGCACTACTTGTTGAAAAGAATATCTTTCCTTCATTGTATAGTCTTGCCTCCTTTGCCATAGATTAAATAGCCATACGTGTATGGATTTATTTCTGGGCTGTCTGTTCTGTTCTATTGATCTGTGTGTCTCTTTTTGTGCCAGTATCATATTGCTTTGATTACTGTACCTTTGTAGTATAATCTGAACTCTGGGAGCTTGGTGTCTCCAACTTTGTTCTTTTATTTCAAGATTACTTTGATAATTTATGGTTTTTGTGATTTCATGTGAATTTTAGGATTATTTTTTCCAGCTTTGTAAAAACTGTCATGGATATTTTGGTAGTAATTGCATTAAATCTATAGATTACTTTGGGTAGTAGAGCCATTTTAAACAATATTAATTCTTCTAATCCAAGAGCATGGGATATCTTTCCATTTCTTTGTATCATCTTCGTTTTCTTCATAAATGTTTTTATAGTTTTCAGACTTTATATTTCACCTCCTTGATTAAGTTTATTCTTTGATATTTTATCCTTTTTGATTTGTGGTTGTCATGGGATTCACATATGCTGCTGACCTATAATTATATATACTTGGTTTAGACTGGTAGTCATTTAAGATCACATGCATTCTGAAAGACCTACGTTTTTCACTTTCCTACCCCACATTTTGTGGATCTGATACCATTATTTTACATCTTTTGTTTATCCCTTAATTGTATATGGTTATTATAGTCGCATTTACAATTTTTTGTCTTTTAATGTATGTACTGGCTTATTTAAGTGGCTGATCCTTCATTCTTATTATATATTTGCCTTTTCTAGTGGGAGTTTTTCATTTCCTACAGATTCTTCTTTTCTATTTAGAGAAGACCCCTCAACTTTTCTTTTAGGGTATATGTAGTATTGATGAACTTTTATTTTTTCTTGTCTTTAGTTTTTGCTTATCTCTACTTCTATTTTAACTGATAATCTTGCTGGGTATTTTAACTGATAATCATCCAATCTTAGGTTGGATGTTTTTCCCTTTCAGCACTTTGAACGTATCATGCCTCTGCTTTCTGGCCTGGAATATTTCTGCACAGAAATCAGCTGACAGCCTTATAGGGATTCCATTGTGTATGAGTCTTTGTTTTTCTTTTGTTGCCTTTAGAATTTTCTCTTTAGCTTTTGCCTTTTTAATTATGCTATGTCTTGGAATGGCTCTATTTGGGTTCATCTTATTTGGGACCCTCTGTGCTTCCTGAACCTGCATATCTGTTTCTTTCTTCATGCTTGAGAAGTCTTCAGATGTAATTTCATCAAATACATTTTCAATCCTCTTTTCTCTCTCTTCACCTCTGGGACCCCTATAATGCAAGTATTGGAACACTTAATGCTATTCCAGACATCTCTTAAATTGCTTTCATTTTTTAAAATTTGTTTTTCTTTCTTTCTTTTTTCTGATTGAGTAGTTTACATTATTCTGCCTCCTAGATCACTATGTGTTCCACTAAATCTGCTCCTCATTCCTTCTTAGTGTGTTTTTTTTTTCTTTTATTTCAGCTATTGAATTATTCATTTCTGGTTGGATCTATTTTATATTTTCTGGTTCCTTGTTAAAGTGTTCACTGTTTAGATAATTTTTTTCCCCTAATTCAGTTAACATTTTTATTAACCAATGTTTTTAATTCTTTGCCTGGTAAATTGTTTATTTCTGTTTCATTCATTTTTTTAGGGATTTACTTTTTCTTTTCAATTGAGAGTAGTTCCTCTGCTTTTTCACTGTGCTCTCTGTCCTCTTGTTCCATCTTGATCTCCTCCTCTGGCTTGTCTTTTCCTTAATTATTAGTTTGCCTTGCAAAACATAAGTTTTTAACTTTGACGTCCAATTTGTCAATTTTTTCTTTCATGAATATGCTTTTGGTGTCCTATCTAAGAAATCTTAGTCTAACACAAGGTCATCAAAATTTTCTCCTAGAAGTTTCATAGTTTTAGGTTACAAATTTAGGTGTATTATCAATTTTGAATTTTTGTATATATGTAAGATATGAGGCAAAGTTTCTTTCTTTGCACATGGATAGCCAGTAGTTCTCATCCTCTTTGTTGAAAAGACTCTCCTTTCTTCACTGAATTGCGCTTGCATCTTTAAAAAAAATCAGTCTACTATAACGTGTTGTTCTTCTCTGAATCCTCAATTTTTTTCCGTTAGTCTGTCTGTCTACTTTTTTTTCCAACATCACGTTGTCTTCATTACTGTAGCTTTCTAGAAGTCTTGAAATCAGGTGATGTTAGTCCTTCAACTTTATTTTTGTTTTTCAAAATTATTTTGGCATATAATTTCACTGCTTTCCACATGTAATTTAGAATTAGAATTGAATCTTTCAATCCATGTACAGTAAAATATTTTAATGAATATGTTTATATTTTAATCAAAAAGTCAGTGATTTCTGAGAAAGGTTGTGCCAAGGTTCTAATCCCTTTGATTATCTATCATAATTCTGGGAAGAGGCACAAAGGAAATGTTGATCAAGTGCCAACTTCAAGATCTGTGTAAAAAGATTTGTTAATAGACATGTTAAAAATCACAATGGCTGTTAATTAGGTAAAGGGCACTAGCTCACAGGTGAGACAGATCAGGCCTTGGACCCCAGAATGACTCTTTCCTAGCACCGTTGTATAGGCCAATTACATTTTTTGATAATGGATTCGGTTGTTATCATTATTATTATTATTATTTAATACTATAACATATATTATTGTAGCATTTTCATGTAGAATAGGGCTTCCCTTGTGGCTCAGCTGGTAGAGAATCCACCTGTAATGTGGGAGACCTGGGTTCGATCCCTAGTTTGAGAAGATCCCCTGGAGAAGGGAAAGGCTATCCACTCCAGTATTCTGGCCTGGAGAATTCCATGGACTGTACAGTCCATGGGGTTGCAGAGTCAGACACGACTAAACAACTTTCACTCACTCACATATGTATAATAAGATTGGGCCTCTTGAGAATGTGCCAGTAAAGAATTACCAGTTTCCTAGACTACAATCTAATCATCAGGTTGAAGGGATTTCCCAATACCACCCCATAACAACCATCCAGTAAATAATGTGACTTTCAGTTCTTACTGAGTAGGGACAGGTGAAATCCCATTAGGTAAGCAATTGTCAAAAATAGCACCTTTTTATTGTTTAAAATTTAAAATAAAAAATACTTAATTGGCATACATCTTATCCTTGGATATGAAATAATTTTGACTTTCCACATAAGCAGCTTTTTCAGAACGATGGAGTCTCTGTAGGGGACTAGTTCTCCATATGTCACAGAAAATAAGGTTGACTGTCTATATCAAAGTATATGTATATATTTTAGCATTTTCAAAACTGCCTCCCTTTTTACTCCTTTTTGTCACACTTCCTTAGGGTAATGAAGTATCACCTGTTTTTCCTTCCCTCTCTGCTCCATTTCAGTGCCTGCCCAAGTGACTGGTTTGCGTGTGGCTAACCAAGGGACAACCAGCAGTCTGTTTACTAACTGGACCCAGGCCGTGGGAGGCGTCGAGTTCTACCAAGTCTTACTGATCCATGAAAACGTGGTCATCAAAAATGAAAGTGTCTCCAGTGACACCAGCAGATACAGTTTCCACTCCCTCAAGCCAGGCAGCCTCTACTCCGTGGTGGTAACAACAGTAAGCGGAGGGATCTCTTCCCGACAAGTGGTGGTGGAGGGAAGGACAGGTAAGAAGAGTGTGACCTACGGATATCTGAGCACATGGAACCTCCAGAGTATATCCCAGAAGTCTTAAAACATCCTAAAGACAGGCCCAACTCAGACCTTCCTAAAAGCCAAGTTTCAATACTATTTAGATAGTACATGGTGATCTCCCAGGAATGGAAATTGGAGGATGAGCGAGAGAGGAGAGAATGAATACTAAGTTTTCTAAAATCTCCAATACTTGTGTCAGAACTCCATGATGACACAATAGTCATTTGCTGCCTAAGTTTATTCCTTCATCCAGCTGGTTTTCTTTGAAATTTTTATGTCAGATTAAGGTAAGCAAGTCATAAATCATAAACTTAAAAAAAAAAACGTATCTTCCATTCTCTTTCTTATTCTTTGTTTCAAGACAGAAAAAACAATGATCTTCAACTTCTATGGTTGAAAGTTAATAAAATTCCCTAATCCCATATATTTTCATGGGCAACATTAAACAGTGTTTAATACTGTATGCCACCTAAACAGTGTTCCTTTACCTTAAAGAGTTCGTAGTAAAATAAGGCAGAGAGCAAAGCAAATAAATATCTTATGGCAATATGTGTCCGACAGAGGTGCAGCACCAAAGAAAGGAATATAATTTTCTACACAACACAAAGAAAGAATCTAAATACAATATAAAATGTATGTTCTAGTTTCTTAGAAAGGAAAACAGTTAAATAAATCCAATAGAAGCTTTAATAATTATTAGTGACCTCAGAATCAGGTCAGTGACTTTGCCTATTTAATTTCATATGATTATAATAAGTTGGATGTCAGGCTCATCCCTCTGTATTTTCAATGCTCAGATTCTGAGTATCAGCAGCGTATATCCACAGTTATGTCCTTTTCTAAAATCATAAACCTCATCTGCTTATTGAATCCAAGGACCATTAACTTCATTAACTCTCCCAAAAGATCAACTAAGTCGCTGAAAAGATATTTCTTGTCTAGGTAGAAATTCACTGATGTCAGCTCATTTCTGTCATTTCTGTGGCAACTGATGCTGTTCTTCCTGATATCTTCCTTCTTCTCCTTTAGTGATTCTTGGCACTATCCATCAGTGTAGCATAGTTGGATTGGGGGACCCAAAAGCTTAGTTTGGGATCAAGAGGCCTAGATTCTGACCCTAGCTCTCCATTAACTTATCTCTCTAAGCCTTCATTTTCTCTCCCATCCCCAGTAATTCATGCCAACACCAGGTATCAGAGTGGGGAAAGAGAAATAAGTTGAAGAGAAGAGTTGAGAAGGAACTTGCCTCCATTTCCCATTGAGTTGCAGTTGCATTAGTCAGATTACACTGACTTATTTCCTGCTTATACAACTGTACAATGTAGGTGTTCCTGATTGGACAACTCTATTGGGTGGTTCTTCTCCAAGCAGTAATTTAGGGACCCTGGGTCCTACCATCTGTGGTTCTTCCTTCCTCTAGATCCTCGGAGGTCTCTTCATTTCTCCAGAGGATGGAGATTATGGGGAGGAGAAAGACTCCCAAAGCTGGAAGTAAACACATCACTTCCACCCACATTCCTTTAACGGGAACAGTTGTACTGTTCTGCAGTACACTGCGCTGCAGGACTGGCTGGGCAGTATAGTCTAACTGTGTGTCCAAGAGGAAAAGGAAATGGTTTGGTAAGCAAGTAGTCAGATTCTGCTACAAAGGTTAATTCCCATCTTAAAATACCCCAAGGGCTACCCAGCTTATTGTGCTATACTAAAATAGTTTGGTGTCTGAGATCACTTGATAAATGGAACTTGTAATTATTTTATACTATATTTTAATGGCAACAGAGGTATCAGTATTTGACCAACATTATATCATAAAAGTATGCAAAAAATAGACAAGAAATTCTTTGAAGAATGATTATAAAGTTTTGAGGAGAGGACAAGATATGAATAAATACAAGCATCAGTTATTTTATTCAAACACATTGATGCAGAAAAAAGAGAAAAATGGAATATTACTATAAAGACACAATATTGAGAATTTTGAAAGGTGCTTTGGTTAGTATATTTTGAACATGGTAGATTGTAAAAATAATTCGGTGGCTAAAGCCTTGATAATCATTACCATCTAGTCAACTTGCTGAAGTATTAGTCAAGGTTGAAATAATTCATTTATACTTATACAGATTTTAAACATATATATATATATATATATATATATATATATAAAACCTCCCAGTTTAGATAAAGTGGCAAAATATTTAAAATTTAAAATATCAAATATGTTTAACAAATCTAGTTATAACCTGAAAAAATGCTAATTCTAAAGAAAAATAAGTTTTATATCTGTCTTTTAATTTTATATCTGGCTTTTTAAACATGAGCTTATATTTTTGGTTATATTTTTGATAATTATATCTTTTCTAATAAAATGTTAGTAGTTGCAAATATTTCCAGGAGTTTTGAAAAATAAGCATAGTTATTTTGGGAGCTACCAAGGGATGTGATGTACAGATACTAGGAAGGACAGAAAGTAAAGAAAAAAAGGAAGGGAAGAAGGAAGGAAGTCATCAATACACAAATAATATGGCTAAAAGTTCAATGTTATATATAGGAAATGTCCATATATATGGAACAGCATTAGCAAAATTATTCAATAGAGTGCTGTTTATATCTTCAGTGATGGATAAGTGCTTATAGATGTAAAAAAGACTTTAGGGCTTAAACCACAAAGTCAGAGCATATTAGATAAGAAGGATTCTCAGAGGTCATCTAGCCAAATCCCATCAATTATATGTGACGTATGGATTTTGACAATTATATGAAAATGTTTACCTGAAGTCAGTCAACCAATTATGAAAACTGCAGTGGAGTTCATATATAATATAATATTTTATTCTGATACTCACTACTGACAGTACTGTTTGTTGTGCACTTATTTCTAATACAGGGTATAACTATTATTCAGCATCACAATGATTAATTTTCAGACTGAACTAGTAGCTGGGGAACTCCTGAAAGGCATCCGCATCTTTTCTATTTTTGTACGATTATGGTGGACACCAGAAAAGTCATTATCTCCACGACAGGTCTTTGTGCCCTCAAGTCTGGTCTCCAGACTAGTTGCTTACGGAATAGATATTTAAGTTAATTTCTTACCACTAGAGGGCAGGAAATGCTTTGCAAAGGGAAATACAACCCCTTCACCTGTGTTCACGATTAGACACCCCAGAAATAAATAACTTAATCACAAGATCGAAGCTATCCCAAGGTCTAAGACTTTAGAAAAGCCATTGTATCTTGAATACCTTTTCCCTCAAACTCCTTTCTTTATCAGTGGGTTTGGATTCAAGCTCATACATTTAGGATGTTAATGTTTGTTCCCTGTCCTGCAAAGGGAACCTCCTAACACTCTCACATAAAAATGCCTCCACTTCAAATCCTCTGCAAACCGTCACACCATGAAAATTCAATAGCAGCACCCTTATATTGCTGAGGCATCCAAAAGACTTCTTGCATATTCATTTTGGTTAGCCTTCTGAGGTAAGAACTCTCAGCTTCCCAAAGCTAACGTGAAATCCTTACACTTCCTCAACACTTCCTAGGTAATCAGATCTTCTGAGTCCACGCCGTTTGTGCTGACCGCAGTAAATGACTCACAATTTGACTGTGCTTTTCTTTTTAAATATTCTCCCCCTCTTTAAAATCCCAGTCCCTTCCAGTGTGAGTGGAGTAACGGTAAACAACTCTGGCCGCAGTGACTATCTCAGCATATCCTGGCTGCCGGCTCCCGGAGACGTGGATAACTACGTGGTAACGCTCTCCCATGACGGCAGGGTGCTTCAGTCCCTGGTGACTGCCAAGTCTGTCGGCGAATGTTCCTTCAGCTCCCTCACCCCAGGCCGCCTCTACAACGTGACCATAACTACGAGGAGTGGCAAATATGAAAGTCATTCCTTCAGCCAAGAGCGGACAGGTGAGGCTTTCATAAGATGCAGACTCTCTGAGAACCAGCCACCTACATGCTTCAGGGCATCAGGCAGGCATGTGTGTGTGCTAAGTCGCTTCAGTCCTGTCCACCTCTTTGTGAGTCCATGGACTGTAGCCCAGCAGGCTCCTCTGTCCATGGGATTCTCCAGGCAAGAATACTGGAGTGGGTTGCCATGCCCTCTTCCAGGACATCTTCCCAACCCAGGGATCAAACCCACATCTCTTATGTCTCCTGCACTGGCAGGTGGGTTCTTTACCACTAGCGCCACCTGGGAAGCTCCTGAGGACATCATAGATGTGCGCAATTCTGTAAGGACGGGATTAAAGACTGCTGAGATCACAACACTCTTCTAGAGTCCTCATATTTTGACCCAACAAGTTCCTTATGTGAGCAGATGGTACCTTCAGAATAAGATGAACACAATTTTTGTGGCTAGAGTTCATAGTATATTTAAATATAGTATCAAGTATTTCTGTTTAGGAAGTACTTTTTGGTTGCTAGACCCTGGCTTTATATATGTTCACTAATTTAATCACTAATTTATAAAGTCCTTATTGAGGTAGTTAGTATTCCCATCTTACAGGTTGTGGTAAGTGTTGAACCAAAGTCCTAGGTAACTTGCCCAGTTGTTTAACTTGTTAAACAGCCAGGGCATTTCACATCCTGGATTTTAAACTCAGTTCTGAATGACCCAAGAGCCTATAATGTTCTCTGTCCTGAAATTTTTCCTGAAATATCTGTTGGTCAAGACCACTGTTCATCCTTTTTTTAGATAAGGTGAAAATGTGAAACTTTATTGTTCTGAGACTAGGAGCAAAATCTTAGCAAAGGCATTGAAGGCTTGGTCTTTAATGTGCTATAAAGAACTAAATTTAGACAGCTACCATTTTCCCAATTTACTTATACCTCCTGGGGCTTACATCTGTGATTACTGCTTAAGGTGCTGTTAATGTTTTGTCAAATCTTTCCTGCTGAGCTATGGGTTGATATTTACATTTTAAAATGTCAGTTTTCCATGAGGATCTGGGACAACTAATATCATTTAATGCCCCAACACAAGATCTGGAGCCTAGTAGTAGGCACTCAATGAATGTTCGATGAATGAATAATCAGAAATCACTTAGACTGGAGGTTTTTACCCAGTGCTTCATTAGGTAGACTTTTGGAAAACAGTACCCCCAAAATTTTCTGTGAAGTTGTTGGGAACAGGGGAAGTATGTGCATTCCTTTGGAAAGAGAGTGGATGGCTTTTTATCAGAATCTCACAATTTCTGTAACCTCAAAAAGTTAAGAGCCACCAATTCACATTGCTGCAGCATGCTAACATTGAAAGTGTCTGTAGAGTGGTCTGATTCCATCTCATTTGAGATAAAGCCCCAGAAAGAAACTGTGGCTTCCTAAAGGTCACATGGCTGACCAGTACCCAAGCTCAACTGTACTCAAGGGCTGTTTCCATTACATAATGTTCTCTCTGAAAGCACTAGTTGGAGATACAAAGAGATAGTACTTACCCTCAAATGATTTAACGTTTAATTATGCTGATAAGCACAATACTGTCTTAGATCTGAAAAGCAGATTTCTATTTACAAAGCAGCCTCATGTCAGCATTTTATGTTGATTTAACTTGGAGCCTAAAAATTGCCAGAAATTAAAGGATATGTCATCCAGTCACCAACCCTTTTCTTTCCCTTGGTGTCAGTTCATGACTGTTCCATGTCCACATGACTTTCATATTGCAAGGTCTTGTGCTCAGATTGTTTTTAAATGCAAGAAAAGTGAGTCTTTATTCAAAGCACCCTTTTGATTCTTTACCAGCATGAACTTGGATTTGGCGCATGACTAATCAGGGTAGACCATTGCCCCTGACAAATCAGTTTAACTGGAGTGCCGTGTCTGAGCTGTTGCCTTGTTGATTTTGGCTGATTGTCTCAATGCCCTTTTCCTTTTCTAATGCTTTTGTTCTACATTTCTGGTCATAATGTCAGTATTTCTAATTCTGTACCACATCATCTCACCGTGTATCAAGGCAAGTCTCACAAATTACCCTCAGTTCCACCTGGAGAGCCCTTTATTGACTTAGCATGGTACTCAGCCTCGTTTTTCTCCCTGGAAGAGTTGCTTTGTCTTCAGTAAATTGCCTGGATCATCAACCTTTCTTAGCCCATACAAACAGCGTCACTCTGGAATGTATTCTCTTCTGTGATGACTAAATTCTAGCAACATGCTGATGGGTTCCAGGTAAACATCTTGGGAGAAAAGCATACCTGCTCTTTCTCCATATCTGGAGTGTGATAAATTCCTGTATAAAGCCCAGCACACATAAGGCAACAAAGGATAATAGTGCAACTTGTAGGTGTGAGAAGCATCATGAAAAATGTAGCTTAGATACCAAAATATTAAAGTTTCTGGATCATTTTATGCTTGGGGAAACGTAGGAGAGAAAACCTGGACATAGGCTTAGCATGTGATCAGAGCAGAAATCCCTTGACATACACCAAACACAGAGATTGCCCAGATCCAGAGAACATGGTGGCATTGAGATGGAGTTTAGCACCCTGGATCAGGCTGAGTTCATCTCTCTTCTCAATTCTCCTTCTCATTAATATTTGTAAAATCCAGTTATGCCAAATAGTAATTAATCTGGGACCTACTTTTGAATTAAAATACAGCCCCAAATAAAAAAATAGAATATCTGTGATATCATGCTCTAAATACAGAATTGGCTTATTTTACAGTGCTCCTGTTAACAAGCATTCATGGACTGATTGATCAATTGAGAGGAAAACTATAGGTTCACAGAATTGTTTATTTATATAGTTATGGGGAACGTCAGGTGCACAAAATTAAATTAATCATAATTCTTGGCTCAGGGTCCTATGTGTCAGTTGCCACTTTGCCAGTTTTGTTTTTTAGGCATTTAATTAATAATTTTTAATAATTTTATATGTACATCAGAAAGCACTACCCAGAACAAAAGCTAGGGACTTAATAATCTACATCAAATCATGAGATTCCCTCCTCACTAATCCATCCCACAATAGCCATCATCTTAACTCCTGTTTTTCTCTCTTGCCTTCCATGTTGCACTTTTATTATTTATGTAATCCTAAAATTATATATTTTTTAAATTTTCAGTTGTTTTGATATAAAATAGGTATTTTCATGCAATCTTCTGGGACTTAGATTTTTTTTCACTTAATATTAAATTCATCCATATTTTGTGTTTTGCTATTAAGGACAAGAAATCCAGATTTTTGTGTTTTGAGTTAAGAAAAATTAATTATGACTTCCATATACTGTTTCACTGTGTTTATTTACCAGTTCATTCATTCAGTCTTCTGTGAATGAACACCCTCTCTCACACTGGGTTTTATCAGGTTTTTAAATTTTGTCAACCACATGGATGTAAAATCGTATTTTATCATGGCCCTAACTAGCGTTTCCTTGGTCACCAATGATGCTGAACATATTTTCGTGTATCAATTACCACATGTCCTTCCTCTTCTTCCATTTTCTTTTGGATTGTTTATACTCATGTTGGTAACTTATTGTCATATATTGAGTTGCCAAGGTATGCTGAAATTATTAATGTCATCGCTATCATTCATATTAATCATCAGTTATTACATTTAATGTTCCATCTTGTACTGACACCTTGTATAGGCTAACAATTGGATTAGGATTCATTCATCAGGTTCTGTAAAAAAAAGATCCATTTAATTACTCCAAATAGTGTAACCATCTTTCCTCTCCAGAAATTTGTGATCTGAAGGTCTAAGATTTTTTTCTTTTAAATGCATACAGTAAAAATCTCCTCACTTTCCTTTATCATCTGAGATTGTCATCTGTGATCAATGGCTCCCTCAGAATCATTCTATATCTAGCTGTTTTCTGTTCTCTTTTTTCAGTGCCTAACAAGGTCCAGGGAGTCAGTATCAGCAACTCGGCCAGGAGTGACTATTTAAAGGTATCCTGGGTACATGCCTCTGGAGACTTTGATCACTATGAAGTCACCATTAAAAACAAAAACAACTTCATTCAAACAAAAAGCATTCCCAAGTCTGAAAATGAGTGTATATTTGTTAAGCTCGTCCCTGGACGGTTGTACAGTGTTACTGTTAGTACAAAAAGTGGACAATATGAAGCCAGTGAACAAGGAAATGGAAGAACAAGTAAGTGGAAAGATTGCAAAATTTCATGGTTGGTTGGGACTTTAAAGGTCATTGAGTATATAATTTATCTGAACCTTGAATTTTATCTACTTATTGATCAGTAAATTATATTCCCAGTTAGTCTCACTTGGAATTAATATCATTCAGCCAAGCCAGGACCTTGTAATCACAGAATATTTATTGACAGATAAAAGCAAGCATAGTGGACAAGCAGGAAGGCCAAATTTCGCATTTTTCTTCCCTTGTCCTCCTGCATCATGCATTTAAAGTTCTAGACATGTTGTTTTATCTTATGATTGAGATCATAACTCATTTTATAATTATATTCTAGCAACACTTAGCATATAAGATTTATGTAAGGAAAAAAATTGCAATCTTAATAGTGGCTTCCAATTTTTCTTGTTTAATTATGCGTGAAGTCGCTGACGTGGTTTATTTGGGGAAGAGAGATGTTTGCCAGTCCTGTGAACGTGATTCATAAATTATTGTGAAGTAAACTCTAATCAGTCACTTTCTCGAAATGTCTTCTTGTAGTCCCAGAGGCTGTCAAGGATCTCACCCTGCAGGACAGGAGTACCGAGGACCTTTGGGTGACGTGGACACGAGCTGAAGGGGATGTCGACCAGTACGAGATCCAGTTGCTCTTCAACGATATGAAAGTATTTCCTCCTTTTCACCTTGTCAGTACTGCAACTGAGTATCGATTCACCTCCCTCACCCCGGGGCGCAAGTATAAAATTCTTGTCTTGACGATTAGTGGAGATGTCCAGCAGTCAGCCTTCATTGAGGGCTTCACAGGTAATTGGAAATCCGGCTCTCGAACCTGACTAGATAGAGCAGTGTATTTAGCATGTTGGGTAGCCAAGTGTTTTGGTTGAGGATTGAAGGGCTAAGGGGTGAGGGAAGAGTGGGAAGAAAGGAGAAGTTTATCTCGATAGTGACAATGATGTTGTCCAAGCTGGTTTAACAAAACTGAAGTATGATGTAGGGAAGAAGAAAAAGTTTCTGAAAAAAAAGCATTGAATTGATGTGAATAGCTGTTGCCTGTGAGTCATACAAATTAAGTAGAAATAACTGGGTTGGTTGGTTGGTTGTATATTCCTTCTTTGGAACTCTATTGGGAATGTTGCTATAACAGCTAACATTTATTAAGAGTTTACCGTGAACTGGACCCACAGCAAAGAACTTTATGTGGAAATTTTGTTCAGTCCTAACAATTTCATGGACTGGTTACTATTATTATCACTGCTGTTTTTCTGATGAGGAAATTGAAACTTACAGGGGTTGAGTAATTTGCCTATAGTCCCACAGCTAGTAAATGAGGAGAACAAGACCTGGACCAAGACAGTCTCATTAGCACCCTCTGTGTAACTGGCGTTCTTCATTTCCACTCACTGGCCTTAATGTCCCTCTAAATTTCCCTTATCAACTTCAGTTCAAGCAAAAAAGTCAGAGAAAAATGGTAGACTGATAGCAATTTTTTCATATGTATTCTTTCAGTAGATGCCAAAAGGTAGGAAGCATGAAAATTTTAGTTGAAAATTTCCACAACTCATTCTCCAAGTGATTTTTTTTTTTAATTTACTGTCTTTTCTTAGTTCCTAGTGTGGTCAAAAATATTCACATTTCTCCCAGCGGGGCAACAGATAGTCTGACAGTGAACTGGACTCCTGGTGGGGGTGATGTGGATTCCTACGTGGTCTCAGCATTCAGGCAGAATCAAATGGTCGAGTCTCAGACTGTCCTCAAGTATGTGTCTGAGTACACGTTCCAGAGGCTGGAGGCTGGTGAGCAGTACCGGATCGTGATCGCTTCTGTCAGCGGGTCCCAGAAAAACCAGATCGATGCGCTTGGGCGGACAAGTAAGTGTCCACCTGGAAAAGGGCCAGATAGTTCTCCAGGGCCAGTCACAAATGGACAATATCCAAACTCAAAACCACTGAATTTATACAGTTCGATGTGATTTCAAGAGCTTTTCTCATATTTTTTTCTTTGCATTTTCCTTTTTTTAATAGAGATGTTCAAAGCAAATGAAAGGTAATTAGAAACCAAATCATATGAATAGATTTTTTTCTCACTCAAGGAATATAAATAGCTGATTTTCTAACCTATGCATTTTTCAAAAGTTTACTCCTTTCTTTAAATTCTTTAAAGAAAAATACACTTATGTCATCTTATTTCATTTGTGATAAATTAATAATATTCTGTTTATTTATATTAATGCATGCTAAGTCACTTCAGTCATGTCCAACTCTTTGCCACCCCATGAACCATAGCCTGCCAGGCTCCTCTGTCCATGGGATTCTCAGGCAAGAATACTGGGGTGGGTTGCCATGTCCTCCACCAGGGGATCTTCCTGACCCAGGGATTGAACCCATGTCTCTTACATCTCCTGCCTTGGCAGGCAGGTTCTTTACCACTAGCACCACCTGGGAAGTCCATTTATTCATATATTAATCAGTTCAGTTCAGTCACTCAGTCGTGTCCAACTCTTTGCAACTCCATGGGCTACAGCACACCAGGCCTCCCTGTCATCACCAACTCCTGGAGCTTGCTCAAATACATGTCCATCAGGTCGATGATGCAACCCAACCATCTCATTCTCTGTCATCCCCTTCTCCTCCTGCCTTCAGTCTTTCCCAGAATCAGGGTCTTTTCCAATGAGTCAGTTCTTCGCATCAGGTGGCCAAAGTATTGGAGTTTCAGCTTCAGCATCACTCCTTCCAATGAATATTCAGGACTGATTTCCTTTAGGATGGACTGGTTTGATGTCCTTGCAGTCCAAGGGACTCTCAAGAGTCTTCTCCAACACCACAGTTCAAAAGCATCAGTTCTTCGGCACTCAGCCTTCTTTATAGTCCAACTCTCACATCCATACATGACTACTGGCAAAACCATAGCTTTGCCCAGGCGGAACTTTGTCACCAAAGTAATGTCTCTGCTTTTTAATATGCTGTCTAAGTTTGTCATAGATTTTCTTCCAAGGAGTAAGCATCTTTTAATTTCATGGTTGCAGTCACCATCTGCATTTATATTAATAACACTATTCATACAGTGCTTTCAAAACAAAAATAAGCTAGAAGCACCCTGTAAATACCAGGCATGAGTAGAATGAGCCTTAGGGACTTTCCTGGTGGTCCACTGTTTAAGACTTCACCTTCCAATTCAGGGGTGCAGATTTGATCCCTCGTCAGGGAGCTAAGATCCCACATACTTCAGAGCCAAAAATCCAAAACATAAAACAGAAGCAATATTGTAACAAATTCAATAAAGACTTTTAAAATGGTCCAGTCCACATAAAAAAAAAAGATCTTAAAAAAAATAGTAAAATGATCTTTAGCCACACTACAAAATAGAAATCATTATCTTCATTTTATAGATGAGGAAAGTAAGGCTCAGAAAGTTTATGAAACATTATCAAGGATACATGTAATAAGGCCTAGAACTATAATTCACATTTAAGTGTCTCTGACTCCAAACCTCATGGTCTCTCTACCACGACACAATATGTGCTAGATATCTTCTACCCTCATGACCATTTATGTAGTTGTGGGGCCCGGGCCTCTGTACTGTGCCTTGCCTGTCTCTATTTCATACGTATCTCCAACTATATGTCAAGCACTATGTTAGAAAATGGGAATTTAACAGCACGATAGAGCCCGTGAGCAAAGAAGTCTACAATCTAAAGAAGGAAGCAGAGAAGTGAAAAGGCAATTACAGTACAACACAATACTTGTTAAAATAAAAGTAAAAATGGGATATTACAGAAGCAAACAAAAAGAGTCAGGGGGACTTGCCTGGTGGTCCAATGGGTAAGACTTCCTGCTCCCAGTACAGGGGGCCTGGGTTCAATTCCTGGTCTGGGAACTAGATCCTACATGCCACTACATGCCACAGCTAAAGATCCTGCATTCTGCAACTGGGACCTGGCACAGTCAAATAAATAAATAAATATTTTGGGGGAAAAAAAGTCAGGGAAGGCTTCCAGGAGAAAGTAACATTTAAAAAGACACTAGGAAATCATCCTGGTGAAGTATATGTTGATCAGGTTCAAGCAGAAAAGCGAAGGCCTGGAGGGAAGAGGATGCATGGCTCATTTGAAGAGCTACACACCATTATTTCTAGAATAAAGATGTGAGCCATGTGGCCAAGTAGGTAGATGGACCTAATTACCAAGGGCCTCATTGTTAAAATTATAGAATTACAGAGAGCGATGAAGGGCTGTAAGCATTGTGTGCTATGAGAATCTGCCAAACACTGAGGTTTGGAGCAGTGGGACATGAGGAAACTCTGGTCAAGAGCCACTTGCAGTGCTGTGGGTGAGAAATGAGTGCCCCAGGCTAGAGCAGTAGAGAAGGAGAGAAGTGGAGAGACCCAAGAGATGTAAGACTTAAGATGCAGGAGTGACAGGACTCATGCTTGATTATGTAGAAGGGTGAGGGTGACAAGTCAAGTTTCTGACTTGGACCAAGACGTAGAAACAATGAGCACTAAGGAGGTGGAGGAGGGAGATGAGAGTTCGATTTGGGCATCTTAAGAGCTGGGAGTCTGTGGAAAATCCAGAGAGGAATGTCATTTGCAAAACTAGAAGAGAGATCTGAACTGAGTTTAAATCTGGGGGTCATCACCACGTGGGTGACAATTCAAATTATGGGAGTGTATATGATCTCTTGAGGAGACTGGGTAGAATGAGAAAAAATATAAGCATAGCACACTAAATATTATTAATAAACAATACCATCTGGCCTTTCATATCAGAAACCGTAGGACAAAGACTGTTATATGCTAGTGCTTAGGTCAAGGCTTGAAGCTTTGACCTGAGTTAATCTCAGGAAGGAAAGTCTAAACAACGTAATTCAGTCATCCAAACTATATTCATTGAGTGTAAGTTTGTTCAACATTCTTCCACTTTGTAAATACTTCCATATGTATAACTCTGCCTATCAATGTCATTATCACTAATTTTTCTACTTGTTTGACTTCAAGATCCTTTAAATCAGAGGGGAAAAATAGAGAATCTGAGCAGTTATATGGCTAACTCAGGTCAAGAAATACTGGGTTGGCCCCAAAAGTCCATTCTATTGGGTGTTACAGAAAAATCTGAACGAGCTTTTTGGCCAGACCAATACTTTCTCCGAAGGGCACATGAAGAGTGTCAATGCAACCATGAGGCATCATCTTCCATCTGCAGTTGATTTAGGGAAGTTTTTCTCAACTGATTACTTTGCCCTAAGTGATGGAACCTGCTTCTCTCTCTCTCTCTCTCTTTTTTTTTTTTTCTTTTTGCAGTCCCAGCGTCTGTCCAGGGAATAACCGCAGACAATGCATACAGTAGTCATTCCTTAATAGTAAGTTGGCAAAAAGCTGTTGGCACGGCAGAAAGATATGACATCCTACTTCTGAGTGAAAATGGGATCCTCCTAAGTAACACATCAGAGGCAGCCACCACGAAGCAGCACAAGTTTGAAGACCTAACACCAGGAAAGAAATACAGGATACAGATCCTGACCGTCAGCGGAGGCCTGTTTAGCAAGGAAGCCCAAACAGAAGGCCGAACAGGTAATTCGCACAGCTTACTGTTTTGTGCAAGATACATCCTTGTCTGCCATTCCTTAAGAACCACAGACTCAAAGGGATGAAGTGTAGTATTGGGAGATGAAGTCTATTTCTTGACATAGCAGGAACATTCACGGTGATCTGCCACTTCCACGCCAGCTGGCCTATTCACACAGCCTTCAGCTCGCCACACTCCAAGATTCTTCATCAAAACTGGCTCTGTTCATTTCTTATTGTTGCTGTAATATATTGTCACTAACTTTGCAGCTCAAACAACACAAATATATCATCTTACAGTTCTGTAGATCAAAATCAGAAAATAAGCCTCGTGGCATTAAAATCAAGGTGTCAGGTCACAGAAGGGCTGTGTTTCTATTCTAGAGACTTTATAGGGAGAATCTATTCCTTGCTTTTCAGTTCTAGAGGTCACTCACGTTTCTTCCAGGAGTGACTTTACTCCAACTTCTCTGCTCTTTCGCCTCCTTCTTCCACCTTTTATGGACTGTGGTGATTCCATTGGTCACCACCTGGACAATCCCGAATAATCTTGTCACCTCAAGATCCTTGACTTAATCACACTTGCAAAGTCCGTCTTGCCACAGAAAGTAACATATTCACAGGTTCTGGAGATCAGGACATGGATGTCTTTGGGAGCCATTATTCAGACAGCACCACTGGTCAATGATTATTAAGTACCTAGGTCTGAAAGGACTTTCCTGGTAGCTCAGAGGGTAGAGAACCTGCCTGCAATGCAGGAGAGCTGGCTTCAATCCCTGGGTTGGGAAGATCCCCTGGAGAAGGGAACGGCTACCCATTCTAGTATTCTTGCCTGGAGAATCCCATGGACAGAGGGCTCTGGTGGGCTATAGTCCATGGGGTCACAAAGACTCAGACATGACTGAGCAGCTGTATGTGTTCCTAAGTCACTTCAGTCATGTCTGACTCTTTGCGCCCCCTTGGAATGTTGCCTGCCAGGGTCCTCTGTCCATGGGATTCACCAGCCAAGAATACTGGAGTGGGTTGCCACATTCTTCTCCAGGGGATCTTCGCAATCCAGGGATCAAACCCACATCTCTTAAGTCTGCTGCATTGGCAGGCGGGTTCTTTACCACTAGTGCCACCTGGGAAGCCAGGCAACTGAATAGCTAACACACACTTTCACTAGGTCTGAAAGGGTTTGATGTTGATAGGAACATAAATTATGTATGTTTCTCATCCTGAAAGAGGTGACTGATACTTGGGGGAGACAGACATGTGGACAAACAATGACAACACATTGTGATAAATGTTGTATATGAGACAGGAAGGTCCAGCACCAAGGGGAGCATGGAGGAGGTGGCATTGGGAAGTTTTAAAAGTGACTTTTCAGTACTGTCATGAAGGATGAAACAATTATCCACATGCAGAAAAGCCAGAAGGACACCAGTATAGACAGATGACTATATGCCAACACAGGGAGGTGTGAGAGGAGCAGTGAGGTTCTGTGGTAACTGAAGTGTGTCTTACATGGTGGCGACGTGAGGCTGGAAAGGTAGGTTGGGGCCAATTAGAGAGTGCCTGGTGTGCCTTCCTCAGGAATTTATGTTTCATCTTATAAAATAAAGAAAATAATAAAAGTTTTTCAGCCAGAGAGTGAATGTTTTGTAATAAAAATGGGTACTAAAAAAAAAAAAAAGATAAATCAAATGGCAGTGAGGAATAGATTGAATGGAGGAGAGACCAAAGGTGAGAAGACCAGTTCATTAATGCATTTGTTATGAAGCACCTACTGTGTGTGTGAGGCACTGTTTAAATGTTGGACACACAGAAATGAGTAAAACAAATCCTCATGGTCATAAAGCTTATCTTCTAGCAGAGGAGAAAGGCAATAAACAAAGAGGTAAAAAATAGAATAGGATACTTATGGACACAGCAGTGGGAAGGAGAGGGTAGGACAAATTGAGAAAGTAGCATTGACATATATATACAATAGCGTGTATATATGTCATGATATATATACACTATCAGGTGTAAAACAGATAGCTAGTGGGAAGCTGTGTATAACACAGGGAGTCCAACCTGGTGCTCCGTGATGACTTAGAAGCGTGAGATAAGAAGGGGAGGGAGACTCAAGAGGGAGGGTATATTACTTATATATATAATTTGCATTGTTATATGGCAGAAACCAACACAACACTATAAAATAATTATCCTCTAATTAAAAACTAAAGGAAATCTATAGTAAGCTAGATGGTAATGAATACTTAGGAGAGAACTTCCCTGGTAGCTCAGCTGGTAAAGAATCCACCTGAAATGCAGGAGACCCCAGTTCGATTCCTGGGTCAGGAAGATCCCCTGGAGAAGGAAATGGCTACCCACTCCAGTATTCTGGTCTGGAGAAATCCGTGCTCTGAATAGTCCATGGGGTCACAAAGAGTCGGACATGACTAAGCAACTTTCACTTTTCACTGAGAAGAAAATTAAAGCAGAAAAGTGGGTTAGCAAGTGTTAGAAGCTTAACATTTTAGATAGTACAGTCCTGAAAGGTTTTGTTGAGAGGGTGACAATTGAGTAAAAATTAAAAAAAAAAAAAATCGAGAAAGAGAATGGTATAGACATTTGGGGAAGAATATCCCCAAGTAGCACCACTTGGCAAGCAGAGGTAAAGAACCCACCTGCCAATGCAAGTTCGATGTAAAAGACGCCAGCTCGATCCCTGAGTTGGGAAGATCCCCTGGAGAAGGGAATGGCAATCCACTCCAGTATTTTTACCTAGAGAATCCCATCGACAGAGAAGCCTGGCAGGCTCTAGTTCATGGAGTCACACAGAGTTGGACATGACTGAGCTACTTAGCCCATCCCCAAGTAGAGCAAACAGCAAGGCAAAGATCCTGAGGCGGGAGGGTGGAGGCCAGTTGGAGGGGCAGTAATGGGGCCACTGTTGGCAGACACACTGAGTGACAACAGAATGGGAGGAGGTGGTTAGAGCGATGAGTGGGATCCTAAGATGATGGCAGTCATAGAAACAATAAGGGTCCAAAGCTAAACTAACTCGGGGGCCAGATGAATAGTAGATACAATGAAGAAATAGTCCTGTGTTAGATAAGATGGTGCTGAGTGGCTGAGTGGAGTGTAAGAGGAGGAACGGAAGAAGATTCTAGAGTGTCTACATGGGGTATCTGGTGGGAGATGATTCTATTAACGAGATAAGAGAAGCAGGAAGAGAGAGTGTCAAGGAAAAAGACACAGGGCTCAGTTCTGGACTGAGTTTGAGTTATCTGGATGATGTGAGAGAGAGGTGAGCAATAGGTCATTGAAAATAGGGACCCACCTCAGAAAAGTGAGCTGGGATGGAGATTGGGATAAAAATTCTATTAAATTCTCCATGTTTTAGTCTGTTCAGGGTTCTGTACCGAGAATACCATAAACTAAATGGTTTAAACAACACATTCAGTTCAGTTCAGTTCAGTCGCTCAGTCGTGTCCAACTCTTTGTGACCCCATGAATCGCAGCACGCCAGGCCTCCCTGTCCATCACCAGCTCCCAGAGTTTACTCAAACTCATGCCCATCAAGTCGGTGATGCCATCCAGCCATCTCATCCTCTGTCATCCCCTTCTCCTCCTGCCCCCAATCCCTCCCAGCATCAGGGTCTTTTCCAACAAGTCAACTCTTCGCATGAGGTGGCCAAAGTACTGGAGTTTCAGCTTCAGCATCAGTCCTTCCAATGAACACTCAGGACTGATCTCCTTTAGGATGGACTGGTTGTATCTCCTTGCAGTCCAAGGGACTCTCTAGAGTCTTCTCCAACACCACAGTTCAAAAGCATCAATTCTTTGGCGCTCAGCTTTCTTCACAGTCCAACTCTCACATCCATACATGACCACAACAACACATTAAACAGACATTAATGCTCACAGTTCTGGAGGCTGGAAGGTCAAGGTCAAGACTCCAACAGATTCGGTGTCTGGTGAGGGCCCATTTTCTGGCTTTCGGGCAGGACAAGAGCACCCTCTGTGGTCTCTTTCATAAGGCACTGATCCCACTCACAAGGTCTCCACCCTTAAGACCTAATTATCTCCCACTGGCTACACCCGCTAGGCTTCAACGAATGAATTTGGTGCAGGGAAGAAGGAGCACAAACTTGCAGACCGTAGCAATCTATAAAGTGACTGGGATTGGTTGCTGAGCTAATATTATGCGTTATGAAGGGGACAGAGGATGATACCATGAAAAATACCAGCTTTTAAGGATCTGGCATAAGGAGAGGGGAAAAGCAAAACAGCCCGAAAAAGTGTTTGGAGTGGAGAACCCAAGAGAAACTGAGACAGATGTCCTGTCTTATTTCCACTGGCATCTTAAGACTTCTTGGGTATCAGACAGCATCTGTGCCAATAGTCTGAAAGCAGGTTGTTTCTGGTGGCACTTGATCACCTTGCCAGCAGGTAGCATGGAAGGGCAAAAGGGTTGCAAAATCCTCATGTAAATCTTTTATATATATATATAGTTTTGACTTTTGCTCTTCCTTCTCTTTCCCATTGCTGTTGTTCAGTCATGTCCAACTCTTTGTGACCTCATGGACTGTAGCACAGCAGGCTCCTCTGTCCTCCACTATCTCTTTCCTATATCCCTAATAGAATTTTCTTCCTGCTTGATTTTCCTTTCCTTGCCCGCTCACTCCTCCACTCTGCCCTTCCCTTCAGTGGTCACTTTTTAGCTCTCAGATGGCACTCAGAGATAGTTTTTTTTTTTTTAATCTCTGAACTAGCTCTTAGTATTGGAAAAACATTTAGTTACACAAGTCAGACTAACATTTATTTTATATGCAAAAAAATATCTTTGAATATAGTATTCCATTAGTGATTTTTTTCCTGTTCTCTTGAGGTTTTGTTTTTTAACATGAACAGTTCCAGCATCAATAATTCACAATATTCAGATTTATTTGTCTTGGGGTCTCCATGAAGTCAAGTATTTTCAAAAGCAGAAACCACGTGTTTTGAGCTTCTTGTTGGAGTGTGGCCACCCAGGCGTCAATCTGGGGCTATGTCAGAAATGTGCCAAAACTCAGTCTCACTCTCTTGCTTCCTGATTTTTCCAGTCCCAGCAGCTGTCACCAATCTGAGGATCACAGAGAACTCCACCCGACACCTGTCCTTTAGCTGGACGCCCTCAGAGGGGGAGCTCAACTCCTACAACATCTTTCTGTACAACCCAGATCGAACTCTTAAGGATCGAGCTCAGGTTGACCCGCAAGTCCAGAGCTTCTCCTTCCAGAACTTGCTACAAGGTCGAATGTACAGAATGGTGATTGTGACTCACAGTGGGGAGCTGTCGAATGAGTCTTTCATATTTGGGAGAACAGGTAAGACCTGGACTCAAACTGTAATGAACAGCAGGGAAATTGTCACGGTGCTCCCTGGCTTTTCCCTCATTTGATTCTAGTTTCCTACTCTACCCAGGGTGTAGCTTTATTTGAAATTTGTGACCTTTATATGACATTTCTGACCCTAAATCAGACATTTGATTTATATGTCAAAATAGTTTCTGCTTTGTTTCCACCATGTGTTTACCTCATAAGAGTTTTGTGGAAAAATGAATCTGGCTCCTCCACTTGCCAGCAAACCACTACAAGAGGGTTATAACACATTGGGTTCAATTCAAACTGTGCCTTTCAGCTTTATACAAGAAGTAGATGGAGTGGAGAGCAGGTGCAAAGGAGGGCAGCTGCAAATGGGACAAAAAGCAATGACTGCTGTGAATCAGAAACACAGCACTAGATGCAGTGAACACAAGAGTTCCAGGAAAACGCAAAAGAAGCATCTCTGGGTTTCACATAAGAAAGTGGATCTACTCTTTCTCCGTTGTTGTTGTTACAGTTGCTCAATCATGTCCAACTCTTTGTGACTCCATGGACCGCAGCACACCTGGCTTCCCTGTCCTTCACCATCTCCCAGAGCTTGCTCAAACTCATGTCCGTTGAGTTGGTGATGCCATCCAACCATCTCATCCTCTGTTGCCCCCCTTCTCTTCCTTCCTTCAATCTTTCCCAGCATCGGGGTCTTTTCTAATGACTTGGCTGTTTGCATCAGGTGGCCAAAGTACTGGAGCTTCAGCTTCAGCATCAGTCCTTACAAAGAATATTCAGGATTGATTTCCTTTACAATTGACTGGTTTGATCTCTTTGCAGTCCAAGGGACTCTCAAGTGTCTTCTCCAACACCACAGTTAAAAAGCATCAATTCTTCTACACTCAGTCTTCTTTATGGTCCAGCTTACATCCATACATGACTATTGGAAAAACCATAGCTTTGACTATACTGATCTTTGTCAGCAAAGTAATGTATCTACTTTTTAATATACTGTCTAGGTTTGTCACAGCTTTTCTTCCAAGAAGCAAGCATCTTTTAATTTTATGGATGCAGTCACCATCTGCAGGATTTTGGAGCCCAAGAAAATAGTCTGTCACTGTTTCCATTGTTTCCCCATCTATTTGCAATGAAGTGATGATGACTAGATGCCATGATCTTGGTTTTTTGAATGCTGAGTTTTAAACCAGCTTTTTCACTCTCCTCTTTCACCTTCATTAAGAGGCTCTTTAGTTCCTCTTCATTTTCTGCCATAAGGGTGGTGTCATCTGCATATATTTGGCATTGCTCTTTTTGGGGATTGGAATGAAAACTGACCTTTTCCAGTCCTGTGGCCACTGATGAGTTTTCCAAATTTGCTGACATAATTGAGTGCAGCACTTTAACATCTTTTAGGATTCGAAATAGCTCAGCTGGAATTCCATCACCTCCACTAGCTTTGTTCATAGTGATGCTTCCTAAGGCCCACTTGACTTTGCACTCCCAAAATGTCTGGCTCTAGGTGAGTGATCACACCGTCGTGGTTATCTGAGTCATTAAGATCTTTTTTGTATAGTTCTGTGTACTCTTGCCACCTCTTTTGAGTCTATTATCTCATTTTTCTATTCAACTCTAATTCTCAATTGATAATCATTTTTGAGTACTCTTGTGTGCCAGGCACTGAGCTCACTTCTGGACTAGGACAGCGGACAAGACTTACATGGTCCCTGATTTCATAGGGGTCTTCCTTACCAAAGAGGGGGAAGGGGCAGGATGGCAGATTTTAAAGGAAGATGATTTTGGAATGCCTTCAATCCTCTGAAGGAAATATGCAGTACATTGTGATGGAGAGTGACTTGGCAAGACTAGACTTAGAGACCACTTTATACAGAGAAGGCTTGCAGCTGAGACCTCAAAGTGGGAGGAACCATGGGAAGAGCTCATTCTAGGCACGCAACAGGATTTCTCAGTTTGTCTTCTGAGGGAATGAAAAAGAGCAGCAGGAATTTCCTGGTGGTCCAGTGGTTAGCAATCTGCCTGCCTGTGCAGAGGACATAGGTTCGATCCCTGGTCTAGGAAGATTCCACACGCCACGGGGCAACTAAACCCATGCACCACAACTACTGAAGCCCACACACCCTGGAGCCAGTGCTCTGTACAAGAGAAGCCGCCGCCTTGAGAAGCCCAAGCACTGCAGAGAAAGTACACGTGTAGCGACAAAGTCCAGCATAGCCAAAAATAAATAAATAAGTAAAGAACTTTTAAAAAATAGCAGCAGATGAGCCATAAGTAGAATTGCCTAGGTGTTACTGTTTCCAGGGCCATCTGCCTATGCACATGTTCCCTGATCTGCCCATTAATGTTTAAAGTTCCTCCAAAAAGGAACAACAGTCTCCGCTCTCCAAGGAATCATGAAACTTACATACCCATGGGACAGGTACCAGTCTGACTAACTTATACTGTGGTAGAAATGATTGTCGACACTTCATTTCCCAATTGAGGTTCCGTCAGTATAGGTTTGGGGGAAGAAAGAACTGAGAGCCTAAAGGAGGATGGAGAGGAAGTAAAGTGGCCCCGAGAAGGGTATTACGGGATGGTGGCCACAAGTAAGGTGAGCCAGACTGGAAGAGGCAGGGACCTTTTATGAATGCTTTCAGGGTTTTTGGTAAGCTAAGTTATAAACTATTTGACCTGTCTTAATTAATCATTTCTGAAAATTTCACTTAATATGTTTATCAGAGAACATGTAGCAAGCATATATTAATAGAAGTCATCTCCTGTTGTGCTTTTTAAAATTTTATTTAAATTTGTGCCAGGTCCCTAGACCACATGGTCTTAAACTCAGGGGACCTGAGATAGAAGCAAGATCTGACTGTACAATAGGTGCTGCTCATCCATACACCCAGCATAGCTCATGTGTTCATCTGTGGGGCCAGATGCTTTTGTTTCCATCTGTTTTGTTTTCAGTAAAGGTTTTCCCTCTGTTTAAGTCCCAGCCACTGTGAGTAACCTCAAGGGATCCAATCAAAACATGACAGACAGCCTCTGGTTCAGCTGGAATCCAGCCTCTGGGGACTTCGACTTTTATGAACTGATTCTCTATAACCCCAATGGCACAAAGAAGGAAAACTGGAAAGACAAGGATCTGACAGAGTGGCGTTTCCATGGCCTGGTTCCCGGAAGGAAGTACACGCTATGTGTGGTAACTCACAGTGGAGATCTCAGCAACAGGGCCACGGGGGAGAGCAGAACAGGTAAGAAACCCAGTTACCAGTGGCCAAGCGCTGGCGGGAAGTAGCTTCCGCAGGCACGTTTTAATTGTGATCTTATTAATAAGAACTAAAATCAGCGATGTGCCATGTGCTCACCCCTGAACTTGGGAAGGGTCTGTGGTAGAGTGGATGAAGGAGATAGACTTTGGGTAAAAAACAGCTGGGTGGCTGCGTTAGCTCTGCCACTTACCTGTGTGAAACTGGGCAGGTCACTGAGCACCTCTAAGCCTCAGCTTCCTTATCCGTAAAATAGGGATGGTCATATATATCATCACTAAATTACTGAGTAGTGGGTTGTGGTTTTTTTGGCTGTGCTTGGCCTTTGTTGCTGCACTTGGGCTTTCTCTGGTTGTGGGATGAAGCCTTCTCAGCTTCTCATTGCGGGGGCTTCTTTTGTTGCAGAGCGCTGACTCTAGGGCCCACCGGCTTCAGGGTTTCGTTGCTTCTCAGCGTGTGGAATCTTTGCCGACCAGGGGTTGAACCTGTGTCCCCCTGCATTGGCAGGTGGATTCTTAATAACCAGGGAAGTCCCGCAGAGCTTTCTAAATATTTCTTGGCACACACGGATAACACTGATATCTGTGTGCCACCCCAGAGTCAATGAACAAGGCTCTCTCAATTGGATGCAATTGTTAACTCCAGCCTTTACTTTCTCTTTCACACTTATAACCCATTCAGGGCACACTCATGCTCCATAGTACCCTGGTTAAACAAAAACCAAAACTCCGATTGTAAAAATTAAACAAAATGTACATAAAACATTTGAGGACAATTTTTTACACATAGTAAAAACCATAAATGGAAGCTCTTATTATTATGGTATCATATTACCTCTTCCTAAAAAGTACATTAAAAGTATGTCTGATGTCACTCAGCTATCTTATTTGTGTATGGTGCAGAAATAATTGCATGCTTTTTTCACTTTCTCGTACATATAGCCCCGAGTCCTCCCAGTCTTATGTCATTTGCTGATGTTACAAACACATCATTGGCCATCACCTGGAAAGGGCCACCAGACTGGACAGACTATGATGACTTTGAGCTGCAGTGGTTCCCCAGAGATGCCATCACAGTCTTCAACCCCTACAGCAACAGAAAATCGGAAGGACGCATTGTGCATGGTCTTCGTCCAGGGAGATCTTACCAATTCAGTGTCAGGACCGTCAGTGGTGATTCCTGGAAAACCTACAGCAAACCAATTTTTGGATCTGTGAGGACAAGTATGACATGTTTTGCTACTTTTGGTTCTCAGATGAAATGGGGAAGAAGTATGTGTTACAACATCTTATTGGATTGGGGCTTGGTTTAAATCCACCTTTTTACCTGGAATTGGTTAGATCTGAATTCAGACAGAAGTTCTACGTAGATTTATTCATTTATTCAGCTTTAACAAGAAGAAATCATCTCTGCCTTCATGGAGCTTACAACTCAGTGGGAGGTCCTATCATTAAAAAGATATTTTGGGTGTGATGAAGTATTTGGCACTAGAGAAACACATGGCAAAGACATCTGACCCAATACAAGGGAACTTCCTAGAAGGAGAAGCTTCCAAATCAAAACTCAAGGAAAGAGTAAGACATGCAGGTGGAGATGAGGAAAGAAGTAAAGAATATTCCAGGTAGAGAGAATAAAAGAGTCTAAAACCAGGCAGGAGACAAAAATAGAAAGGAGTTCCGTTGACCAGAGGATAAAAAGTGAGGATTAGGAAAATCAGGTCACGAAATGTCTTGTGAACCATGGTAATGACTTTGAACCTCAATCCATTGGAGCCACTGAAGGCTTTTTGGCCTAGGTATAATAGATTTGCATTTTATAAAAGTCACCGTGGGGGTGGTACAGAGAATGGATTGAAACGGGCAAACTACAAGCGGAGGGACTGGTTAGAACATAATGCTGTAAATTCTAAGGATGAAAATACCTCAGTGATAAAATATGTATCAGTTTCTTCCCCAAGGCATTTTGAGATAAGTACCACAAATCTCAAAGAAACAGAAGTTTTTGGTATAGGAACCTCAATCCAAATATTTATTGCTCAATAATACCCAGTAAATGTAGATTTGGAGATCGGGCCAGATAGTTATTGGTTATTGATAAAATACAAAGCTGAAAATTAGAAATTTAAGCCAGTAGCTGTTTTGTTAATTCAACAAACATTAATGCTACAATAGTTTTAACTTGTGTTTTATATTTTATCCGAAGAATAGTTTGGAATCAGATAACCGCGTGTCGAGAGAAACATGTGAAAAAGAACTAAGACTTTTCATTTTTAGCAAGACCAGGAGGAGTTTTCAGTGGCTTACTGTAGGCTGCAGAATTGAATCCCAGGTGTTCAGTCTAAGAACTCAGTTGAGGCTGGGCTGGTCAGATCACATCTGGAGAGTTATATTCGGTCCTAGATGCTAGAATGTAAGAAAGTCATTTACCAAATGGGGCTTGCTCAAGAGGAGAGCAGCCAGCACCAAGAGGGACTTGATAATGAGTTTTTGGGGGAATGGTGGAGTGAACTTTGAGGATTGCATTAGTTAGGATCAGGTTTGGCTGTGGGTAACAGAAAACTCAAGATAACAGAGGATTAAACAAAACAAATGTTGAGAATTCTCATGTAAAATCTTTCCAGTGCCCCACTTCTTGTAAAGACGTTCTAGCTGTTATAAACACTGTGCATGGCTCCACCAGCCATGCCTCCTAACCCCACCCTTCATGCCTGGGTTCATGGTTGTCTCTGCCTAAAATGCCTCTTTCCCAGTATCTTGGTGAAGTGTCATCTATACCAGAAAGGCTTTGCCAAGTCCTGCCTAGCACTAACGCCACAACAGGAAGTTGTCTCTTATTCCATAGAGCATCCTCTTCCCCATCTCGTTTCTACCTCGTATCATGTTTAGAACTCAGCTCACTTTCCAAGAGGTTACAGCTAATATCTTACTCATTTCTATACTGTTCACAGACCCTAGAAGGGCACTTTGTATGCAGTAGATACTCATTTCTTAGTGAATTGGAGACCTGACCTGAGTCTTGGTAGACAAGCAGGATTTAGAGGTAAAAAGCAGAGAGAAGGAGCTGAAGGAAAAGATTGAATTGAAGCAAATTTCCAAATACTTCCATACTTCGTGTAAATTATCAGGATGATAGATTAGGCAGGATGTTTTAAAAGACTTTCTCCAAAGCTGAAAGAGGAGATGTCTTTAGATCTCAGCTGTGACTTGGTTTGAAGGGAGTTCAAAATTGTTTGCCTCAAAGGCTGATTCTTCCTCTATTCTGAAAAATTCTTGATTTGATCGTTTTTTCCCTAAATTATCCTCATCTGACCTGCTGTGACTCAGCTCACATTTGTAGACCTTGATCGTTGTTGTTCAGTCACTAAGTTGTGTCCAACTCTTTGTGATCCCATGAACTACAGCACGCTAAGCTCCTCTGTCCTTCATTATCTCTCTGAGTTTGCTCAGACTCACATCCATAGAGTTGGTGTTGCTGTCCAACCATTTCATCCTCTGCTGCTCCCTTCTCTTGCCCTCAACATTTCCCAGCATCAGGGTCTTTTCCAATGAGTCAGCTCTTTGCATCAGGTGGCCAAAGTATTGGAGCTTCAGCATCAGTGAATATTCAGGGTTGATTTCCTTTAGGATTGACTGGTTTGATCTCTCAGCCAAGGGACTCTCAAGAGTCTTCTCCAGCACCACAATTCGAAAGCATCAATAGATAGGCCCTGATATGAAACAGGACTTCACTCAGTGGCACACCAATGCTGTGTATTTATTGAGGACAAGAACTTCTATAACAAATTAGGGGTCAGGGGAAGGTAGGCTGTGCTCCAAATCAGAGCAATGGGTGTGGCTCTGGGAGAGCCAAATAGGTCTACACATAGTTCCCAGAAGATCTTATGTAATGGGGTAGCCTTTGTTAATAACAGTTTGGTTATTAACCTGCACAGTCAAATGACTGGTTTTCTTTCAGACTCAGTCTTTCTTTATGGGTGTGTCACTCACAAGAACAAATAAAATCAGCTGCCATTCAAGTCCCCACTGAGTCAGGCACTGTGTCAGGCAGAAGAAAGTGAATGATCGTAAGCACAGGGCCATGAAACAGGGGCATGGAAGAGTCTGGTGTATGCGGGGAACCACAGGTGTTTCAGTGCCCGGAGTACGGCACGTGAGTGGGGAAGGGCAGGCAAAAATGGAAGAGAGGGACAGAAGCCAGACCCAGAAGGTAACAAGGCAGCAATGCCATTTCTTACTGTCCTTGTTGTAAGAACTAACATTTGGACCTCCCTGGTGGTCCAGTGGTTGGGAGTCCACCTGCCCACGCAGGGCACATGGGTTTGATCCCTGACCTGGGAAGACCCCACACAACGTGGAGCAGCTAAGCCTGCGCACCATGACTACTGAACCAGTGCAAGAGAAGCCACCGCAATGAGAAGCCTGTGCATCGCAACTAGGAAGTAGCCCTCACTTCTTCTACTAGAGGAAGCCTGTGTGCTGCAAAGAAAACCCAGTGCAGCCCAAAATAAAGCAAATTAAAAAAAGAAAAAGAACTAAAATGTACTGAGCAATTACCGTGCAAGCCCCTGTTCTAGGTGGCTGTGCATGTTTCAACACACTGAGTCCTTCCAATAAGCACATGAAGTGTTTGTTGTTTAGTTGCTAAGCCACTCTTTTGTGACGCTATGGCCTGTAGCCCACCGGGTTCCTCCATCCATGGGATTTCCCAAGTAAGAATATTGGAGTGGTGGCCATTTCCTTCTCCAGGGGAGCTTCCCGACTCAGGTGTTGAACGCGCATCTCCTACATTGGCAAGTAGGTTCTTTACCCCTGAGCCACGAGGGAAGCTCAGCCACATGAAGCAGATAATTCTTAGCTTTCCCACCTTACAGATGGGCCACAGATATGTTAAATCACTTGCCCAGGACTGCATAGCTGATAAACAGAATTTGGATTCAGGCAGATTGAGCTGCACTATTAACCTCTAGGCTACTCTGCCCCACCTTCTGTCTGACTCTTGCCTCCTATCTGACACTTGGTTTCAGTGTCCCTGTTTACATTTGTGTTTGCAATCACACTGGCACCTGGGGGTTTTTTCCTAAAGGGACAGCATTTTTAACTTGCAGTGTTTCTCAAAGTGAGGCCTCGTAGGCAGAAATTGCCTTGGAGACCTATGAAAAGCAGTTCACATGAAGATCGAGAATTATTTATTTAGATCTCTGAGCTAGCTGGAGTCAAAGGAACTAAAAATGTGTCTCCCAGAGTTGTGAAGTGTCTCTTCCTCTCTTTTATTTAGAGCCAGACAAGATACAGAACCTGCATTGCCGGCCTCAGAACTCCACAGCCATTGCCTGTTCTTGGATCCCTCCTGATTCTGACTTTGACGGGTACAGCATTGAGTGCCGGAAGATGGACACTCAAGAAGTTGAGTTCTCCAGAAAGCTGGAGAAAGAAAAATCTCTGCTTAACATCATGATGTTGGTGCCTCATAAGAGGTACCTGGTGTCCATCAAGGTGCAGTCGGCCGGCATGACCAGTGAGGTAGTTGAAGACAGCACCATCACCATGATAGACCGTAAGTGTCCCTGGAGGCATGTGCCCCTCTCTCTGCTCCCATCACCCTTGTTCACGTGTGTATGGCTCATTTCCACATTAGCGAGCCCTGTTGTCACTTGAAGAGGACTAAAAGGCTCTGAGAAGTATAAACATTTCTCTGTGTAAAGCATCCTGGCAGCAAACAAGTTAAATGATCTTAAAGAACCTGAATGAATTAGTGTTTAAATACATCTCTTTGCCTGATGTAGAAAGAGCCATAATAGAGCTTTTAAGCAATTTGATGCTAAAACTTCAGGAAATCCTGCTGAGGAGCTGCCTCTTTATGTTTAATGTGCTACCGGCAAGTCGCTTCCTCTGCCGACTTCCCTTCCGAAGAGGAGGAGGTTTTCTTGATTCCAAGCATTAGACACACACACACACACACACACTCACACTCACACACACACACACACTCACACTCACACACACACACTTGCAGCCTGATGTAGGTGAGTGAAGACCTTCATCTCACTAATATTTTATATTCAAAAGCATAATTGTGACCCTTCTTGGTTCGTTTCCCATCCTTCTTCCAGGCCCCCCTCCTCCACCTCCACATATTCGTGTGAATAAAAAGGATGTGCTAATTAGCAAATCTTCCATCAACTTTACTTTCAACTGCAGCTGGTTCAGCGACACCAATGGAGCTGTGAAATACTTCACAGTGGTGGTGAGAGAGGCTGATGGTAAGTGATCATGAATTAACTCCAAGACACAGGATTACTTTCTCGAAAGTCAACTGTGGGGGCTCCTTCTGTGACAAGTCTTTAAAAGAAGAAAACTTAATTTTTTTTTTTTGAAAACTTAATTTTTATATCATTTCGCTGTATCTCTTCTGGCTGCTGGGGGATGTAACAAGAAAAAGAAAACCTACTGGAAGCCTATTATTTGTAGGATTTAATTATTAAATGGGTAATAATAGCAACTATGTCAATAATCACAATAACCATCATTTACTTATTGCTATTTCAGGCACTGTTGGAAATGCATTGCGTTTGCTGACTCATTCAATCTTTACTACTCACTCAGCCCCATTCAGCTCCATTGTTCCGCCATTAAGCAACAACATGCTTTGTCTGTCTTCCCCACTTCTTGTCTCAAACACCTCTACCAATCAGATACTCCCAAACCCCTCACCAATTCACAAAAATGCTCAAACGCTTGAAAGAGGGAAAAAATGATCATGAAAATCATCCTTCCTTTCTCTACTGAATTTTCAATATGTTTCATTTTCTAGTCTACTAAATTATTCAGTGTTACCTAACTCTTATGTAACAGGCAAATTCTAGGTGATTCTTATAATAACATTCCATTCAACCAAGTAAGATCTCTAGTGCTTACGACATCAACATCTATGAGATTATCCTCAGGAGTTTGTATCTGGGGACACACATGTCCATATGTGTTTTTGCCACTGAGGTCCTGTGTGTTATTTCTCCACAACAGATGTTCGTGTCTGGAATGATATTAATATATCCTGCATGTCATATATTTTCCAAAATTGTTTAAGATGCTGCACTGGAGTTTCTCAAGCATCCCTGACTATTTTAACTCATTGGTGGGCAATGGGAAGGTTTATACCTGCCATGACAAATGTTGGAGCTAAATGGTATTTTAGTCTCACTAGGTACTTTTAGGGCTTCTCAGTTGGCACTAGTGCTAAAGAACTCACCTGCCAATACAGGAGATGTAAGAGACATGGGTTTGATCCCTGGGTTGGGAAGATCCCCTTGAGGAGGGCATGGCAACCCACTCCAGTCTAAAGAATCCCATGAACAGAGGAGCTGGGCGGGCTACAGTCCATAGGGTTGCAGAGAGTCAGACACGACTAAAGTGATTCAGTACACATGTACTTTTATATTTTATTTAATTGTACTAAAGCCAGTTATGCATAATTAATTCAATAATTTCAAGGGTCAGTGTTGCATCCCAGATTTCCTCACACATAGTAGGAGATAAATAGGTGAACTGTGAAGAGACTTTAAATTTAAGTAGGCTGCAATGAAGATGGTGTTTTGCTACCTAAATATGTCAGCAGCCAAAAAAAATAACACCCTGGAATTTAGCCTTGTGTTCTCTAGCCAGGTGGGTTTCAGTGACTGATGTCCATGGAGATGGGCTGTGCTCTCCTGGTGATCTGAGATAACAAGCTGGCTCACGTAAATGTCATTTATAGCATATATACTCTTCCTCAAGGCAACCTTCCTTTTAACTACGGCCAACAAGGTAATATTTCCAGGAGCCACTCATTTTGAGCAAATTTTATCAAACAAGAGTCCAGGACGCAAAGAACCCCCAAGCATATCACTCCTTAAAGTTTACTGTACATGGTATCCAATCTCTATAATATTTTTCTTCCTAATTATGCTTTCCTCTGGCCAACATCAAAGTGCGTTTGCCCTGCCAAAACACACAACAGCTGGGTGGACAGGAGAAGAGTTCTGGGAAGTGTTCTGCACAAGGGCCCAGATTGAGCCAGGATTAAATTGTACTCAGGACAACGGAGCAGGACAAGGAGTAGTTATCAGACTGGGCGTGGTGCAGGAAGCATGCATGTAGGGTGACTGCTCCGGCCTCAGACCTGATTTCTCTTATCTTTTCCCCATTTCCCAGGTCACAGGGATTTCCTTATTCACTCAGCTACAGTGGTTATTGGCAAGTAGAGAGCTTGTTGAGTGGATTGACTTTCACGATGGGGAGTACCCAACTTTCTGGAGTTGTGGCACGTTACCGTCTGATGCATGAGCCACCCTTTCATATGTGCATATTTTATTTCCTAGAAAAATGATAGCGCGTGTGTGTCTATGTGTTGGCGTAGCTCCCACTGCTGCTGCTGTTGAGTTGCTCAGTTGTGTCTGACTCTTTTGTGACCCCATGGACGCCCACCAGGCTCCTCTGTCCATGGGATGTTTCAGGCAAGAATACTGGAGTAGGTTGCCATTTCCTCCTTCAGGGCGTCTTCCTGACCCAGGAATTGAAACTGTGTCTCCTGCACCGCAGTGGTATTCTTTACCACTGAGCCACCCAGAAAGCCTCTGTGTTTGGTGTATGCATATATAAAATGTTGTATATATACTATTTATGTTTACTTTTTTATTTATTTTAGAAAAAGTGAATTAGATTAATTTCACTGGGAGAATTTCACAACACCCTTCGGGATCATAGCATCTGCACTCCAGGGATGACTAGGGGTAGTGGATGGGGAAGGTAACCTCAGAAACCTAGTTAGAAACCCCTGAAGTCACAAGAAAGTCAGTCCCTCACTGTGGGTTTTCTTCCTCCAGGCAATGATGAGCTGAAGCCAGATCCGCAGCACCCGCTGCCCTCCTACCTGGAATACAGGCACAACGCCTCCATTCGGGTGTATCAGACTGATTATTTTGCCAGCAAATGTGCCGAAAGTCCTGACAGCAGCTCTAAGAGTTTCAACATTAAGCTTGGAGCAGAGATGGAGAGCCTGGGTGGAAAATGTGATCCCAATCAGCAAAAATTTTGTGACGGGCCGCTGAAGCCACGCACGGCCTACAGGTTAGATGTATTACCATCATTTCACCAGGAGGGATGTGCTCCATCACCGGGCGCTCAGCTGTCGGGGCGTCTGATGCACATGAGTTCCTGTAGATTAATAGCCTACGTTACAAGAGTGCTCTGCATTTTACTGGCTAATTTATAAAGGTTGTATTCCTGCCTCCATTCACAGGGAATGGGTAAAGAGGGCCTTTGGCCTTGTACAAAAGCTCCAGTTCATTATGTGAAGAATTGAAGATTCTTAGTAGGTGGTTCTTTCTCCTAAAACTTCTCTAGGATGAATCATGTGATTTATTTACCATGTTAACACCTGTGAAAATGTCCAAGTAGAAAGATTAAGTTTAGGGAAACTCAAGAAATATGAGATTTTTCCCCCACTTTTAGTGAGGACTGGAATTACACTTATTTATTTGCCTGCTAAGGCATAACAAGATGAATGTTCTTTTTGGTCCAGATAGAACTGTTGAAGGGAAAGACCTCTTAATGAATGGAAGCACCCTCTCCTCTCAGTAAGATGGGAGGTGAAAAGGAGCAGCTAATTGATTTGGCCCCAGGGAGTACCACTGCAGCCAACAGGCCCTTCCAGCTGTAGGAACTAGCTGTGCCCTTCATGTTCCCGTTCATGTTCATCGTGTTCCCGGAAAGCAGAATAAGTATACACAGCATCCCAAACCTGGGTCCCCAAGAGATAGAGAACCTAGGCCACCATCTTGGAAACAAGGCTACAGGAATCCAGGATTAGTGCTTTTGCAGAGGATGTGCCTTCTGTTAGGTGTTGGCAGACCTGATGTCCAGCCAGATGGCAGCCAATCAGGTTCTCTATGGGCCAGTGTCCATTCTGGTTGATCAGTGTCCAGGTCTTATTAACCCTTACACGTTTTGAGTATTACCCCTGAATTTCAGCAGAAACCTTTCTGCCAGCTCCAAAAGGAGACAGTGACATGGCATCATACCTGAGAGCATTCTTAACCCCTCCCTTGCATCAACACTGTCAAGTCGACAGCTTCCCTAAAGCATCCCTAAAAAATGGCTCCCTTTGGACAGGAATTCCTCATAGATACCTCCACCCAGGACTCACCACAGAAGTGCTACTGTCCCCCAACCAAGGTTGGCGCCTCCAGAGTGAACACACACAAACTCATTAGTGACGTTTGCTTCAAGAAGAAGCTATATGAGCCTACCTGAAGGAGATGAGATCTCAGAGCACAGGAGAAATATACAAGAGATCAGAAAGCCAGGAGCCTTTAGTTCTTATTAGAATCAAGAAATGCCTCAGCCCCTTGGTCAACTGGGCTCTGGGAAATTTGAGGAAATTTCTCCTAAGGGCTCCCAAGGACTGTTTTCCCTTTGTGAGTTGGAAAGCTGAGCTGTTTTTGTTTGTCTGCTTTTTGAGAGAGGAGAGGAGATGAGTGATTACATTTAAGAAAGAGAATAAGAAGCTAGAGAGCGTTCACACATGGACCAGGGCCCCAGTCAACCAGCACACTCTTTCCTGTCCATCACGCAGCCGAGGTCCTAGGAAGAGCCCCTGCATTCAGGTTCCAGTGTGGCCACTGTTTAGCTGTGTCACCTTGTAAGCAGCATTTCAGTTTTCTGATCCTCACTTTTCTCATCTGCAAAACATCACAGGACTATCCTGAGGAGTTATATAGATGACAGATCAAACCTAGTCGCGTCCCTTGTAGATTAAGGTCCTTCAGTGGTGCCCGTTCACTTCTAGGAGCAAGTGAAGATCCCAGAGTAGGGTACACAAAGCCCCAGCCTTCTTGCGCCCACCTGCCCACCAGCTTTGTCCCCCACCATTTGCTCCAAGTATTGATACACTCCACCCACTTACTCCTCCTCACCTCCTCAGAGTTCCCTGAAATCTGACATGTCTCTCTTATACCTCTGAGCCTTTACACATTCTTTTCACTCTATTTGGGAAGCTTTCCACTCTCTTGTCTGACTGATGAATTCCTTCATACTCTTCAAAAGCCACAACCCACTACTAGCCCTGAGCCGCCCTGTTAACTCACACCTGGGCAGTGGGGCCCTCAGCTGCACTTCCACTGCGCCCAATCTCTGTATCTGCCTGCTAAGTCACTTCAGTCATGTCTGACTCTGTGCAATCCCATGGACTATAGCCCTCCAGGCTCCTCTGTCCATGGGAATCTCCAGACAAGAACACTGGAGTGGGTTGCCATGCCCTCCTCCAAGGGATCTTCGCAACCCAGGGATGGAACAACATCTCTTGCATCTCCTGGAATGGCAGGTGGCTCAGATGGTAAAGAAATCATCTGCAATGCAGGAAATTCCTAGGTTCGATTCCTAGGTTGGGAAGATCTGCTGGAAAAGAGAATGGCAACCCACTCCAGTATTCTTGTCTGGAGAATCCCATGGACAGAGGAACCTAACAGGTTACAGTCCATGGGGTCGCAAAGAGCTGGACATTACTGTGTGAGTAATACTTTCACTTTCACTTTCTTCACTAGACTACAAAAGCTCACAGACTAAATTGTGGAGACAGACATGACATTGGTTACAAAACGATATGGCAAGTACCTGGCACAAAAGAGATGGCATTAAAAGTTTATGAGCAAATAAGGGAATGAGCCAAGATGTTCTATGAAAAGTTAAACATTCTGATTATAGCTTAATCAACTCCTGCTGCATTAATGTGTTTTCTAGGATATGGCTTTCCTCTATTTGTATCTAGTTCACTCCTGTGAAAAGCATGCCAGGCAGATAATACCTGATATGAGCATGAAGAACCACATGCCAAGTGGCCACCTGTGTGGTAGCTGCTGAACCCAGGCTTCGTGCAAGCAGAATTACGCCTGTCTCACAATGATAATCACCATAGTGACCCTTAGTGCTATCAGGAATCTTTTTCCCAGAGAGAATAGTAGACAGGAAGGAAAATGGAAAAAAAAATTAGGATTGCCAAGAAATGGAAAATGCTAGGTTTAGCTGACATGCAAGTTTTTATTATACCAACAAATGTTTAACGTCTTCCCGTTCGTTGTTGGGTTCCTGTTATCCAGGTATATAATTAGTGTTGTCCCATATGGGAAGAGAATGGGCAGATTATGATGGGTGAGAAACAGTGCAGATGTTGGGGAAGTGCTGAGCTGGCTTTGTTTTCTATTCTAAATAGAATAGCAATGTGACCATGATCAGATAATCTGCTTCTGTTGACCTCACTTTCTTCAAACGAAGGAAATTGAACCACATGATCTATGGCTTTGTAGAATTCTGATTCTGGACATATTTAAAGTTGAAAAACTTACCATTACATATAAGTTCATTAAAATAATCTTATATGCATATAGAGAAGACCTGTCTGTAAAATATAGCAGAAATGTTGAAGGACCTAAGAGGGCTGTAGGTCAATAAATGCTCTGAAGGTCCAAAAGTCTTCTTGAAGGAGGTATCATTTTGGCTGGCTCCTGAAAAGTAGGGAAGGGTTTGAAAATGGGGATATAGGGGCAAAAGGAGATTCACGGTTCAGAAAACAGTCATAGTGTAGAGGCAGAAATACACAAATTATTTAGAGAAGAACAAACCCAAATAGTCCAGTTTCAAAGTGAGGGTCCTATCGAGGGGTAGTAAAGAAGACAAAAATGGGAAGAGAGAATGGGACAGGATTCCAGATTGGGTGCTAAGTGCTGGGCTGGGGAATGTGGCTGTGACATCCCTTACTGGAGGGGTTCTAAGGGCAGAGTTCCTGTTGATGGCCTAGTTTTAAGCTAAGCCTACAGTAACTGCAAGAGCTGTAGTAAATCCAATGAGCTCTTACATTATCTTCTTCCTGGGTTCACAAAGGCCCTGATTCATCTGGATCCATTTTGTGTTTTGCATATGCACCTTTGAATCTTAGAATTCCAGAGCAGAACCTGTCAAGGTTGTTACACCCCCAGTGCTTTTATTTTCACAGATGAGAAAGCTGAATCATAAAGAACTTTAGGAACCATTCACCTAATCAGTGATAGTGAGAAGGAGACCTCAGACCCCCAGTTTCCCAGTCCAGGCCCTTTTTACAGTCCTCCAACAGAATTCACTGCTGTTAAACCAAAATTAAGCCGAGAGAAAGAGATCTGGACTAGGAGTCAGAAAATTCTGAGTTTGGTTATCTTTTACCAGCTTTCTCTATAATCTTGAGTGAGAAATGGTATCTCCCCAAGCTTCAGGTTCCAAATCCCTAAGTAGTGTCGTAAGTTTCTGATATGGAGAGGTTAGAGAGGGTCAAATAGAATCATGTTTGTAAAAGTTGTTCACACTTACAAATCACCATACAAATAAAAGAAACTCTTCATCAGAGAGACTCTTTTCAACATCCAAAGCTACAATACACTGGCAATACACACCAGCTCCTTCCCTTCCACGTAATACATGTTGACTGCTTGTTGCTGTCTGGGGACATTGCATAATACCTCCACCAATAGTCTGTTATTCCTGGAAGTACCACTTTTGGCTTGGAAGGTGTGTTTTAGACATGGAAATTATAGATGTGGTTGATCAATATAATCTTGATGATACTGAGGAGATTATACTTAGACCTGGGCATGAGTTAGAAGGAGAGGGGAAAAGGTCAGAACAGTTTGTCGCGGCTGGCTAATGCTGGTACTATTTCAGCATTATTACAGGATGTGCCCAGATACTTCTGGGTTAAGCAAATCTAGATTTCTTTTTTTAAGGGAAAAAAGAGTCATTCATTCATTCTCATATGATTTAAATAAACCCTAGAAAACGTTTTCCCATCTAAACCTATCCTGTTACTCTCAGTAAACCTACAGTCTGGGAAACTTTAGGATAGAATGGGCTCAAGAGGTTGCCCAGGCCAATCTTTAACTTCATGCCTGGCTGCTGTCCTGCAGATCCCCTGAGAGCCGGTTCTCCAGGCTCTGCCTAAACCCCCTCAGTGACTGGGAGCTCACTACCTATGTGGCAGCTCATACTCTAGATGTTAGAAAGTGATTTTTTGTTCCCACGCTGCCCTGTGACTTCAGCCTACTAAGCTCAGTTCTGTATTCAAGAATGTAAACCTTGAGATGATAGGGACTTATTCTTTGCAGTATATATAGCTCCTGGACAGGTTCTGGTACACAGTAGAGGCTCAATAAATATTTGATGAATGATGTATGAATGCACGAAGCCAGGGCCTTCTGATTTCATAATTCATACCCTCCCCTACATGCATATCGACCAGATGACCACCCTGTTTCTCCTTGAAAACATCCTCCAGCTAGCCCTACTGTGGCCAGTCACTAATTTGTGCTTAAATAAATTGGTTTTCTTTTCAGAATCAGCATTCGGGCTTTCACCCAGCTATTTGATGAGGACCTGAAGGAATTCACAAAACCACTCTATTCAGACACATTTTTCTCTTTGCCCATCACCACTGAGTCAGGTAAGGCTAACCTTTGCATCCATCTGACATAGTCTGCCAACCACCACATTACCTACAAGAGCCTCTAGTAAGAAGCCGGACCTCAGATTCCCTGCTTCCCAACCCAGGAGAGATCGGGGGACTTGGCTGATGGTGGGAGGATCATTTATTTTTGCTTGGAATGTAACCTTTATATGATCATGGATTGATGTGGATTAGAGAAATTGCACAACTTCTGTAGCAGAGTGGACTGAAAGGAGATTTATCTTATAAAGTAGAAAGAGGTACCAGATTTTTTTATCTATTAAAATTGAATTTTAAAAAAAAATAGTGGATGAAGAACATTCAAATCAAGAGCTGACACAGGCCAAAACAGAAGTAGGTATAAAAAGCTTTCAAGTTGTAAATTGGAATGTCTATATGAAATATATACATAGAAATGCATAGGGAAAAAAAAGACTAGAAGGAACTTTTTTCCTTTTGTTTATTATATGTTGCTTTTACATGATAAAAAAAAAGTGTTAACTTGGCTTTACATAAATTTCTGAAGGAAACTTCTCTAAACTGTGTTAGAAGGAAAGCCTGAATAACGTTGTTTTTTAGTCGCTAAGTTGTATCCAACTCTTTTGCGATCTCATGCACAGTAGCCCACCAGGCTCATCTGTCCATGGGATTTCCCTGACAAGAATACTGGAGTGGGTTGTCATTTTCTTCTCCAGGGGATCTTCCTGACCCAGGAATCCAACCTGTGTCTCCTGCATTAGCAGGTGGATTCTCTACCACTTAGCCACCAGGGAAGCCCCTGAATAATAATAGTAGCTAATATTGACTCTTTGTCCTCTCTGTGGAGCTGCAGTTTTAAGCACTGTGCTTAGAATAATTTACCTAATCCCCCATTACCATCGCCCAGTTTAAAGGTGAGGATTTGAGATACCAAGAGTTTATGTAACTTGCCTAAGATAGCAGAGCTGGGTTCTAGCACTTTCTGCCTGACCTCTTAACTTCTGCACGGCACTGATTTGGAATAGTTCCAACATGCTGAGAATAGATTTATTTTTTAGCTCATTGTTCTTTGGTACCATTATCTGCCCAGCCTTCCTCTGTACCCAGTCTTTCAGAGTGCTTGGTCTCAGGAAGTTCTTCTTTAGAGCTAAAACAGTCTCTCATGCTGCATGACAAAAGATGACTCAGCCTCACAAACACTCCCATCTATTTATGCCAAATATAGGATAATCTCCCACTTTTCAGACCAAAAAGGAATCAGAACACAGTTAAGAGAATTTAGATGTGTTTGCTTACAAATTAATGTTAAGAATGGGATTTGTAAACATTATTCTTCCCTATTTAAATTATTGTTATCCAACAAAAATTGTACGTAGTCCAGTAAAGAAAGATAGTAAACATATGTCCAAAAAAAGGAATATTAACCACCTTAAAAGAAAGATGATTATGTTGATTTGTTAAACCTTGAAAATCAACATTGAATAAACAAATCCAAGTGCTTAAAACGCAACTTCAAAAATGGATTACTCCATAGACCTAAATGTAAGAGCTAAAGTGATCCAACTTTTAAAAGAAAACATAGGAGGAAGTCTTTGGGACCTTGAGTCAGGAAATGGTTTCTTAGCCACAGCACCAAAAGCACAAGCAGCAACAACAAAGTAGATAAATGGGACCTAATTAAAATTAAAACCTTTCGAGCCTCAAAGGACACCATAAAGTGAAACAAGATAACCCAGAGAATGGGAGAAACTATTAGCAAATCCTGTATCTGATAAAGGTCAAGTATCCAGAATATAGAGAACACTTACCACTCAATAATAAAAAGACAACACAATTTAAAAATGGACAAAGGGTACAAATAGACATTTTGCCAAAAAAGATACACATAAGTCCAATAAACTAATGAAAAGATGCTCATCATTAGACATTATCATAACTACAATAAGATACCACTTCACACCCACTAGAATGGCTACCATCAAGAAAGATAATAACAAGTGTTAGCAAGGATATGAAGAAATCTGAACCTTTATACATTGTTTGTAGAATATAAAATGATGCAGTTTCTATGGAAAACATTTTGCAGCTTCTCAAAATGTTACACCTTCCTCAGCAATTCCACTCATTAGTATATACCCATGAAAAATAAACAAAAATTTGTATATGGAGATTCATAGCAGCATTATTCAAAATGACCAAAAAAAGTAGAAATACCCCAAATATCCATCAATGGCTGATAGCTAAACAAAATATGGAATATTATTCAGCATAAAAAGGAATGAAATACTGATACATGCCACAACATGGATGAACCTTGAAAACATGCTAAGTGAAAGAAGCCAATTACAAAAAAGCACATGTTTATTGCTTAATTTATACAAAATATCCAGAAAAGGCAAATCTATGAAGACAAGGTAGGTTAGTGGTTGCCAGGGTCTAGAAAGAGGGAATGGAGAATGACTGCTAAGGGGCATGGGGCTTCTTTTAGGGGGTGATTAAAATGTTACAAAATTGAATACACAATTTAAAAATGGACAAAGGGTACAAATAGACATTTTGCCAAAAAAGATACACATAAGTCCAATAAACTAATGAAAAGATGCTCATCATTAGACATTATCATAACTACAATAAGATACAACTTCACACCCACTAGAATGGCTACCATCAAGAAAGATAATAACAAGTGTTAGCAAGGATATGAAGAAATCTGAACCTTTATACATTGTTTGTAGAATATAAAATGATGCAGTTTCTATGGAAAACATTTTGCAGCTTCTCAAAATGTTACACCTTCCTCAGCAATTCCACTCATTAGTATATACCCATGAAAAATAAACAAAAATTTGTATATGGAGATTCATAGCAGCATTATTCAAAATGACCAAAAAAAGTAGAAATACCCCAAATATCCATCAATGGCTGATAGCTAAACAAAATATGGAATATTATTCAGCATAAAAAGGAATGAAATACTGATACATGCCACAACATGGATGAACCTTGAAAACATGCTAAGTGAAAGAAGCCAATTACAAAAAAGCACATGTTTATTGCTTAATTTATACAAAATATCCAGAAAAGGCAAATCTATGAAGACAAGGTAGGTTAGTGGTTGCCAGGGTCTAGAAAGAGGGAATGGAGAATGACTGCTAAGGGGCATGGGGCTTCTTTTAGGGGGTGATTAAAATGTTACAAAATTGAATATAAAATAATTGAATTGTACAGTTTAAATTGGTGAATAGTATGGTATGTGAATTATATTTCAAAAAAACTGTTTTTAAAATGGGCTACCTTCTCATAAACTCCCAGTGACAATATCAGATCATTTAATAAACATGGAATTTCATTAAAATAATTGAGCAACTCACTGGATTTGCCAATGTCCCAGATGCTGTGTAACAAATGAAATAGCATATTAACCTTGGCAAACTCCTGGCCTTTACCTCAAGTGCTCCAAACTGTGCATACAAGCACAAATGAAGTCCCAATTAATTATAAGCTGAATATCATTAATTTCAAAAATATAATGACCAACCCACCATTACATAGTAGTAGCTCATGTTTCATCTTTTCAGCTATATACTCTAAGCTTTAGATAATAAAAGCCTTGGGCTTTCCTGGTGGCTCAGTGGTAAAGAATCTATCTGACAACGCAGGAGACACAGGTTTGATCCCTGGGTCAGGAAGATACCATGGGGACAACCCACTCCTGTATTCTTGCCTGGGAAATCACATGGACAGAGGAGCCTGATGGGTTACAGTCCACAGGGTCACAAAAAGAGTTGGATACAACTTAGTGACTAAACGACAGTAAATGCCTTAATGTGGGCATCATTCGAATTCTTCTATAATAACGTCACTGGGGAGACAGGTTCCCATAGCTCTCTTACTGGTTCTTTAATAACACTAATTTCCCACCTGGCTTTCTTGTTGCCCTCTGGATCCTTGTAGAGCCTCTGTTTGGAGTTATTGAAGGTGTGAGTGCTGGTCTGTTCTTAATTGGCATGCTCGTCGCTGTTGTTGCCTTATTCATCTGCAGACGGAAAGCCAGGTGAGTACAAAGTTCCCTTTGGTGATGGGGTTCACAATTTTAAAGACGCAACTGAAAATGCTCTTTTGCCTGAAAAGTAAGAAGGGAGAAATCATTTAATTTCTCCAGGGTAAGTCACTTTATCTCTTAAGAAAAACAAAAGTCAAACCCTAAAACCATGACTCACTTTTTTGCATACCATTGCTGAGTCTTATCCTTACCAAAGGAATGAAGGGCCATCTGTATCCTCATTTGAATGTGAAATAGCTCCTTTGGCACAGAGAAAAAAAATGTGTATGTGTGTGGTTCAGTCACCTTGTGAAGACAGAGATGTCCATGAATTATGTTTCCAAATGCTTTTCTGAACTATTCTGAAAAGTATGGGTGCCATCTCAGTTTTGTGGTTCCTACACGCCATGGTAAGCTAAGAAGGAAACAAAAAGAACTAAACATGTGTGGCCCCAATGCCATGCCCTCTTTCCTTAGGGAATTTCTTCTCTTTGGCACATTGTCCTCTCTTTTGCAGTCGTGTCTTGCATCTAACGTTTACTGTGTGTGTGTGTGTCTTTTTTTTTTTTTAAAGGAAAGCTTTATTGAGAGTGTGGGAAGTGATTATGACCTGTAGCCAAAAACAGAAGACACATCTTCAGCTATTGCAAAGATATGTTTCTGAGTGGGGAAAATCTGTTTCTTTATGTTCTTCCTCCCTGCTCCCTCCCTCAAAGGGATGTTGGCTGAGTGTAAAATATACATGTACTGAAAAATCCATATTTGTACAAGCTTGCACACTCTTACCATAAGTGGAGAAATCTGGGCTTCCCTGATGGCTCAGCGGGTTAAGAATCCGCTTGCAAGGCAGGAGACACAGGAGACTTGGGTTCAATCCCTGGATTGGGAAGATCCCCTGGAGAAGGGAATGGTAATCCACTCCAGTAGTCTCGCCTGAAAAATTCCATGGACAGAGGAGCCTGGCAGGCTACAGTCCACAGGGTTGCAAAGAGTTGGACACGACTAAGCAAGCCCAGCCTTACCATAGACAGAGAAATCTGTTTAAATTATTTCATAATCAAAATATCAGTCCTCTCCCTTATGTTTCAGCCACGGTCGAGAAAGGCACTCTGCTCGTCTGAGCATTCGTCGGGATCGACCACTGTCTGTCCACTTGAACTTGGGCCAAAAAGGGTGAGCACATTTTCCTTCACGTTATTTATTGAAAGAAGAGTTGATTGTCTTACATGAAATTTGCTAACAAGATCTTTCTACTTTTGGCTTCTCTTCACAGTAACCGGAAAACTTCTTGGTAAGAAAGAACTCATCAATTACTATATTGTCTGCTTTTGAAATATAACTGGGGCTGGGTAAGGCATTTTCCCCTGTTCTTCAGTAATTTTCTTCTCTTTCTGTTATGTTTTCAACCATAGCCCAATAAAACTAAATCAGTTTGAAGGGCACTTCATGAAGCTGCAGGCTGACTCCAACTATCTTCTATCCAAGGAATATGAGGTACAACTCAGATGCAATGATGTTTTAGCATCCCTGGTCCTTAGCAGAATTTCTTTTCAGCCTTCACTGTGGAATCACAGCCCAATTGGGCTCAGGAGTTAGAATGGCACTTAGGGTCTCACCAAGTGTTCTTTTATGCCAGAATCCATTCCCTGCATAATATACCACCTAGTCTCAGAAGCCAGTTTGATCTCCAGAATAACCGACAAAGTGCTACCCAGATCGGATGGAAAGAAAGAATTAACAGACTTCAAATGCAAACTAATGCTGTCAGTTATTTAACCTGGCCTTTTGCTTGCTTGGGAGATAATGTGGTTGGGTGAAAAGTGCCCAGGCTTTGGATTCAGTTCCCAGCTTTGCAACCTGTGTGACCCAGGGCAAGTGAATTATCCTGCCTGAGCCTCATCTGTAAAATGGAGATGAGACTATCTCCTCCGGGGCTGTTGTGGGGATGACAGCCAATGCCCGTGGTCGAATAGGAGACATTCCACAAATGCGGCTAGTGTAACATACTGTTATATTATGTTATCTCAAGAACTGTCCAGTTTGCCATATTCTATTTCACATTATCCACATGCAAACTTATTTTTGACCTAACAGGACTTAAAAGATGTGGGTCGAAACCAATCATGTGACATTGCACTCTTGCCAGAGAACAGAGGGAAAAATCGATACAACAATATATTGCCCTGTAAGTTTTCTGTTGAAATCTGTAATACTGCCTTCCTCTCACCATTTCTTTCCTTTTCTATGATTAAAAATGGGGCTAAAGCAACATGGTATAGCTGGATATGGGTGATCTGAGGCTCGAAATGTCTTTAAAAACAAATGACTTGGACGTTACTGGACTTCTTTCCAGAGGGTAACATCCAGCTGAAATTCTGACTGTGAGAGAAAGACCTCTTATGCTATTGACATTTCACCACATGGTCCTGATGCTTCTCCTTGGAGGGTTAAGAGCTGTAACAGGGTTAACAGTAAGGGTCAACCTTGGTTTACTTAAAATCTCTAGTTAGCAATTATTTCATAAAGATATATGTTACATATAATATTCTTATTATCCTTACCCAATCGGGTGAAGCAATTGAAGGTAGCTTTTCTGAATTGTATTCATTACAACAATGAAAAGGAGCTGGCCACTCCATCAGACGAATATTGTTAGTGTTACAGAGGGAAGCACAGATGGGCTTAGAAGAGCATTTGGCTCATTTGCTTGTATGTTTCTGGGCCACTTGTGCAACTCTGTGTGAGCTTCACCTGCAAAATGGAGCTGAGACTGTCTGCCATGTGGGGTTGTGGTGGGGGTCAGAGCTAACACATGTCAAATGCAAAGCATTCTGTAAACAGTGGAAAAATCACCCCATGGCTCACTGATACATCTTTCTCAATAAACTTCCTTCCAGATGATTCCTCTCGAGTGAAGCTGTCCAACGTGGATGATGACCCGTGCTCTGACTATATCAATGCCAGCTACATCCCTGTAAGTGAACCCGGGGCCAGAGCAACTGGGATGAGACTTTGACAGGCAGTTATGCTGGAGACACCTCTCCTCCAACACACTCCCACTGTTCTCAGGTCCGGAAACATGGACTTTTTAGAAGAAAAAAAAAAGGCCATGTCTGATTGCCATAAAATACAGGCTGTCCTAGTCAATCACTGCTAAGGCCCAGCTTTCACAATAGCTATAGTCACATAGGATTATTATGGGCCCAGGAGGCATTTTCAAAGGTCATTTCCTCTCTGCAGCCCTTAGTCAAGATTAGAGCTCCCTAAGGAAGCTGAATCTCCACAGCTAAGGCTGCCTAGCTAGGGAAGCTAATTCAAAGTTATTTGGATTTTTAAAAACCACAGACACAACTCAAAGGTTGTGTCAAACCTCTGGGCTCAGATTCCGGCAAGCAATTCACCAGCTTTCTACAGCACCTCCCGTGGAAAAAGCTTCAGGTCAGGTAGACCCAGTTTGAATCCCATCTCTGCCCCTTGCTGACTCTGGGATCTTGCGCAAGTTTTATCAATCCTTTGGACCTTCATTTCCTTTTCCAAAAAATAATAAGGATAATATTTACCTTAAATAATCCTCCATTTACTCCATAAACACCATATGCGTGGATGCTAAGTCGCTTCACTCATGTCAGACTCTGCGACCCTATGGGCTGTAGCTCATCAGGCTCCTCTGTCCGTGGGATTCTCCAGGCAAGAATACTGGAGTGGGTTGCCGTGCCTTCCTGTGACACCTGCACTGCAGGTGGATTCTTCACCACTGAGCCAGCGGGGAAGCCCTAAACACTATATAATGAAGTGCTAACTGTAAGTTGGACATTGTGCTGTGTACAGAGAGAGGGTCCAATGGAGTCCTGACCCTCAGGGAACTCTCAGCAGAGTTGGGGCATCAGAAAATGACAAGGTGATGCCCTTGACAGGATAGAGCAGTTCTTCACCAACATTAACGCACACCCGCGTCATCTGCAGGTCTTGTTAAAATGCAGCTTCTGATTGGGGCTTCTCTGGCGGCCCAGTGGTTAAGACTCTGCATTCCACTGCAGGAGGAGTGGGTTTGATCTCTGGTTGGTGAACTAAGTTCCCACATGTCAGAAGGAAAAAAAAAAAATGCAGCTTCTGATTCAGCAGGACTGGGGTGGAACCTGGCATTCTGAATCTCTAACACGCTGCCTGATGATCCCCTGCTGCTGGTCTGAGGATCCCTCTCTGAGTAGCAAGAGGCTAGCGGTTGCCACAGGAGCTTCTGGGAAAACATCCTCCAGCAGAGATGAAGATAAAGGAAAGTTCAGCAGAGCAGGCAACATGCTGAGACTTGGAGGATAAATAAGGATTCGCCAGACGAGCGGCTGTGTTTGGGTGGGCGGGGTGGGGGTGGGGATAGCAGAGGTGACCGAGCAGAAGCCCGAAGGAATGACAAGAAGAGCAAGAGCTTCAGCTGGGATCTGCAAGTAATACCGTAGTGTTGCTAGAACGCAGGATGTGTGGGCGAAAACATCCTAGCTCATAGAGCTATGGTTACGATTCAGTAAGAGCTGTGAAAATCCTGACCCACAGCTTGTTATGGGTTTCCCTTGTAGCCCAGTTGGTAAAGAATCTGCCTGCAATGCAGGAGACCTGAGTTTGATTCCTGGGTTGGGAAGATCCTCTGGAGAGGGAAATGGCAATCCATTCTAGTATTCTTGCCTGGGGACTCCCGTGGATAGAGGAGCCTGGCAGGCTGTAGTCCATGGGATCACAAAGAGTCAGACACGACTTAACGACTAAACCACCACCAGAGTTTGTGATAGGGTAGATGCTTAATAAACAGTGGGTTCTCTCCCCCTCAGTTTCCCTTGCATGGTATCTCTTAACCAGCATCCCAAAGCCAAGTATCCAAAATGAGTAAAACTCTTCTTTGTTAAATAGGGCAAGAGCCTCATCAAGTCAGTTCCTCAGACAATCCACAATGTGTATTCACACACATAACTGAGGGTGGAGTGTTTTCTAAATTATGGCCCAAGTCCTCGGCTACCTTTAAGAATAAACCCAACCTAATAAAAAAAGGCCTTGGCTCTTCACAATAGGTCAGCATTCCGGCCTTTGTCCTTCCTGCTCCCAAGCCTTGCCACGTGTTAGTATCTCTTTTTCAAATCAGGGACCTGGCAAAGACTTACATCTCACCTAATCTACAGCGCTAAGCCCTTTGTTTAGAGTTATGAAGAGGCCCATTGTTTCTGACTCCCCACATTGTAAATTCATTGCAGGGCAACAACTTCAGGAGAGAATACATCGCAACTCAGGGACCTCTTCCTGGCACCAAGGATGACTTCTGGAAAATGGCGTGGGAACAGAATGTTCACAACATCGTCATGGTGACGCAGTGTGTGGAGAAGGGCCGAGTGAGTACATGGTCTTCCTGTCATACTGACCTTGCTTTCCACCCCTTGGATGGAATTTGACTCCCCGCCCCATAGAAATGAAACCCGGTAGGGACTTTCCTGGCTTCCCAGTGGTTAAGACCACGCCTTCCAATGTAGGAAAATCTCTGGTCAGGAAGCTAAACTCCCGCATACCAAACAGCCAAAAAACCAAAACATATAACAGAAGCAATATTGTAACAAATTCAATAAAGACTTTAAAAATGGTCCTCATCAAAAAAAAACAAAAAAAAAATCTTAAAAGAAACCCCATGGAAACCAAGTAGGGATCATTCAAGAACACTGTTACTGAGTTAAAACCACTCTGTTATAGAAAGCTCTGTAGTAAACCCAGGTGATACCCTGTTCAGATGCTGGGCCTGAAGTTTCAGTCAAAGATGGTTCCACTGAACAAGTGGGATTATCAGAAGTGTCCAGGACACAGAAGGATTACCTGGCCTCTTGTCAGCACCATCCTCTGTTGTATGGGGAGAAGAGGTATGTTGGCAGAGTCACTGGCTCTACCCCTAATTTCAGGAAGTAAGGAGTAGTGAATTTTAGGCTGTGTCTACAGACACAAAGTAAAATAGTTATCTGATTAAATGGTTTATATGGTTATGTTGCTGGTTAAAAAGAAAGATTACATGAAGTTCCCAGTGTCTGTGCTCAATAATTATATATGTTCACAATACTCTTTCTCCTGTCTTCACCTGTGAATGTGATCTTAGCTAAATGTTCTGACTTTTCAAAGATCACCTGGCCCATGGCATTAGATCCAGGTTGGAACAACATAAAAACATGGACAAAAAAGGGTCAGGGAGATGGTGACTTCATCTTCCCAGCTAGATCTTTCTTCAGAAAACAAAACAAAACAAAACAAACAAACAAAAAAAAGCAAAAACCAACAATAAAAGAGCACAAGATATTGTAAGACATGGTTTATGTGCCCATGAAATTGAAAGTCTGAGGAAATCGACAAAAACTGAAGCCACAAAACATGAACCTGAAAGGGAAATGAATCTAAAGGTGGGGGATTTGCCCCTTGACGGTGTCTCTCCCTCACTGGGAGCAGAAGCCCAGCTTCAGCCCTGCCCATGAGCAGGTTGAGGCAAAGATGGTCAAATTGCTTTAGCAGCTGATCCTGGATTCAAACTTAGGAAGGCATTTCCGGGAGGGAAAGTTCAGGTTCATGGTAGAAGCATGTTTCCAGACTCGCTTTTTTTTTCTGCCTGTCTTCCTCTAGGTAAAGTGTGACCATTATTGGCCAGCAGATCAAGATTCCCTCTACTATGGGGACCTCATTCTACAGATGCTGTCAGAATCCGTGCTGCCTGAGTGGACCATCCGGGAATTTCGGATATGCAGCGTATGTTTGTTTGTTTGACTTCATTGACTAACAAAGCTGGGAAGATGAAGTGCATGCTAAAGTTGCTTCAGTCGTGTCCGACTCTGCGACCCCATGGACTGTAGCCCGCCAGGCTCCTCTGTCCATGGGGATTCTCCAGGCAAGAACACTGGAGTGGGTTGCCATGCCCTCCTCCAGGGGATCTTCCTGATCTAGGGATCGAACCCACGTCTCTTCTGTCTCCTGCTTTGGCAGGTGGGTTCTTTACCACTAGCGCCGTGCAGGAAGATGAAGAACGCCTGTGAATTCTGCTGGTTCCCTCTCCTGTAGTTTGGCTCCTAAGAATCCCTGCCTGGGCACAGTTGTCAGCGTTGAAGGTTCGCCTTGAGCTGTTCCCCTTCTTACCACTCTGCTCTTCCAGGAGGAACAGCTGGACGCACACAGACTCATCCGCCACTTCCACTACACGGTGTGGCCAGACCACGGTGTCCCGGAGACCACCCAGTCCCTGATCCAGTTTGTGAGAACCGTCAGGGACTACATCAACAGGACCCCCGGGGCCGGGCCCACTGTGGTGCACTGCAGGTACCCTTCCCCCCAGAGCCAGCAGGATGGCAGCCGGGTGTCTAGGCCTGGGGAGTGGGGTGGGTGGAGGGTCTGTGTGCCCAACCAGGCTGCTTGGGCCCAGGGGGTGTTCTTACACCCTCTTCCACCCGCTGCTCCCCAACCTCACTCCTTTGCAGTCTCTTCACCTCCCATTTCTCTCTCTGGCTCTCCATCCTTCTCTTCCTCTTGCTTTTTTTCCTACTTTATCCAGTGCAAAGCCCTCATGTGACTTCCAGGTCCCTCATCATTGGGCCCCATCTCACCCCTCAATCCAAGTTCCCCGAAACGCACCTCCCCTTCTAGCTGGGGAGGAGACTGCTCAAGCTCACCCTTGCCTCCTGCCATTCTTTCTCCTTGGAATGGCCCCCTCTCTGTCCTCCACCTGTATAAACCATAACCAGCCTTTAGGATCACAGCTCTCAACTTCCCACAGAATAGCATTGCCATCTGTGGCAACCCAATTTTGCTCTTAAATTTCTGTTCTCTCTTGACTTCTCTTTGCTTCAGCCTGTACAACCATAAAATCAACCTAACAAGCAGTCTCTCACGCTTTTTCTCCCTGGGGAGCCTAGTGTTTAGCTAATTAATGTTTGCAGAAACACTTGGATAGCCCTAACTGAATGGCACTAATAAACAGCAGGGAATTGCTACAGTAAGAGAAATGTCACATGTACTTGTTTTCTCCCAATCTACCCAGCCCCCTAGGAGCCCTGCTTTTATATGTCATCGGAACCATGATGCTTTTTATAGAAATGTGAGACTTTCAAGAGTTTCCTGCCTTCTGAAAATGGCAGGCATGTTCACCCAATAACACCAAAAACCTGTTTTTCTTTTATCTTATAAATACATGCATCAAAAAACCCCAGGTTATGCCATCACTTTAGGGAGCAATTTGACAATTCCTGGTGAAGCTGAAGGTGTTCATACACTATAACCCAGCAGTTCTGCTTCTAGATATCAACCCTCGAGAAATCCCACACGTGTGCACAATGATGCTCACTGCAATGCAGTTTGTAATAGAGAAAAACTAAAAACAATCTCATTGTCTATCAGTAGGGAACGGTGGCTTATGAACTCTATAAAAGAAATTATGTCTACATGTAACAAATGTAGACAAATCTCAAAAACAATATTGAGTAGAAAAGTTGACATAAGAATACATAAACCTTGTTTAGTACCATTTTAGTAAATTTTGGAAACACATTAAATGAGTATATTGTGTATAGATTTACATGAATGTAGGAAGAGTATGAAAGCATGCTTGAAAATGATACACAGCAAATCCTTACTCTTGATGGGGTGGAGAGGTGGAGGAAGGAAGGAGGAAAAGATGGAAGTTCGGAACCCTGGGTTTTATTTCTTTGAGAGAGAACGTTGAGAGAAAGAAGTATCCTATATTCTTCTCTGACTTGGAAGGGAAGGGAAAGGAAAGATTGTGCTAGAGTCATTGGATACAGTCCAGAAAGTCCAGTTTAATGAAAAAGGTGTTCTTTCTTCACTCTCTTTTCTAGTGCTGGTGTGGGTAGGACTGGAACCTTTATTGCATTGGATCGAATCCTCCAGCAATTAGACTCCAAAGATTCTGTGGACATTTATGGAGCTGTGCATGACCTAAGACTTCACAGGGTTCACATGGTCCAGACAGAGGTAAGAGTTCAGCTGAAGGACACACATCACCCTGTCTGTCTCCCTCCCCCCACAAATGTTCAGGGCTTTAATCTGATAAAGGGAAAGAACTATGACTCATTAAGAGGAGAAAGAGAATTGAATATTGATGTTTTCTAAGACTTTATTTTAAAAGAAATTTCAGTGACCTTGAGGATGATGTGTATCCTTATCTTTACTGAACTAGTTGTCCATCTTCTTTAGGTCGGTAGGAAGAAAGATGAATTTTTTTTTTAATCAATATATGAACATGGGGGGAAACCAGCTAGTTCATCTTGAAGATCATTTTAAGATAGGCTGGTGGTTGAGTACAAGAACTTCATTAGTAAAAAGGAAGCAGATTCTAATCTCTTCTCTCCTCCAGCCCACCCCAGCTGCACCCCCATCTCTGGAGACATTTAAGAGTCTCCACATTAATTGTGCTCTCTACATTAATTGTGGAGGATAAATGCTTGCATTTATATAGTCCTTTGACATTAACTGTGTAGGATAAATGCTTCCATTTATATAGTCCTTTGACATTTACAAGGTATTTCTAAACAGGTCATCTCATTAGATTTTCTCACACACACACACACACACACACACACACAGATAAGAGAGAATTATTTTCCATTTCCAGGACAGAAAGTAAGTTCAGAGGCTAAAGGACTTTGCACAGCTATGAAGTAGCTGAGCTGGGACTTAAACCCTGTTCTAGAGAATCACAAGTCCCGAGTCCTAATTCCCAAGTCCCCTGGCCCACAGCCTCAGAGTCAAATCTGTGTCCCCACACAGACCAAACCTGTCCCTCCCCTGCATCATTGCCTTACCAATTCTCTTCTTACCAATTCCAAGTTCGCTTGCCCTTCTGTTTCCCAAGTAACTGTGCAAAATCTTCTATTAAAAAAATGCCTGTGCTCAGAAAGGTGAAGACTTCTGTGTGGGACTCTGTGCTCTGGTAGAGTCATGGGACACATGAAAACTGTGCAGGTGGCCATGATCCACGACATGGAGATGTGCCATAGCAAAGGCTCCCCTCGAGCTTTGTTGAGCCCACTGTTCCTCCAACCACTTTGACCCCCAGATCCTCTTCTTGTGCAGAACATATTCATATCCTGCAGACCCTCATATTATGTAACACATTTGGGAGAACACTGTCATCATTGCCTCCTATGGGCAGTGCCCACACCCAGGATCTGCTATCCCCACTGTCTTTTCATTGTAACAATTATTGCACTATATTTTAAATATTTTATTAAGTATTTGTTTTAAAAATACATGAAAGTAGGGAAAATAGTATAATGAATTTCCATACCCAAACCCCAGTTTCTGCAGTCATCCAGTATTTATAGCCGACATATACTGTTCCCCTACCCCATGACTTACTGGACTGTTTTAAAGGAACTCGACTTATCACATCATTTCATTCTTAAATACTATGTATCTTAAAACATACATATTTAATATTATATATTCTACATATTATTAATTATATTATATATTTTATTCCATATATATTTTACAGTTATATATATATTTTAAGGTAAGGACTTGTTCAAAAGTCATGACCACAATACCATTATCATGCCTGACAATTTTAATCATAATCCTTTAATATCATCCAATATCTAGTCAGTGTTTAGATATCCGTAATTATCTCAAAAATTGCTTTTTACACTTGGTTTGCATTAGAATACAAAGTCCATACATTGCATTTAGTTGAAGTCTTTTCTAAATTTCTTTTAATCTATAATAACCCTCCCTCTGATTTGTTTCCTGTGTCATTTATTTGTTAAAGAAATCAGTTCATTTGTTCCATAGATTTTCCTACATTCTAAATGTGGCTGACTGCTTTTTCATAATGTATTCTATTTTTCATAATGTAAGGTGATATAATCCTCTATTTTCCATAATTTGTGCCAGCAGTTCATTGGATCTAGAGGCTTAATTAAGTCTCAGTTCCTTTTTGCCACCACATGCTTCAGGAGTGATACTGAGTACTTCCTGCTGCATCCCATCAGGAGGCACTTCCTGTTTGTGTCTCTTCCCTATACTGATGAAACTGACAGTGACCATCCACTATAACATTTCCAATCAGCCTTTCACTTAATGGTTTGGGCAGCCACTGATGACCACTGTCTAATTCTGTTCTTTCATTGTGTTGTAGAATTACATCACATTATATAATAATTGTTTTCTTTCAACTTTCTGTACAAGACTACAGATTCCTAGAGGGCAGGAACTTGTTCCCTTTGCTCTAGCCTCAATACTCTTTTTAAATCTATTAAATGAACAAATAGCCTACAGTCATGTTGCTAAAAAGTCAAGGCATCAATGTTCCATTACAAATTTGTTTTCATTTTCACAAACTCAAGCCATACTTAATTGTGATTTGGGGAGGAAGAGATCATCACATTATAAATAATCTTAAGAGGTGTTGGGGGTGAGGGGTTAGGCGCCATAGCTATTTTTAGAGGCTTCTTGGGCCATGTATCACTTCTGTACACCTGCCCAGAACTCTGGAGACGCATTTTGGCAAAGAACAGGCAACCCCACCCCACTATAAATATCACTGGCTGACATCCAGGGCAGGGGCAACATAATGTACCAAACCTCTCCATCTTCCCCCTTGGACATAACCCCTCTTCACCTATTCTTTCCCCTTCCTCCTCCTAACCTCTCTGAGGATTCTGTGGTTCTTATTCTAAAGCCTGACTTTTCAGTGTTCAAGTTCCCAGGAGTCTCTACTCAGGGCACTACTCTTGTTTCTCCCCATCTTCATTCTTCATACTTCTTCCATTCCCATGGCTTCAGGAACCACATACCTGCTCAGTTCTCTCAGATCTCATTCTCCTTCCCCATGAAGTACCTGCTTCATGGACCGTTCCACCAGGAAGTCTTACAGTCATCGCACCTCCAACTCAAAACCAAATGCATTATTCATTTCTTTAAAAAGCAAACAACAGAAGCACTTCTGCCCTTTCTTCGTTTAGCTTCAGGTGATGGTGTTGCACTCATCTTGACCTTCATTTGTTTGCCCAGGCTGGGGATCTGACTGTTCCCACACACACATTCGAGCAATCGCTAAGCCCTGTCCATTCTCCCCAGCATCCTTCTCCTTGTTCTAGACTCTCTGCCCTTGCCTGGCCCTTCATCACCTCTCCGAGAGCCTTCGCAGTAGCCTGCTCGTGGGTCTCCGCCCCCAGCTTCTGCCCTCACAGTTCTTTATCACCACTGCCACCCACAAAATGCTCTGTCACAGTCAGCTCCCTGCATAAAAGTTGTGGAAAACTCTTCATTGCTTTGAAATGATTTTCAAGTTCTCCAGAACCTGGCTCCAAGTTACTTCCCCAGTTTCCTGTGATAATGCCACCCACCCCCACTCTTTTAGGGTCTGCCAAAATTAAGGAAGTTTTCACTCTCTGGTCCAGAATCAGTGATTCTTTGGATCATGTTGAATGAAGATTTCAATAAGATAGAAATTTTCTCTTTCCTTTTTTCTCTATCAACGAAATCCGAAACAGTATCCAGATGTTTTCTGTCTTGCTTTAAGGCTCTGCTGAAGGCGGGCTCCTTCTGCAGTCTCAGACACTCAGACCCAGTACTGCTCACTCGGACCTGAACGTGAGGGCAGAGGGGTGCAAGCCACAGCTGAACCCCTGTGGGTGATGATTCCAGCCAAAGAGAAAGGGCATTCTGACATCCCTTGTATTTCTTTTCTGGGTCCACAGAGAGAGTCAGCATCAACTTTATTCTGCTTTATTTGGGAGACAAAGGGATGGTGGGGCTTCCTAAGTTTTGATCAATATATTAAAGAGCCAAGGCCTCTAAACAAGAGACATTAGATAAGGGATTTGTGAGTGTGACCCTCCTCCTTTTATCCTAACTTGGGGCATGTTTCCTGCCTGATTCTGAGAGAGACACTCAAACGCACTTGTTAAAGAAAAAGAGCTGATAGTCACCATCTGTCAATGTCATCTGCTTCCCGTGAGGAGGAAACGGTGGAATGTTATGGGACGCAGTGCACATTTGGGGGATTCTCCTGGGAGTTTCCCATGACTTATGCACCCTACCTTTTAACTACACTAGACTGCTCACAGTTTCCAGAATATATGTACACTTTTCTGTTATTTATATCATTTAGAATTTCCTATTTCTTTGCTCAGCTTCTTAACAAATGTCACCTTTTCTCTCTAGCTCTGTATTTTCCTCCTCCAAAAGTGAACCTGATGGCTTCTTCTCATGTATGAAGCTTTATATACAATTCTGTCTTGTGTTTATCACCTTACTTGTTCACATACCTGCCCCTCTGCTAAACTGTGCACTCAGAGGCCATGAAAGGCTCTAAGTACAATCCTATAAATATTATCTCATATTACAGATATTGGTGAAATTGAATAGAACTAAGGCTTCACCAGCTCACTAGACAGAGTGGAAAAAATGAGCTTTTATGATGTGAAATTCATACACTAAACTTTGTCTACTTTTCATTAAGAATAAAGTGGGGAGCACATTAATAATCTGAAAGGTTTTAGGAGTAATCATTTTCAAAGGGGTATTCTGTTGGGAAAAGGAGTATTTATATTTAAGACAAGGCAAATTAATGAATATTAATTGGTTTCAAAGCCCAGAGTAGATTATTGTTGAAGAACTTACTAATAACGCATAGCATACGAGAGCTCATTCACAGCCAAACTCCAAGGTCCCAAACTCCTTTAATATCCCAGTAGAACTGAAAATGTGATTTATGCTTTGGATGGAAGAAATGAGGGAAGTGTCAGCCTCTAATTTGGTAGTTTTCAAGGTGAGGAAAATGACTGCCTATACAAACAACCATTTTCAGGAGAGGACCCTTCTCGAGTTTTCAAGATCGTAAGATACTCATAGCAAGTAAGCTGAGTTTGTGAGCAGAATTGCAGAGAATAGTTATCAGTATTAACACAGACGTCACTTATGATTGGTTTGTTTCTTTGAAATGTTCTAATCTAATGATTATACCAGACCTACATAATGAGTTCCTTTGAGTAGATGACCATGCACCCAGGGACAATGCCTAGTGACAACACATAAAAATAAATACCTGTCCACTTTTAAAGATCATTGATCTCCCTGTGTGTCTCAAACCTTAAAAATACTCTAAAACTGACTACATGGATCACCTTAAACATAGAGCCTAGGAATGTTTTTTGATATCCATCTAACTGACAGCAACACAATACAGATCTTTAATGGTCACGAGAAGTTAGCTGTAGAAGAGACCCTTGCCTCCTTGTTTTACAGATGCAGAAACTGAGATCCCTATCTAGGCCTGCTGGTGGGCAGAGAGCCCAGAGTCCTCATCTGGGGAGTGCCGTATCGTGAGGAGAGCCCAAGGCTGGGCACTAACATTACACATTCATTCCCTTATCAGACAGCCTGGTTGGTCGTAAGGAGAGGAGCCCAGTGCACACGTTTAGCTGCCTGTGGCTGAGCTTCTATGGTCAGCGAAGGTCTCTATGGTGTCCTTTTGGTCCTCAAAACACTGACTCTTCCATATTTGTTTCCGAGTCAAAGGTTGTTTCTAAACCACAGACAAGATGCACCACGCTCCTGCACCCAAATGGTGATTTAGGGCAGTAACAACTGACCCATATCATTGTGCCCTGGTAAACGGCACAAACAGACATCCATAGGAGACCAATTGCTTTTCCAGCCTAGAAGAGTCTGATTAGGCTTCAGAGCAACACAAAATCTGTCACTTTCTCACACAAACATAATCATTGGGTTGGCCAAAATGTCCGTTTGGGTTTTTTCATAACATTTTATGGAAAACCCAAACAAACATTTTGGCCAACTCAATATGCTTTATGTGCTTTCATACAGGTTGAAATGACAATGTGCTGAATTGCTTCATGACTCTTTTTATGAAAATAATCTGATATATGACCAAATTTCATGGCTTAAAATTTGGCTGAAATCTAATTTTGTCTTGTTCTTTGTAACTCACTTTAAACATTACATTTGGTTAACTTCTTGCTCAAATTCTCATGCAAGGAAACTTGTCAAAGCAGATTAGAAATTTGAACTATAAGAATTCTTATCTCTTTAAACAGAACCATTATCCACAGACTGTGAATAAAAGTATTTCAAAATGTCACTCTATTTGTAAAGAATTTAAGCTTTTCAACATCTAAAATTTTAAGAAAAACTCCACAAAGGAGAACACAACTTCTCCAAAGGGACAGCAAAAAAAAAATTAGTTCCCAGATAGCTGATAAGTGGGGCTATTCTCACTGTGTAAGCTTTCTTAATGAAGTTCAAAGAGGGAAGTGAAAAAGCTGGCTTAAAATTCAACATTCAAAAAACAAAGATCATGGCATCCAGTTCCATCACTTCATGGCAAATAGATAGGGAAAAAGTGGAAGCAGTGACAGATTTCATTTTCTTGGGCTCCAAAATCACTGCGAATGGTACTGCAGCCACGAAATTAAGACACTTGTTCCTTGAAAGAAAAGCTATGACAAACCTAGATAGTGTATTAAGAAACATAGACATTATTTTGCTGACAAAAGTCCATATAGTCAAAGCTATGGTTTTTCCAGTAGTCATGTATGGATGTGAGAGCTGGACCATAATGAAGGCTGAGCACTGAAGAAACGATGTTTTCAAACTGTGGTGCTGGAGAAGACTTTTGAGAGTCCCTTGGACAGCAAGGAGATCAAACCAGTCAATCCTAAAGGAAATCAACCCTGAATATTCATTGGAATGACTGATGCTGAACCTGAAGCTCCAAAACTTTGGTCACCTGATGCTAAGACCTGACTCATTGGAAAAGATCCTGATGCTGGGAAAGACTTAGGGCAGGAGGAGAAGGGGGCAGCAGAAGATGAGATGGTTGAATGGCATCACTGACTCAATGGACATGAGTTTGAGCAAACTCCAGGAGATGGTGAAGGACAGGGAAGCCTGGCGTGCTACAGTTCAGAAGGTGACAAAAAGCTGGACATGACTTAGCACCTGAGCAACCACAAAGCCTCTATGGTTTTCTGCAGTAAGCCAACATCTTTGAGATTCTTTAATGAGTCAGACTCAGATACTGAGAACCAAGATATACATCTATTGTACAACCTCTTTTTTCTCACCATACCACCCCCACCTAAAAAGAATGAAACAACACACTATGCAGTGACATTATTTTCACATTCAATAATGCAATGATTTTAGGTTTCATCTAAGAAAATTGATGTCATGAAAAAAGCATGAAGTTTGGGCTCACATACTCGGATTAAATCCTAGGATCTCATTTCTTAGCTGTGTGACCTTGGAGAAGTTAATTATCTTCTCTTAGTTTCTATTCATATGGATGATTATATCTACTATATGAGGTGGTCAAAATAATTAAATGAGATAATTCATATAAAATGCATAGCACAGTGTTTGGCACTCATTTTGTATAAATAATAACTATTTGTGGAGGACCTACTATTGTCAGACATAGTTGTTGGCCCTCATAGAACATATTCTAAATATGCATGTACCTAAAAAAAGATGAAAAAACACTGCCTTTCTGCCCTTTTCCATCATTCTCTTCTCTGTGGTAATAGAAAGTAGTCACCTTTCTACATACTAAAAGGCACTAGTGAAGCGTTATCATGAAATTTGCTAACCATTATAGAATCCCATTACTGAGGTTTGGTGAGAGTCCCTTGTCTTTCTTTTTTATAAGTATCTTGTCTTTTAAAAATTTTTTTAAAAAACAATTTTATTGGAGTACAGTTGATTTACAACTGTTGTATTAATTTCAGGTGTACAATAAGCAAATCAGTTATATGTATACACGTATCCACTGTTTCTTAGATTCCTTCTCATATAGGCCATTACAAAGTATTGGGACGAGTTCCCTGTGCTTAATAGAGTAGGTCCTTATCAGTTATCTACTTTATATATAATAGTGTCCCTCAACTTTCTTATGCTTTCCTCTGAGAATTTGCCTTCCTCTGACATGTCTTCTGCTTTTTCATAGTGTCAATATGTGTACCTACATCAGTGTGTAAGAGATGTTCTCAGAGCAAGGAAGCTACGGAGTGAACAAGAAAACCCTTTGTTTCCAATCTACGAAAATGTGAATCCAGAGTATCACAGAGGTAGGAGCTTACTGCACTTCTTTATAAGTTTATTTAGCAAAATACAGTCTATCTGGAAGCCATTAAAAACCTTGAGCTTTCCCAACACGCATTGATCATCTCTTCTTCTCCCCAAAGGTTTGAAGGAAAGGCCCTCAAAAAGTGGCAACAAGGAGGAGAGGCTGAGTGGGGAGGGAACCCCCGCAGTGGAGCACAGGTTTCATGTGATATCTCCTCCTAGGCTTGGGGTGCCCTCTGTTCAGGACTTGGCTTAATATTTCTAAGGAATAAGGCTTACTACTAAAGAGGATGCTTTGAAATAGCAACTGGGAATTCAAAGTGTAAAATCCCATTGGAGAAGAACTTGGCCATATGTATGAAGGTCCTTAATATGTTCTTGCCACCCAGTATTTCTACTACCACCCTAAGAACTGAAAAAGCTTTATGTGTGAAGCTTTTCATAGTTAAAGGTCTGAGTGAAAAAACATAAATGTTCAACAGTGGAGGGCTAAGCATACCATGGTGCATTCACTGAGTAGAACCGAATGCAGTTATTAAGAATGATATTTTTAAGGATATTATAATAGTATAGATTTTCTCATAAATAAGTAAGAAAAGCAGAATGTTAAACAAACAAAAACAGCACATAAGGGCAAAAAAAAAGACTGGAGAGAAATTTGCATGCTCAGTCACTCAGTTGTGTCCGACTCTTTGTGACCTTGTGGACTGCAGCCCACCAGGCTCCTCTGTCCATGGGATTTTTCAGGCAGGAATACTGGAGTGGGTTGCCATTTTCCCCTCAAGGAGAATTCCTGATGCAGGGATCAAACTGGTGTCTCCTGTGTCTCCTGCATTGGTAGGCAGATTGTTTACCACTGAGCCACCCAGGAAGCCAGAGAGAAATAAAGAAATATATCACAGTAATAAATCAGATTTCTCTGAGCAGTAAAATAATGTATCATTTTTCTTCCATTTTATTTTTTTATAAATTTTATAGAACAAGCATGTAACATGTAATTTTTAAATGAAAAATTCAGCAGAAGAAAATGTATAAACTTTGTAAGGCACTGCTTTGATCAGACAATAATTAATTGACATGTGAAGGGTCTGCTTTTTCCTACTCAGGACCATCATTAAAATCTATTTTATCACACTGGCTAATTGCAAATTTGAAGTTACATTGTAGTTTATTTCCAGCTAACAAATTATCTCAAAACTTATCAGCTGACCTCTACATTTAGTATGTCATAGTTTCTGTAGATCAGGAATTTGGAAGGGGCTTAGCTGAGTGGTCTGGTCCTGGATCTACTGGCCAGGACTACAGTCATCTGAAGGCTTGACTGGGGCTGGAGTATTCACTTCAAGATTGTTCATTCACGTGGTTGTTAGCGTAAGTTTCAGCTTCTTGCCACATGTCCACCCATAGATGTTTTTTTTTCTTTTGGACAAACATTATCTCAGAGCTCTTTTATCTCCATTTCAAAATGCTCTTCAGTTTTATTTAGTTCTCTGCACCCTCTGTAGCCACCCACCTAGCCAGTATATTAAATAGTTAGTAATCTCTAAAGCACACATACATGAGAGGGCTGCTATTTAAAGCAGTTCTTTGTAAATCAGATAATCCTTTTGTTTTATAAATAATTACCCCCTAATTTATCAGGAGAGTAAATTAATAGGTTTTGCATGTGAGATTCTTTAAGAGGCCCAAGATGGAGGAAGCTCTGGAGGATCTTGGAGTTTCCTTGTCTTGTTTTGGCTTGTTTAAAGGTCTTTTTTTAGTGTGATCTTGGGTGCGCTTAAAAGAAGCTGATTATGGTATGGTTAGCTTCAGGCATCTGAAAGTTAAGATTCAGGTCCTAGCTCTGGATCTAGCTAGCATTCACAGGCCGTATAACCCTGAGGGAATTTCTGTACCACTCTGGGCCTGTGGGCTCATCTGGAAAACCAGAGGGTTAGACTGGAATCACTAGTCTTTTCCAGTTCTAGTAATCTACAATCCTGAATGCAGTGACCTGGTCCCCACAGGGATGGTCTCGCCCTAAACCATATTGAGTTTCCGTCATTTCTGCTGGTCTTTGCATTCGTCATTTTCATAAATAGAACAAACAACTATGACACACCCCGCTACAGCCTCTAATTCCAGTGTCTTTCCTTTCAGATTCGGGCTATTCAAGGCATTGAGAATGTACCCGAAGATCTCCTGGATCAGAACTATTCACTGTGTGATTTTATTTAAAAAAAAAAAAAAAAAAAAAAACTTGCTTCATGCCCTACAGAGGTGCCAGCTATTTCTGTTGATATTATGTATAATTTATTAATCTGGAGAATTTTAAAGATTTTATGTAATTTAAAGGTAACAGATATTATTGTACATAGTTGTAATTTGTAGTTTCTTCTGTAAATATGTATTTTTCATAATGTTTAATATTAAGCTTTATATAATACTATTTTTCCACACCAAAGTGTTCATGGCTTGTTCTACCTAAACTAATTCAACCTGTATAACAGGACAAGTGGTAAGAAGTGCATGGAGGTGGTTGCAGGGGTGATCCCCTAGGCCAGGGTTTTTACCAGTTTTGACACCCACTGGGCAGAATACAGGGCAGGGCTGGAGACAGCAGAGAGCACAGCTGGCTTTGAGGGCATTGCTGGGACCCAAAGATGATCCAAAAGCAATTCATGTATGTAACAATGTAATAATATAACAATCAAAAGAAAGGATTGAAGAGATGAGATTAAGCACCAAAGCTGAAGTAGGTGTTTGTGCATCCCGTGGTTAGTGTCTCCCCTTTGTCCGGCCATAGCTCCAAGCCAGCGTGGCCAGCTCAGGGGCCACGTAACCTGCAAGGCAAGTCCAGGCTGCCGGGCTGAGGGTTCTGAGAGGGAATGACCAAAACAGAAGTGATGAATTCCTCTTATCCAGAAGCGTGCCACCTGCTCCCCTGACTGGAAACAGTCAACATGCTAAGCGCCACCGCAGCCGCGGGAGACTGTTCCACTGCATCCACCGTGTGCCGTGTGTGAGCATGCGTCCCGCACTGGGATGTGTGTTTTGGCCAGTGGACACACACTCATCTTTGTCTCATTGCTAGGAGGCTGCACTCCTGGAAAAGTCAAAATCGCACTGGTCATACTTGGATTTCCCACTAAAAGAAGATTGTGGTGACATATTATGCTACTGATCAAAGGGCCTAATATTAATACCTCTAGAGAAATATCCACAAACATCACATATCACTAATTTAAAAAATACTGAAACAAAAGTTCAGTGGTGCCTAGTATAAAATTTTCCAGACAGCTTTTTTTAGTAAATCATTGAGGTCAAAATATCAAATAGTCACTTTCAGTTGCATTTAATATGAAAGGCACTCATATCTGCCAAGTTGACCGATTTTGACTATCACAAATTTCAGTGAGTCAAAAAGTGAGCACTGCCCTCTCCAAGGTCCAGTTCCAAGGGTCTTCCTAGAGAAAATTTGAAACACACCTGTATGGTATCATCATGGACTCCTGAGAGATGAGTCGGGAATGTTTGCCTTTCTCTCACTACAGATTCCTCTGTAATAAATTTAAGATTTAGAGAGCCAGGTTGTTGGTCTCATAGCTTCATTTGCAGAAAGAGTACATTTCTTTTCAAAATGTATACTTTTTGCTACAAACTGTAGAACCCCATAAGTACTATAATGGGTGTAATTGCCATAGTAAGTGGAAAAATCATTAAATATACCTAATATAGTTGTAGTAAATTAAGGCTACACCCAAACTGGAAAGTTTTCCAGGGCTTTTTGAAGTTTGTGGGAACAGGAAAAACCTTTATGAGAATGAATGGGAAGAGGATTCCAAATTTTCACAGTGTTATCACGCTCAATGCCTTGTGAAATGACAGTGTTAGGGTCTGATCCTGTTTCAGGAAACCAGATGGCTCTTCTTGAAATGAAAAGGAACAATATACATGTAAGTGTGGCAGAGGTACCACTGGGGAGAAAATAAAGATCAGAGATGTATGAGATGATATGTCTATTAGGAACAACTTTCCCTGTATCAATAAGAAAAAGCAATAAATTTTAAAAAACCAGAATTTTAAGCCGACGTCACTGGGTATGAAGCACATTCATACATGGAAAGAAATTCATTTTCAGCTTCTCATTCATTTAGAAAAGTTTAAGTGCCTGCAACTTGCTAGGCACTGTCCTAGAAATCACACATTTCTATTCAATAAAGAGAATACATCACAGTGATAATGGTGGGATTGTTGTTACTATTTTCAATTAAACCTGAAAGAGGGCCTCAGCAAGGCAGCAACATCACCCAGCAGCGTCGCAGTGGCAGCCTTCCTTGGGCCACAAATTGGCTGATGCTGCTTCTCTAGCAAATCTCTGAATGAAAAAGAGAAAGAAAGCAATTAATTGCACAAATCAAGAATTAAAACCATAACAAACCTACACGGCTGTCACAGTACATACCCTGGCATATCTGGGGTGGAATCAGAGTTATGGAAATGGACATGACAAGGGAAAACTGTATGTTCTTTTAGTCTAATGCAGGACAAATTTATTTCTACCCTCCACCTGTCTAATTTTAAATCTCCTTAGCAACAAATATTTCACTGTCTTCCCTCCCACCACCATCAAAGACTAAATACATAATCTAGTTGATCTATTTATTAAATTTAAGAGGAGGAAAAACAGGTTTCCTTGACATTCAGCTCAATTAATTTAATCCCATCATGTGTTATGTCTTGGTAAACACTCCACTTCCTGTCGCACTGGGCATCCTGGCTGCGCACCTGTGCAGTACACTTTAATCATCAAGCCTTCAAAGTGCTTTTGAGCTATCAAATCTTGGAAGGTTCCTGTCTTGCATCTTAATAATTATTTATCCAAGTCTTTTATAATTAACTCCTTTAATCTCTACTCATTAAATCAATTTCATACTATTCTGTCTTCTCTGGATAGCAGCCAATTTTTCAGCTCTTGAGTCAGATTTTTCTAAGGCTCCTCTCCCTGTCTGGGTCTGCACTTGTCCTAAGAAATTCAGCAGCACTTAATGCTTCCGAGCCCCTCTTTTTCACTACACTTCCCCTTCTCCTTTTTGAATAGGTTTGCTTTCCCAGTAGAAGGTGATTTTATTTTCTGTTCATCTTATCTCCTCATATCTCCTCATACCCATTGGTATGTCATAGTCTTTTCTGGCTCCACATTTTAGAAGAGATGATAATGATTCACTTTTGAACACTAAAATGGCCACAGCACACAATATACTCGGGACAGTTTTATTTGGTAGAGTCTTTAATTAATTTTATTATCTCTCGGAAGAAAGCCCAAAATGATATTTGAAAATAATATGAAAGCACTAAGCAGATGTCCAGCAATACAAAAATAGACTTCACATCTTAGAGTTCACACTCTGATTCTTCTAATGTCTCAGGATCCAGGTTCTTGTATTTAAACACTCACCTTACCTCTTGAAAGAAAATTGTTGACTATGCACTAAATTCTCATTCACTTAGGCTTCTGGGTCTCTATGGTTGGAATCCTAAAGTCATACACCTGCCAGATCTGAGTAACAGCAAGTAGCAGAATCTAAGCACCAACTCTGGGGTACTCTAGAGTTTTAGTTCACACACATGAGGCAGACCAAATCTGACCTGATTGGGGGAAAAAAAAAAAAAGGTAATAAGCTGCTTGTTTGATGTAGCAGCTCAAGGACTTTCCACGTTCCATTTCATTGAGGAGATGGAAGTAATTGATGACTCACAACAGAGTGGCAAAAAGGAATGGCTGATCCTCCTGGAAGTGGCTGTGAGCAAGGCTTCAATGGTACCTCATTCCAGAAGAGACAGAGTGGAAAAGGCTGTTATCAGCCCAAATGTTCTGTTAAGGTTCAGAGTATTTTTAACCTGAGATTTCAAATCATATCAAGTATTCAAAGCTTGTTTCACTCAAGGGAAAATCTATAAACCATGACTGCAGAAAATGAGTGAAATAATACAAAAAAGGAAAAAATATTTGAAAAGAGGGGATCTAAGCAGACATCATCAGAAAGAAGAAACAGCATTCCTTCTGTATCCAGACTGTTTCTTGGGGGTGTCATATGTTTCTGTTAAGACACATTATCCTTTGAATGGTTCACTTTGACTATGTTGGCCAGATGATGTAGCTGACTAAGCAATTGAATTGATTCATTTAGTTTTGTGAATTGACCAGGTGTTTGACGAAACTGAGTTTAGAATTCTGAACACACTACCTTAGATTCTTTTAGTGGATGGTGCCTTTGAAAATGTTTGGCCATTTTAGTTAAAATGCAGGGTAACATTTAATGCAGCCATGATAATAGCAAAAATCTGTTCTGTTCTAAAAATGTTTCTAGCAATGGAAATATTTTTGACTAAAAGACTACTCTTGACTTGTAGGGAGGCTCCCTAGGAATAAATATATGCCACAAAAATAAGGCATTTTAATTTTTTTAAAGATTGTCTATATAGATGCATTCATGACATAAGAAAATGGTTGGTGAATGCTCCTAAAATAAAGGCTTATGTAATGGAAATAAAAAGCTCTATTAACAGACCTACCAAAAATTATTTTTGTAACCTATATGCCAATGTACATGATCTTATGTAAGACATCAAAATAAGCTGTTGAAAATGGTGAACAACGTCCGACAAAAGTAGTATGTTTCTTCTAGAAGATTCACAAGAAAGGTTAGTTATGGCTGTTTTCTGCAGTAAGTAATTTCTTTTAAGAAAAGCTATCTTCATCCTAAGAGTAAGCTTTCTGTTATGTTGGAGATGTTGTGTTTTCATAACATCTTGTGAGTGAGCAAGTAAGCCTCCCCACAGAAAGGAGCATATGCAGTTGTGGCTTTCGGAGTGTGTCATAGTTTGGGTGGCTTTCCCCTGCAAGCTGAAGTGAGAGTCTACAGTGGCCTTCATGAAATCTCCTAATTTCGACCACGCTAACAACTAGGTGCACCAAAGTTCTTACCTGAAGAGTCCTTAATCTCTAGTTTCCTAGGTAGGACCCATCAGGCTTATAAATTCTGCAAGGATAAGAACCAAGTCTTTGATCTCTTTTATACTCCCACCTAATAGAAATTAGTACACTACTCATAGACATTCAACATATACCTTTTGAGTGGAAATTGCTCCTGGCCCAATACTTTGGGTATTAGGTAGTCAGTATCTAATAATGCTAGATATGCTCCATGTGTTCATGGAGGCTCATCTGGCTGTTCCTTGATTTGTGTCACGCTTAAATAAATAAGGCAAATACATCTAGCAACTGAATGTGTTATGTTCTTTAATAGAGCTCTTTTTATGTTTTTTATATTATGTATTCTTTCTCTGCAAATCTGGTCATTTAAAATGGCAGTCGGTGGTTCTGTTTTTTTCTTATGATAGTACCTCTCCACACATTTGTGTTTTCTAACCAACTCTATTTAAAGAAAGCACTTCCATAGTCTTTGTATTTAATTTATGTATTTGCTTAATGTTTTTTCATACTGTAACTGTGGTCAAAAACAATCTATATAGTGTCATACACACCTTCTCACTAGTGAATAAAACAGCTATTTGTTGAAGCAAAGTGTTCTGTCTTCTATTTGCCTGTATCTCATTTATCAATTTCTGTCATCTGACTGCTCGGGAGAAAGGTCAGAAGTGACTGCTTCTAAATGAGAAAAATCTTGCAAACCATTATCATGAAGCGCTTGGTTGTTTTAACCTTTGCTCCTGTGAATGCCTAGTTGGTCACCTAGGGTATCACGAACATATAATAGACTCTCTGGTTGACTGTCTCCAGCTAAATTCTTGGTTTCAGTTCTCTAATTCGTTGGTAGCCAAAATGTCATCTATCACCAACAGTGTCTGTGTATTCTCAGAGGCACTGCCCCAGCTGGATCCCTGAGCCCTTCAGAGGCACTTCACACATAAGCGGGTGGTGTGACATTTGGTTAAGAGCTGCTGTGTCTATTTCCAGAATCATTATTTTGCCTTTTCTTTTTCATTTCAGTTGAAAAAACTCACTGTCCTTCACAACTCCAGTGTTTCATTTTTCTACAACTTACTTACAGAAATCTTCATTTTTTAAAAAAAAAAAAAGTACCATAACAGATTTACATGTAAAATCATTAAATCAAAGCCATCCTTTGTTTTGAAACAATTTCTGGATTCAAATTGAGTTAGCAAAATAATTTGACTTCTGAAGCTTGACCTTGTTTTGCCCAAAGTAGCTGTTTGTTTGATGGAATTTACTCCTAAAGGAAAAGGGAATGTGACAATATGAAATAACCACTCAGTGATCCTACTGGACTATCCTCCACAATCATGAAGTGTTAGAACTGAAAGGGCCACTTTAGGATGGACAATGATGGAAACCAAGACCAAGATTAAGATGATAGAGCAAAATAGGACAATGCTAGAACCAAACCCTATCTTCCTATCACTTGTGGGGGTGGACCTGCCTGCATATAAATATAGAAGAAATGAAGAAGAATGATTCTCAGATCTGGGGCATGTAATTGCCATCTTGCACACGGAGACAGAAAGAACCGTGAGTGGAACTTTCAACATTTTATGTGATTATTCCTTTAATTTTGTATGTTTGGAGACAGTCATTTGCCAAACAAATCTCAGACTATATTTTAGAGTCATACCTTAGCAAAACTCACCACCATCTTAGAGCTGAAGTACTATAGAACAGAAAAGGAGAAAACATGACTATTTTAAAAAACATAATACTATTATAAAACATTTTTTATTAAAACTGATTAAATCAAACCACGTAAAATCCAAAAAATTTCTACCAGTAGATTTGGAAAGAATTGGCAAAGCTTTTGATGTTGCCAGTAAAAGGAGCATTCATAATACAAGGATAAAAATTAACTGGTAAAATTCAAGCTTGAGTAATAGAGGAAACCATGCAGGGATGGTTCTGTGTAGGAGTTAACACTTGCCAAAGTCCAGTCTTAACTAAAATATCTCCCCAACCCAACATCTCCCGAAGAATATTGTACCATTATTTTAGAGAACTGTTGATCTAAATAAGGCTTGCCCTTTTTATCCTGGGGTTTATAGTAATGATACAAGAACCTTTGTGTAGAGTAGCTTAATATTAAATTACTTTGCTCTTGGAGCTCTTGACCCCAGGAAGAAACTTGGCATCTATTTCAGTCTTTAAGAAAGAACTAACAATGAAATATGTTTCCTGTCTCTGTGACCCTCCTGCAAGCTTGTTGGTGGCCAAGAAGTTTCTGTGTCTTAGGATTTGCCGAGGAGCTAAGGTAAATAAAAAAAACAACAAAATAAAACAAAAAGCTGACAAGACAACTATAGAAACAAAGCCGTTAAAAGAGGAAAAGTTCAGAAGCTTGGGAACATTCCTAAATCTAACCTCCATCAGAAAATACCATTTGTAAGAGTCATAAATTAAAGATTCAAGCCAGATTTCATTCCTAAAGAACTTTCCAATGACCCCTGATCCAGTCTTCACCCAAGTAGGTACTCCTCCATTCATGACAGATGACAGGGCAGGACGCGGGGGCGGGAGCAAGGGGTCAACAACCGTCTACCTGCAAAGAACACCACATCAGCAGTAAACAAAGATGAACCAGGAGAGAAGAGAAGTGACATGAATGATCCTACGCTGGTGGAAAACTGGGAGGAAGAAGGCAAAAGTAAAGTGAAAGATGAGAGCTATGAAGGTGCCATTGGGAGTCTTAGACCCCTTGCAGTAATAGGATTTTCTCATTTAAGAGGAAGACATTCTAAGTTCTGTTTAAAGTGCTACAGATAGGGCCTTCATTTTTTTCACTTTTTTGTGTTTTTCTGCTGTGCTGGGTCTTGGTTGTGGTGTGCTCGGCTTAGTTGCTCCAGGGCATGGGGGATCTTAGTTCCCTGTTGTTCAGTGGCTCAGTTGTGTCCAGTTCTTTGTGGTCCCATTGACTGCAGCACCCCAGGTTTCCCTACCCTTCACCACCTCCCAGAGTTTGCTCAAACTCATGTCCATTGAGTCGGTGATGCCATCCAACCATCTCATCCTCTGTCGTCCCCTTCTCCTCCTGCCTTCAGACTTTTCCAGCATCAGAGTCTTTTCCAGTGAGTCGGACCAGGGATAGAACCCACATTCCCTGAGTTAGAAGGTGAATTCTTAGTCACTGGACCATCAGGGAAGTCCCAGGGCTGCATGTTTAATCTTTAGGATGTCACTTAAAAGTTTGACTCCAGGCTATCTTAGTGAGTGCCTCGCCCATGGTATACTATCAATCAATGATTGTTTCCACTTTGTAGATTAGAAAGCAGAGACACAGAGAAGACCAAGATACTGCCCGAAATTTAGCAAAATAGGAACAATAACTAATGCATATGATGCCCTAACTATAGTGTCATCTAATTTAACTCTTCACACAGTCTAGTTCTCACACTAACATTGGAGATAAGGAAACTGAAATTTAAAGAGAGAGTAATTTGCCCAAGGCCACACACTACCAGCTACTTAGTTTCCAATCTGAATCTTCCTGACTTCAAAATGTGGCCACTTAACCTCTGTGCCCTGATGGGTCAGTGGTAAAAAATTCATCTGCCAAGCAGGAGACTGGGGTTCCATACCTGGGTCAGGAGTTCCCCCTGAAGAAGGAAACAGCAGCCCACTGCAATATTCTTGCCTGGGAAATTCCATGGACAGGGGAGACTGGTGGCTACAGTCCATGGGGTCAAAAAGAGTAAGACATGACTTGGTGACTAAACAACAAACCTCTCTGCCAGAGTATTCCAAAGTTTGGTTCCCAGACCAGCAGCACTGATATCAGCTGGCTACAAATGCAAATGCTCAGACTCACACCCGGTAATCCTACTGAATTTGAAACTCTGGGAGTGAAGCCCAGCAATGTGTGTATAACAAGCCCCCCAGGTGATTGGACACGTGCTCTTCTGTGTGGAGCCTCTTTGCTTTGCAGCTTCTTGTTAATCAAATCTAATTCTTTGAGGTGACATTTTGTCAAACCCTATATGACAAAGAAGAATAATAATGTGTAATGTTTTTGACCCCTAGCACATAAAAAGTTCTTAATAAATGTTAGCAACTATTACTATTGTGTCCCAGGTAGCACACTCTACAGCCTTACCTGTGTTATCTCATTTAATTCTTGAAAAACTAAATAAGGCAGGGACTATAATTATTAAAAAGCAGAGACATTACTCTGCTAACAAAGGTCTGTCTAGTCAAGGCTATGGTTTTTCCAGTGGTTGTGTATGGATGTGAGAGTTGGACTGTGAAGAAAGCTGAGCACAGAAGAATCGATGCTTTTGAACGGTGGTGTTGGAGAAGACTCTTGAGAGTCCCTTGGGCTGCAAGGAGGTCCAACGAGTCCATCCTAAAGGAGATCAGTCCTGGGTGTTCATTGGAAGGACTGCTGCTGAAGCTGAAACTCCAATACTTTGGCCACCTATTCATTGGAAGGACTGATGCTGAAGCTGAAACTCCAATACTTTGGCCACCTCAGGTGAAGAGTTGACTCACTGGGAAAGACCCAGATGCTGGGAGGGATTGGGGGCAGGAGGAGAAGGGGTGACAGAAGATGAGACGGCTGGATGGCATCACCGACTTGATGGACATGAGTTTGAGTAAACTCTGGGAGTTGGTGATGGACAGGGTTGCAAAGAGTCGAACACGACTGGCTTCATATCTCATCACCCCAGCAAATGCTGGAGTCCTCTGTGTTGTCCCTATGCCTCCATCTGACACTCCAATCCCCCTTCTACACTGCCATCTGAGTGACTGATCTAAAATATGAAACTGACCATGTGATGTGATATGAAAGTCGTATAGTCATGTCCGACTCTTTGTGACCCCATGGTCTAGTCCATGGAATTCTCCAGTCCACAATACTGGAGTGGGTAGTCGTTCCCTTCTCCAGGGGATCTTCCCAACCCAGGGATCAAACTCAGGTATCCCGTATTGCAGGCAGATTCTTTATCAGTTGAGCCACTGGGGAAGCCTGAAACTGACCATGATCCTCCTGAAATTGACCAGTGACTCCCAATTATCCACAAGATGCAGTCCAGGCTCCTTGGGGGCCATAGAAAGTCTTTGATGACTTGCCCCTGGCTTCTTCCCCAGCTGCAGCTGTAGTCCCTCTTCTCCCTGCAATTTACATGTCATCATTCAAATCCTTGTGGTTTCTAGGGTGCATGCTGCTGTTCTACACATTTTTGCTCTGATATATTTCTTTTTCTCCTCCCTGAAATAGTTCTTACCTCTTCTCTGAAACCCAGGACCCAGCATAGTGGGCAGGAAGGTCATTAGCTCAGGCCTCACCCTCACAAAGGGTAGCAAACATAGCCCTTTGATTTATCTATGTGCCTGTGTGTGTGTGTACGTGTGTGTATAAGTTGCTTCAGTCATATCTGACTTTTTGCTACCCTATGGACTGTAGCTCACCAAGCTCCTCTGTCCATGGGATTCTCCAGGCAGGAATACTAGACTGGGTTGCCATGCCCTCCTCCAGGGAATCTTCCTAACCCAGGGATCAAGCTTGCATCTCTTATGTCTCCTTCGTGGCAGGCGGATTCTTTACCTCTGGGC